CCGAAAAAAATTACTTCTTTTCTAGCAATACAAAAGATTTTCACAAATATGGGAAAGTAATTTTTGTCAAAATATTGTTTAAAATCGTGAAGTCAATTTGGAGCAATAAAATGTGTTTTGGAAATAGAGGGTCCTTAAGTATACTTTTACCATTTGAAACCTTTCAGAGGGCTGCAGATACAAGACAAAAAAAGAGGATATGGAAAGAATGAAGTATCCATGCAGACGCCACTTCAGCGGTTGTGTACAGAGTCTATGGAGAGTCAAGAAAACTTTCTAAGTATTTCCTAACAAAATTGGAAATGTTTTTCAGTCCCAGATTCATGTCTTTTCAACATTTTTGTAATGACTGACATTTATTGAGATGATTATATGAAGAAAAAAGTGGCGTCAAGTTGCAACATTCTTTTTGAGGATATTTTGATTGGAATAACAACATAAGTTCAAAATTTATTAAGAAAAAAAAAGGAATTTGTTGAAGAGCAAAAGGAAAGCAAGTTTCAAAATTACAAACAGATGATCAAGAAGAACATAAAAAATCTACCATAAGCTTATTTCCGTTGTGGATATAAACTTGACATGAAAAGGCGACTGAGTAATTTAGGACTCCAATTTCAATTGAAAACAAAAAATTAAGTTTTTGTAAAAACTGGACCCATCTAAATAGCTGGGGATTTTTAAAAGCTTGTTTGGAAGGGGCCAGGTTTTTATTTTTGAGGAAACCTGTAGGGTTAAACAAATTCAACGACACAAAATCTACACAATTGCAAAATGATGATAGCAACAAAGCTGAATACAGGTTGAAAAATGAAAACACATTCAGATGGAATATTGCAGTACATTCTATGAGAACATGAAGGACACAATACAAGGGAAATATTTTGTTTGGAAAATTTAGATAACAAAAATTTTATCCAAATCAAATAGAGCTTTCTTATTTGTTTCCACAGTCCACCATATCTCAAAAATGCTAAGAAGAGTAAGAGAAAGTGAAGTTAGAGAATTATTTAAACAAATCAAAAGAAATACTAGAAGCTATAAAAAAATTAGAATTGAACAACAAAAAAACACTAGGGGGCTGGGAATTTTTTAAACTTTTTGTTATAAAAATTAGAGAAAAAGGAATTAAGTGTAGGTTTACTCAAAGAAGAGTGGCTTCCATGATGGCTTGCACTCGCTCACTGTATTTACTGGAAAATTGAGTAAAATATTAAATAAGGACAATTTTGTAAGGGTTGGCCTCATTGGAACTTTAGAATACAGGGAGATTGTATTGTAATACTGTTTGCAGAAGTCATTTCGGAACCATAAATTCAAGAAAGACATCTCTAAGAATTACAAAGATAGAACTGGGGTCCGGAAAAAAAAAGTAAAATACACAACCATTGACCATGTTGACAAAAGTGTCACAGAAATGCAATTTAACAAGTTTAATACATCAGTACATTGATGGTTAATCAGGTTAATTGTTACTTCTAACTTAACTGATTGTCATTTGGGCTAACTTGTTTAAATTAGATTACTACTACTACTAGAATCACACAAGCAAGCAGTTTTTCATTTGATATGAACCTACTCTGACAGACATGACAGACAGCCCGACGGACAGACAGACTCGAGTCTTCGAGAGCTACCCAATCAATTACTCAACAATGTCAACTGGGCCGCGGCAACTGGTCCGTTGTTGTAGCCTAAGCCCTAAACCATTTTGGCCATCGAAAGACTCGTCCAACTGAGTGAAACAATTAAAATGTAAAATATAACATTAACTGAAGCTAAAACGTGGTACTATTACTATACTTACAGTGCTGAAAACATGGAAAATCCGAACACCTTAACTTACTTCCGTCATTTTCTGTTTATGTGTACGTCGTACCTGTACATAAAAATAGTGCATGATCGAATGGCGGATGTGAGATGCGCGTTCATTTTAGTCAGATACCCATACCTTTGGCTACAAAAACAAGTACATTCAGCTTATATTGAATGAAGGTGCATTCAGTGCTCCTGGGTACCAGTCAATATTGTTTACCCAGAAACCATTGCGTACGGAGGCGGGTGTGAAAAGAATCACCGCGGGGTGGCGCCTCGGGGAATTTCGGATTGAAAGAGAGGCCTCACGAGCAGTTTACAAGGAATTCAAAATTTTGAAGAAAAAAAATAGAATAAAATAAACAGTTTTCGGGGCAGCTATTCGTCCTTGATCAATGCAATAGGCACGATGATGACATCCTTGGCCCCAATTCAAGGACCGTTCAGTTGCGAATTGCCGGCATTCCCGGCGGCCTGCACTCCAGGAGGTCAGGGTCAGGCGCGCGCAAGCACTTTTTATTTTAACGCGTCTTCTCCCAAAACTTGTTTGGTTTTTCAAGCATTACATGCATTACCAGCACGTTGTCGTAAAAGTTGGTACTTTGTTCCGGGCTTCACATTTTCTTTCAAATGGGGCTTGCAGTCGCTTTCAAAATTAATTGAACGTGATGGGGAGTAATAAATAACCATCTGGTATTTTATACACAAACCCCCGGTGTAGGGGGTTTTGCATAGAAATTTTCAGATACCAGCTTTTACGACAATGTATTAGTAATGAAAAGTGCAACATCAGCTGGTCTCTCTTTCGGTAGAGGGCGCGCCACATAAATAGTGGTCTCGAAAATTATCTACCACCAAACTCGTTTGGGGGGCAACAACTCAAGGAATACAAAATGTATTAAATTGAATTTTCAAGTAGTGATTTGTCATTATGTTTCATTCATTGGTTGACGGTTTCTTATGAAATTAAATCTCGTAATGTTTAACTTAATGACAAATAACTACTTGAAAATTCAATTTAATACATCTTGTATTTCTGGAGTTGTTGCCCCCCAAACGAGTTTGGTGGTAGACAATTTTCGAGACCACTATTTATGTGGCGCGCCCTCTACTGAAAGAATATTAAAGTGCAAGACTAGCGGATGCTGCACTATTCAACAAAAATGAACAACTCGTTTTCCGATGAACAACTCAAGAAATACAACATGTATTAAACTGAATTTTCGTGGACTGATTTTCCATGATGTGTGTAAGAGGTGTATTGAATATCACGAGAAACAGTCCGACAATAAAAATGATATGGTCGTAACAATTTAGTGTTTTACACGCGAAAAATCCACTTTGACTTTCATTCGGATTGCATTTGTCGCACTTAAAACACTGTATTGTTACAGTCATTATAGCTTCATTGGTTGACGGTTTCTTATGAAATTAAATCTCGTAATGTTAAACATAATAACAAGTCACTACTTGAAAATGCAATTTGATACATTTTGTATTCCTGGAGTTGTTGCCCCCCAAACGAGTTTGGTGTTAGATAATTTTCGAGACCACTATTTCTGTGGCGCGCCCTCTACTGAAAGAATATTAAAGTGCGAGACTAGCGGATGCTGCACTATTCAACAAAAATGAACAACTCGTTTTCCGATGAACAACTCAAGAAATACACGATGTATTAAACTGAATTTTCGTGGACTGATTTTCCATGATGTGTGTAAGAGGTGTATTGAATATCACGAGAAACAGTCCGACAATAAGAATGATATGGTCGTAACAATTTAGTGTTTTACACGCGAAAAATCCACATTGACTTTCATTCGGATTGCATTTGTCGTGCTTAAAACACTGTATTGTTACAGTCATTATAGCTTCATTGGTTGACGGTTTCTTATGAAATTAAATCTCGTAATGTTAAACATGATGAAAAATCACTACTTGAATATTCAATTTAATACATTTTGTATTCCTGGAGTTTTTGCCCCCCAAACGAGTTTAGTGGTAGACAATTTTCGAGACCGCTATTTCTGTGGCGCGCCCTCTACTGAAAGAATATTAAAGTGCGAGACTAGCGGATGCTGCACTATTCAACAAAAATGAACAACTCGTTTTCCGATGAACAACTCAAGAAATACAATATGTATTAAACTGAATTTTCGTTGACTGATTTTCCATGATGTGTGTAAGAGGTGTATTGAATATCACGAGAAACAGTCCGACAATAAGAATGATATGGTCGTAACAATTTAGTGTTTTACACGCGAAAAGTCCACTTTGACTTTCATTCGGATTGCATTTGTCGCGCTTAAAACACTGTATTGTTACAGTCATTATAGCTTCATTGGTTGACGGTTTCTTATGAAATTAAACCTCGTAATGTTAAACATAATTACAAATCACTAGACGAAAAATCAATTTCAAACATCTTGTATTTCTGGAGTTGTTGCCCCCTCCCCAACGAGTTTGGTGGTGGATAACTTTCGACGGACAACTATTTATGTGGCGCGCCCTCAATAAAATAAAGGAATATTGGTGCGGATGCTGCACTATTGAACAAAAATAACAACTCAGTTTCCGAGCAACCACTCAAGAAATACGAGATGTATGAAACTGAAATTTCGTGCAATTAATTTCCACGATGTGTAACAGAGGGGGTATTGAATATCATGAGAAACAGTGCAATAATAAAAAATTAGATGATCGTTAAAATGTAATGTTTTACTCGCGAAAAATTAATACACATTGTGCCCGACGTCTTGCAGACCTTTTCAGTTTAAAAAGTGGTTTTAAATGGCGCGCTCCATGCAGCTCAGAAATTGCGCGCTATGCTGAGCATCTGCTCTTAAACCAAAAGTTGAAATACGGCCGATTTTTTTTCGTCCGATTCCTCATTGGAAAGTTCGCAACTAATGTAATGCTAAAAAACTATTAATTCATTTGAAAATCTATTTTTCAAGGTGCCACACCCAAAATCACCTTCACCGTATGCATGTTTGAACTACGAAGCGAAAAGGATTTCAGCCTTTCACTGTGTACGATTATGAATAACAATTATGATATACATGCATGATAACATTTCATTCGAAACTGATTTGATATTAGTCGTTCTTACACCTATCCGGCAGACCCTCCCCCCAGACACCACTATCACGCCCCTAAAACGAGGCCTTAAAGTTTTGTTTGGGAGGATAGAGGGCGCACTTGCTCTTGAACAGCAGAGCGCCACGTCAAGATAGTAAACAAAATCTTCAAGAAGTTTTCACCACTGCAAAGGAACCGGAGTCTGCTTTAACTTCAATCAGAAATTGCCGAAATGTTATACAAGGCGGTTATCCTAATTGGGGGACCACAAAAAGGTAAGTCATGTACTCACAGGCCCCGCTATCAGCTGATTTGTGCAAGCGGTAAGCTGAGGAAATCAGCTGTTTTTCAATCGAGAATGATATTGTGTCCCAGTTGCATTCTGTTCTTTCTTTTTTTTTAGGGGGGGGGGGGGTGGAGAGTGATAATAATAGGATGGGATGACTCTTTGAATTTTCCCTTTGCTTTAGAACGCCACTGTGTGCCATGATATTTTGCGGGGATTAACAATGCAATGTAATGACAGCAAAGTTTAGTGGTCTCGCTCTCTCACTCAGTGATCAGAAAACTTCAAGTTCAATCATATTTGTCATGTTTGTTTGTGGATTTTTCTTTATTTAGTTTTTTTTTTTAATTTTATTCATTTTTTGGGGGGGGGGGGGAGTAAAAGCAAAGCAGAAGTAGCAGCATGCCATTAGCCCTATGTCATGTATTGTATTGTATGGAACTGAAAAATAGTTCCATTTTTAACTAGGCCTACATACATGTACACTTTAGTGGTAGCTTGAGAAACTCCAGCTCTAAGTCTAATGCTTATTGCATTAGAGGCTGGAGTTACTCAAGCTACACTAGTGCCATAGTGGCACGATCCTTTCCTTAGTTTGGTCCGTGTGGTTGTGCTGGACATAATTGATTGATGTGTATTTTTTTTTAAAGGAACTCGTTTCCGGCCTTTGTCTCTGGAGTTCCCCAAGCCTCTATTTCCTGTTGCTGGGTTTCCCATAATTCACCATCACATAGAAGCATGCAGCAAGGTATGGTATATTCACGGAGAAATAATTTCTCCATGGAATATTATTGCACATATTTCTTAGAAAGAAATTGCAACAAACTTTTATTAAAACATTCCAATGGCAAAAAGCGAGATGATTTACTAAGTTGGATGAGTTTTGTAATATGACTCATGAAGTTGAAATGAAACTTCAAAATCATGCACTAATTAAATAAAAAATCACTACAAATTTTGTTTTTGATATTTATACAAGTACAACAGTAAGAAAAAGGAATTGGGTCAAATTCTGACAAAATAGTGAAGTGAGCAATTTTCCTTAATTTGCATCCGAAAATGTGAGGCAAATTTCATTATTTGCTATGCATAATTTCTCAGATAACCATCAAATGTGCTTTTGCTTTATAAAAAAAATAACAGTACTTTAATTGCTTGTACAAATTCAATTTTTTTTTACAAATTCACTCACTACATTGGACCAAAAGCACCTGTAATTTTAATTGACTGAAATTTGATCAATTTTGATTTATTTGACTAATTTCAGGTACCAGACCTGCTGGAGATACTGGTGATTGGGTTCTATCAGCCCAGTGAGGCACTCAATCGCTTCTTGACATCGTCACAGAGAGAATCCAATATCAATATAAGGTATATATCAAATAAGGGAGTTACTTGTAACTTACTTGATAATCATTACAGCTTCGTAAACAAAATAATGTCAATAAAGTCTGTCATGAGCCAATATGACCGATAAGGCAGGCGTTTATCTCCGGTTTCCTTTGCATGAAACAACTAATAATTCTTTTTTGTTACCCCCAAGATGGAATGCCAATCCATCACAGGTTACTCCCCAGCTAATGCCAGTACCCTTTTTTACTCCTGGGTGGAGAGAGGCATGTGGGGGTGAAGTGGCTTGCCCAAGGACACAACATGTGACCAGCAGCAGGATTCGAACCCATGACCCTCTGGTCATGAGTCACAAACCCAATCCACTTGGCCACACTATCCTTCAAAACAAAGAAATTGATAACAGGCTGGCTAGCTCAGTTGGTATGTACACCGATTCCAGAAGTCTCGGGTTCGATTCCCGCTCAAGTTAAATTCTATTGTTTTTTTGCTTTAGATACTTACAGGAGTACACGTCTCTCGGCACAGCGGGCGGATTGTACCACTTCAGAGATCAGATCCTCAGCGGTCAACCGGACGGGTTCTTTGTTTTCAATGGCGACCTGTGCTGCAAGTTCCCATTGGCTGAAATGCTTGAGTTCCACAACCAGAGGACCAATGGGCAGCATTTTACTCTGCTAGCAACTGAGGTAAAGCTGCTTTTCTTGAGTATTAATATTCTGGAATTTAGTCTCGAATTCCTGCTTCATGCCTAAAATTTTGCTTTCTACAAAATCAGATTTTGTTTACAAAATAGTCTATCTGTCCAACAGGCACCCAAGAGCCAGTCGCTAAACTACGGATGTTTGGTGAAAGATCCTGAGACGCATGAGGTGAGTTGAACAATGCTTAGCCTTGTCTGAAACAGGCTTATAGATAGAGTAATGGCTGTGGCTATTGTCAGCAGGTGCCCACTTAGTTATAACAGTGGAAGACCTAGCCTTGAGATTTGGATGCAGCCTTAGCCTTAGCATGGACAATATTTGCTTACTCAACCCAGGTAACCAGCCAAAGTGTGATACAGTATACATTGATTCTGACCGGTATTCAGCACATCAATTTACTAAACAATCTGCTTACAACTCCATGCAATAGGTCAATCTGGGCACGCTAAAAATTCTATCATGAAGGCCCCCTTCAATTGGGGCAGTAGCTTTGCACAATGCTTTCGTTATTGAAGGGGAGTGATCACGTCCCAGGCACTAGTATACCAGATATAGGCACCAGAATTCCTATACCTCATCATCTTCTTATCATTACCTGTTTGTATTTTCTCATTTAGTTTTAAAACTCTTAGTTTATTTATTTTGTTACATGTAGGTATTACATTATGTGGAGAAACCCCAGACATTCGTCAGCAGCATCATCAACTGCGGCTTGTATCTGTTCACGCCAGAAATCTTTGAACACATCTCAACAGTGTTTAAGGAAAACCAGGCAGAAATCTTCAAGTAGGTCCTCTCAATGTGTATCATATGTTGACATTGCATTGATGGAGGAAGTTTCAAATGAATAATGCATTACTTGTTGTTTTCATATATTTTTTAAGTTGATGAAAGTTTCTTTTTTTACCAAAATACCAAAATAAGGTGTGTGTTTTGCATAATTAAAGGCACGTACTGTAGGAACATTGTTAACCAGTTCACGCCGGGATTATTTGAACAAGAACGGAACGGAGCGCGGGATTACTCTTCACACGACCTCAAGCCAGGCGGGTTGAAGCCATCACCCTCGGGCAGCACACTCATATTTCCGGCCTCGCTCGCTGCGAGCGGGTCACTGACAGATATTTCTGGCCTCTCTCCCTGCGTCTTTACCTGTCATCCGTTCCGAATACTGCCAAACTTTTGCGTGTATACACGGCCTCCGGCGCGAACTGGTTAATTACCGAACCTATACCGATTTAAAGAGAAAAGCCTTGCTCAAAGTGAAGATAGGGATGGTACCAAAACCCTGTGAAATTATTTTGCCTGAAATAGTTTCGTTTAGAAGAAAACATCATTGCAAGTGGTTCTAAAAAACGTGCTTGATGAGCAAACCTTTTACATGCGTCAGCAATGGAATCCAGTGAGGAGACCCTAAAAATTATGTAGATATTTCCTCTGTTTTCTTTAGATGTATAGTATTTCACTGAGCTAAAACTTCAACAAGTTGTTCTGCACCCTTCAGATTGTGAGCAATTGTGTTGCTTCAAACAAATGAAATGCACGAAAAGCAAATAATGTATCTTTAATAAAAGTGTCCTGATTTTTTTTTTTACAGTGGTGATTCTTTCTCAAGTAACAGAGACACCATTCGTCTGGAGCAGGACATCTTCTCTCCCCTGGCAGGCACTGGCAAGCTGTTTGTGTATAACTGCGAAGACTTGATGTGGAGTCAGATCAAATCCGCTGGGTGAGTGAAGCACATTCTGTGTTTAGTTGACCCTCAATCTAGACCCACATGAGGCATGATTGCAGATAAAAAAAGTTTTGAGGGAATCACATTTTCTAGGCCAGAGTTTTCCTAAATAATTTCTAAATTGAGGAGTCAGTGCTTGTGACCATACCGCTCTTGAGAGATGTCAAGTTTTGACGCAGGGTGCTGTAAAATTGTTAGTTTGGAAAATTGGATTTACAGAATGTGTTGAGAAATACCTCAAAACATTATTTTCAAAAATTTGCGTCCGATTGGACTGAAACTTTGAAGACGTACAAAACACGCATGGATTTTAATACATGCAACTGAAATTCCATATGTATGACTAAAAGTTAGACATCATACATATGTATGACTAAAAGTTAGACATACAGCTAATAATTTTGTATACAAATCGAGCAAACAAAATTGAGAGAAGTAGGATCTGAACTAGGACTACCAGAGTGGCATTCCAGTACTTTGACCATGATTCACTGTCAGACTATTTGTATTTTACAGGTCAGCTATCTATGCCAATCGCCTGTACCTTGGTCTATACCATGACACCCACCCAGAGCGACTGGCCAAGAATGATGAGAACGGACCGCATATTGTAGGAGATGTCTTCATCCATGCGACGGCCCGCGTGGATGCCACGGCTACTGTAGGTACTTGCGTTATTCATATCAGTATAAATGACTACATTGCCATTGTAAATACATACAGTACAACATGGAAACTGCTATTCTGGTTTGTTTGTTTGGTTCTGTCTGTTTATTTCATGTCTTTGAATGTGATTCCACGGGGATATTGTCCAAATCACGGCTGTGTCTCCAGCTTTGGCTCATCCCAGCTCCAAAATCATATCAAAACATGGACTGTTGGACTCAAATGAAACTGATAGAAACTTTGGCATTATGTGGACAAGTTAATGATGCTGTAGCAGAAAAATGAAGCTACATTGAGCTAGAAAGTTTCAACTTGAGTTAACTCTGAAGCATAAAATCGTGAAGCCAAAGCCTAAAGTCGAGGTCAGCAACGAAGCCAAGGTTTGGCTAACCTCCCAGCTTGCATCCTCTGCATATCCTTATCTATAGCTGCTCTAAAGTTTAGAGAAAAATGCAAGGTTGTTTGCTTCCCTGTCAACCTGTTCATGAATTCAATTTGGAACATTATAAATACGTGTATATGGCATTCCATTTAATTTACAGTTGGGCCCTAATGTGACAATAGGAGCTGGAGTTATCATAGGGCCTGGTGTACGAGTCAGGGAATCCATCATCCTGGAAGGCGCCAGTCTACAGGTGAGTATTTATTGATTTAAATTCTTATTTTAACTGGGTAGCCCATGGAGTGGAATCCACTGGTCTCCCACGGGCCTAGCAAAGAGAAGACAATGTGAAGAAATTACAGTTTTAGATGTGGGAGGAAAAGCCCAGAAGAATGTTCTGGGGAAAACCCACGGAATCAGGTAGGGACTGAAAACCCAATCCACATATTGGCTCAGACAAGAATTGAACCTGGGTCACAGCAGTGGAAGGCAAGGAAAATACTGCTACGCCAACCTGACTCTCCGTCAAGGATTAAAGGGGGTTAACAAAATCTCTGCTTTGTTGCTTATGGCTCCAGCTTCAAGTTTGTCAGCCAGGTCTGACAGACTATCTAGCTCAATATTGGTCCATTATTAGTAGAGACAAAGCTGGTGTTTTGTAAAGCCAACTAAATTTTATCACATGTGGGCCAAATGGAGTTACATTTTATAGTCAGAGATCAGGTAAAACTGTGCAAAAGGCAAAGTTGATGGTCTTGTGAAGTTATTCCTTGTAATTATTTTTGGAACTTCGAGCCCTGTAGTTTAGCAGATTGTACCTGAAATTTGAAGACTATGGGTAAAGGGCTTTTGGTTCGGTGTTTGTTGTGGTTTTTATACAAATTAAGGTTTGGAGATATGCAGTTTGTTTCAGTTATGAGAATTTTTTTGTGAAATGGAAATGTTGTGTGAAATGCACAGTGTATATGACAGTTGTTCGTCTCTCTCTGTTTCTTTTTCAAGGACCATTGCTGCATATTGCACAGCATTGTAGGATGGAACAGCGTGGTCGGGGCGTGGTCCAGGGTGGAGGGCACGCCCAAGGGGCCCAACCCCAACGACAAGTTTGCTAAAATGGACAGTGATAACCTGTTTGACGATCACGGTAAACTGACGCCGTCCATCACCATCCTAGGCAAGTAGCAATTTCTACAGCAAGATCATGTTCATCCTTTTATGTCACATTTTTGTTTGTATTAACTGATTTCACCCTGATTTTTTGGGCTGGCTAAGTTTACCTTACCATGAATCTATACTGTTCCAAATCACAAGTCAAATCACAAGGCTATCACAAGTCAAATTATAAGTCAGATCATAAGTCAGTCATAAGCCGTTTGAATAAGCAGTGGCAAGTTGAAGTTCACAAGTTGCAGGGTATGACAAAGGAATGCAATTACAAAGGAATGTCTCCATCACAGTTCATTTACATTTTCAAGCTTGTGACTTGTCTTGAGACTGGGAGACTTGTGACGGACTTGTGACTGAATTGTGACCGACTTGTGACGGACTTGTGACTGACTTGTGACTGACTTGTGACTGACTTGTGGCTGGCTTGTGACTGACTTGTGACTGGCTTGTGACCGACTTGTGACTGACTTGTGGCTGGCTTGTGACTGACTTGTGACTGGCTTGTGATAGACTTGTGACTGACTTGTGACTGACTTGTGACTGACTTGTGACTGACTTGTGACCGACTTGTGACTGACTTGTGGCTGACTTGTGACTGACTTGTCAGGACTTGGCTACAACTCTGTCGTCAGATGACAACTTTCTATCTTTAAATTTTAATGTCACCACTCATCATCCATGCATGTATCTTATCATTTCTTCTTCACCTCATATCCAATCAGGACGCAATGTGGCCATCCCTGCTGAGGTCATCATTCTCAACTCCATAGTGCTCCCCCATAAAGAACTCAGCTACAGCATCAAGAATCAAATCTTGCTCTAACACCCATCCTAAACTTCATCTTCATCAGTATGTAACTTACTGATTTTGTTTTTCAATTATTAGGCCAAAACAAAATAGTTCTGCTTTTGATTTCCGTACCTATCCTATTCTAACAGCCCCTACCTTAATTTTTTTATTGGAAAATTGAGAAAAAAAGCCACCCAAAACCATAAATTTCTTCCTTTTACCCTTGACTACACGCAGACGCCTCCATATGATCATACACAAAACAAATAGCCCCCCCCCCCAAAAAAAAATCCCTACCTACCTACCCTATTTTCAAATGCCATGTAATCGGAAGCAGAACTTTTTAATTTTTTGGCCTTATGTGTCATATTTATGACACATATTTCTCTGAAGATTTTGCCACCCAAAGACCACATGTTTCCCAGCCACTCCTACATCAATAAGGGCCTTTATGTATTCCTGTATTGCACAACTTAGGTCATCTTTGTACCAGAGCATATGTGCATGTTTCAAGCCTGTTCCAAGCCTGTTCCAAGCCAAGTATTCCATTTAGATTTATTTGTTTTGATTGACATTATACAGGTAGCAACGTGAGCATTCCTGCAGAAGTGATTATACTCAATGCAATCATCCTCCCAGACAAGGAGATCAGAGGAACTTTCAAGAATCAGATCCTACTCTAGATGGCAAGACAACCAAGACGATTTGCTAAAATAAATTGTTGGAGTTACACATCAGTTTTAGTGCTGTTCCAGTAGTGTAACCTCCCCCCCCCCAACTCATACACACAAAAGGGGAACCAGAAACTAATCTTAAACTTAAAATTTGACATCAAGTTTACAGTGCTGGTAAGGGACCTTAAAAACACTGCTGTGTTTTGTATCTTGACCAGTGCCCCCTTTACTTCAGATGATCAAGGCCTCCCCCAATGAAAAACAACTAGCTGCGCTCAATCTTGGTGGATTTGTTTAATGATCTTTAAAATGTTGTGTACATGTACATGTGTTTTCGTTATTGTCTGAAACAGAAATATGCGTATTAATGCCATTTTCCTGACAAGTTTCATCACCCACGGTTTGGTTTTGTTGGCATTACATCACAGAATGTGGTCTGATACTTTTTAAAAAAAATTCACTGGGGACCATTTTAACTGAATTTGTTAGCATGGTACTGTAGCGTGTTGTACGCATGTTGCTACTTGAATTTAGTACAAAGATTTTATGTTGATAGAATTATATTTACTTCATACAGTGGCATAGCCCTTTTTCAAGTTAAAGCAGCTTCTTTATTATTTGTGCTTTTTAAGTTTTATCATTCTGTTGTAAATGATTGCTGAAATGGCTTTTGTTTTTGAAATAAACTTCTCAACATGTGCTAGTGAGAGTGATTAATCTTGAGCAGTATTACAAGTAGCTCCATGGCGGTAGTGATGCAAACATCTTGATTAGCGTTACAACAGTGTAAAATTGTATGATTTGCTTTGAATTCATATGCAAACATTCATCTTTGAGGCACTGGTTGGGCAAGTACATTTTAAATTGCCCACAATGGGAATGAATCGGATAATGTAATATACATAATTATGAAACATGTACTTTATACCCCCCGCAGAGAAATAGCTTCTAAAAAAAAAAGATGTTATGAGGCAGCTAGTATAGATATACAATGCTGCAGTTTGTATAAATTACATTTTGTATAACGTGTCAAAGAACTCTATAAATCGATTACATGTATATGAATTGTGATTGTGGTCTTGATGCTATCTTTATAAGCCCCATTTAGTGCCTTTGAAAGTGTTTCAAGTTGCAGGAGTTGAAACTGCATTCATTAACAAGCCGAACACCCCCCCCCCCCTTGATCCCCATCATTTTTATCCCCCTGGCTTTTAAGCCAAGAAAGGGGATCATGCGATAGTGTATTCCTTCTGTGCGTGCCATTTTGGTTGTGCTTTTATCTGAAAAGTGGGGCTTTGAATCTCAACCAAATTTGGCGACAATAATCTTTGGGGTCAAATGAGGTAATTGTCATTATTGGTTAGGTAAACTGAAAAGTGTGCTTACTTGCATATTTTAAAGAAATGGCCTCCTGAATCCTTCAAAATCTACCACTGTGCAAGAAGTAATGCCAATCTTTTTACTTCAACTTTACTATACTTTGTGGAGGTGCCTTAGTTAAAGTGGAAGGCCTTGATCCTGTGCCAACTCCTCAAAAAAAGAACCCCCAGGTGGTGTTTGAAGATTTGGGGTCCAGACCACAAGAGGAAACAAGTGGGGACAGGGAGCAAGTTGCTCATGTAAGCCAATTCAGATGGGGGAAGTAAACTTGATGGAAACTCCAGGCGGCAAATTAAATGAACCCTCTTCCCAAAACCAAACTACAGCATAACAATAATATTAACTCTTTCAGTGCCAAACTCGTACATGTACGAGGTATATTTGTTAGTCCAATAGCGCCAACCTCGTACATGTACGAGGTAATGTTCGTAAATGTTCGTACTTAAAATTGCCAAACCTCGTACATGTACGAGGTAGAGTAAATATGTTATCAAAAGGGGGCGCTCTTGCTCTTTCTAATGGTACCATTTTCATGCATGTACGACCTGTACATGTATTTATTTTTTCATTCGAGTTCTTGAGAGAGGGCGCAGCACTAAATCTCGTATTTTCTGCAAAAAGTGCAGAATCTCCCTGTGTTCAGGCCAGTGTTTCAGGGTGTATCACTATGTTTGTGACTACTTTTGACTTTCAAATATATCAAGGATTTACCAGAGAGTAACAACAACAAATTTAGTGAGTAAAACTTATTTACTTTTTTTTTTACAGAATTTTGAACAATTAACAAAAACGCTCGAAGTTGGGCGCTTTAGGGTTAAACTTTTCAAATTTCGCGGGCACTGAAAAGAGTTAACCTATGTCCTTTGCCCCCCCCCATTACTGATTGTAATGCATTTTGAATTGTCATAGATGAAAGCTAGAGAACATAGAAAAGCAACACAACAAAAGTAGTCAAATGAACCAGCATTATTATGAATGACATGTTGACACCGCTTTTTATTACAAAATCCACAAGACCATTCATGATTGTTAAGCAAAACAGTCCGACATGTCCGTCACTACTGTTGGAAAGTTGCCCCAGAACGAACTCGGCCGGGTGTTCCTCTGACGAGAGAGCCTGTTGCCTCGCTTCCAAAAGTCAATGTTGGACCTGGCGAACCAGAAAGCGTGTTTGTTGAAGTTCTGTCCAAGGTGGAAAGATGGACTTGATTTCCCCACAACTGCTCCATGAAGACTGCCGTGCCATGTAGCCTCTCTTGGGGCATCTGGTCCAATGTTTCCTGTCTCCGTTTCTGACGATGTTCAGGAACAGAGTGATGAAAGATGTGTGAATCTCTGTGATTAGCCATCGGGCTTGGAGATCCGGGCGTGTGGATAGTGGCTGAAATGTTGCAAGTCAAGAAGTTGGAGATGTCAGTCGCCGGCTAGCTGTCTACTTGGACCTGGCACGCATCTTTCTTCTCTTGCGCTTCAGTCTGAAATTGAAGGGAAATAAAAGATTAATTACTTTTTAACACTGTCATACCAATACAACATGTACAATAGAATGAAGCCCAGTCATGCATGATTAATTGTGCTTCAGTCTATTGTAAAAAAAAGGCAACACTGTTTAAACTTTCAAGTCCCCCCTCTATCACGAGTAACATCCAATCATTATTATTCACACTTGTTAAGTGGTTAAATTGTTATTTACCTTCGCATGCGCTTCTTCTTCCACTGCACGGGTGAAATATGAAAGAAAAAGAAAAGAAACAAAGTTCATGAACAAAAACAAAACAATTTACATTTGGGCTGGGTTCCCAATTTATGCCATGGGTGTCAATTCAAGGCAAATCGTGGTTTATGATGGCCATGAAGAGCGCCCTCACTCGGTGTACATTAATCGTTATTGTGCAAAAACGTGTCGTAGGAATGGGCATGATGGGGGTCACTTTTCATGCTGTTCAGCATGTTCAGCTGATTCAATCATAGTTATAGCTGTTTTGTCTTTTATCAGGTGATAACACATTGAAAGATTAAATGGTCTTTCACTGAAATAATTTTGTTAATTGCCACGCACTATACCGTGCATCATGTGCATGAGAAACATCGACACTAAATATAAAAGGAAAAATTAATGTTTTAAACTTCAAGGTATATAAACATTTTGCATGTGATCTCACCTTATCCCTCATCGCACTACCTCCGCAGAAACCTCGAAGGTATCTCAAGCAAGTTTTGCCGTTCGATGCCTCTTTAAAAAGAGGATTTTTGTGGATTGGAATCAGCAAGCCATGTAGATCTCGGCGACCTACAATCGTAAAGGCAGCATCTTTACATTTGTGCGCATGCGTTGAAATATAGCAAACATATGGCCAGCCCAATGTTTCAATATACAACTTTTTTTCCAAAATAGCATTTCGAGTGCAAATCGCCTAGCGCTATAGTGACAAAGCGGGACACTTGTTTGTGCTATTATTCCCCCCCCCCAAAAAAAAATAGTAAGTTGGAAAAAAGGTGGGACTCTAAAAGGGAATAAGTATTCATTATTTTGATATTTTCCCCGATTTAGTTTTGTTTTAGGTTGTGGGTTCGATTCCCGCCTGGGGGGTAAGGTTGTGATGCATCCTCGGACAAGGCACTTTGACACTCATTGCTTTTCCCAACCAAGGAGTAAATGGGTACCTGTGAGGGCAGAGATAGTTATTGTGGTTGATTCAGCTGCCTTGCACTGAAATGGCTGCATATTGAGCTGTATATTGGCCATAATCCCCAGGGAGCTGATGAAATGGTATTTGGAATGTTTTATTGACCTAATAATCAGGGATAATAACTATGTAAAGGGCTTTGATCGAAGGTACATAAAAGCGCTATATAAGAACCTTTTATTATTAATTATTGTTATTATTAAAGCTCATGCGTCCAGAATATTTAGGGCAATGTGTCTTTTTTTTCTGATTTGTTTATTTTTTTTTATTCATTTTGATTTCGCATTGATTTTCAATTTGCATTGATGTTGCATGTCTTTTACATATTGTTAACATGCATTTGCTTTATTTATGAAATAACACAAACGCACCTGCTATAAAAAAATATTATATAAATAAGTTTGTTTGATGTGGCTTTTAATAGGAAACTTGTTCAGGCTTTTTCAATAAGTTGATTATTTTCATTTTTACATATTCTGTACAAGAAGTTTTTCAAAGACAAATATTATTTTAACAGCAAATATCTATCGCATTTAATGTATGAAACTCAAATGGCTTTTAATAATGAAACACAAAAGATAAAGAAATATTTTGTTGTGACAAAGGGTGAACATATCCAAGATGGCGGACCCCACGGCGGCGAATCCAAACCAGCTGAACGCCTCTAAAAATGACGATAAATCACTGGATAAGCAAACATTGGCCGCAGTTTTACAGTTCCTGAGAAAGAATAATCTCAAGGTAAAAGTTTGCATCGTTTAAACGTACTGATTGATAATAGATTCTCAGTGTCTGATTGAATATCAACCATTGCCAAAACTAAGCCATTGCATTTGTGTGTGACTCGATGACCACTTATTGACACACTGTCATCTACTCCTAGAACTAGTATGAGGCTCCACGTAGTGGAGCCTCATAGATCAAGAAGCCCGCAAAATTGCCTGCAGCACAAAACACTAATATTAATAAAGTACAAAAACGTCCATCAAAATGGAGACATTTCACACAGAACCGCTGCACAGTTTGCCCCTATACTCCGTACTTTATCTCTTGACTAGCCCCACTAGTGTGGCCGTCGGTATGCTGCGCTGAACCTTTGGCCACACACCGTGGTACCGCGCGCTACTGAGGACGAAGTTTTTCATAAAATTCAGGGCAGTTTCTTACATTTTCAGTTTCTTACTTTCTTATGGTTGTATTCTATGATGTCTCCTATCACTTCTGGGATGCTTAGCATGTGCTTAGGTCTAATGATGTTCCATTTTCCGAGATATTCTTCAATCTTTCTGGAGTCCATATGCACTCGTGAAACGTCTGGTGATGGCAGCCATTTTGAATGGGACAAGAGATGACCTCAAGCTGTGACGTCGCGTGTATGCAAATTGCTTGTCGAGCGCGCGAGGGCGCGAGTTGCAAATGCGACGGCTGTTTCCTGTACCATGCATTTATCGTCAGGGGGCCACGTGCACCGATCTCTATTCAGGATCTACGGCACAGGAAACAGCCGTCGCATTTGCAACTCGCGCCCTCGCGCGCTCGACAAGCAATTTGCATAAACGCGACGTCACAGCTTGAGGTCATCTCTTGTCACATTCAAAATGGCTGCCACCACCAGACGTTTCACGAGTGCATTATGGGCTCCAGAAAGATTGAAGAATATCTCGGAAAATGGAACATCATTAGATCTAAGCACATGCTAAGCATCCCAGAAGTGATAGGAGACATCATAGAATACAACCATAAGAAAGTAAGAAACTGAAAATGTAAGAAACTGCCCTGAATTTTATGAAAAACTTTGTCCTCAGTAGCGCGCGGTACCACGGTGTGTGGCCAAAGGTTCAGCGCAGCATACCGACGGCCACACTAGTGGGGCTATCTCTTGACATACTCACGTATCATGCGCAGAACTAACATAGGTGGATTCTGTCGGTTTTTAGGCCAAAATGATGAAAAATATGCCCTTTCCGCACTGAGCCAACCCGACACTTAAAACGTGCACGCATATGATCGAGCGATGATTTTCGGTTCGCTCGGTGCGCGCCGCGGGGGGTACGGTACATGCACTTGTACGCATGCACATACTATCATTTCGCTTGTACCGTACCCCCCGCGGCGCGCTCCGAGTGAACCGAAAAATCATCGCTCGATCATATGCGTGCACGTTTCAAGTGTCAGGTTGGCTCAGTGCGGAAAGGGCATATTTTTCATCATTTTGGCCTAAAAACCGACAGAATCCACCTATGTTAGTTCTGCGCATGATACGTGAGTATGTCAAGAGATAAAGTACGGAGTATAGGGGCAAACTGTGCAGCGGTTCTGTGTGAAATGTCTCCATTTTGATGGACGTTTTTGTACTTTATTAGTGTTTTGTGCTGCAGGCAATTTTGCGGGCTTCTTGATCTATGAGGCTCCACTACGTGGAGCGTCATAGTTCTAGGAGTAACTGTCATCAGGTCATGACTGTTGTTGTTACGTCTGTGTCCGACTGTCCTGATTGTGGTCTGTGTAATGATCACACACAAAAATGATCATACTTAAATGTCATTTGCATTAATTAGACTTGTCACTTTTGTGTAGCTTCGTCACTTGTAGTACTTTTTGTGCAGCTTGTATTTCTGGAGGTGGAGCAGTGTGGTGGAGGGGGCCGGGGGGCTTGCTTTTTATACTAGTCCTATCCTTAAGTCACTTCGGAGGTTGTGTACATTGACTGGCCATATTAATTTGAACGTTTGTTAATGTTTTATTTGCATTTATTTTTAAATATGTTAAAAGGACACAGAAGATCTGCTGAAGAAAGAAGCAAACATTGAGGAAACCGATGAAGGTGTGGGTACCAGTACAGACCAAGAGGTTACATCAGTCTTGTCAGCTTATAACAGGTACATTGTAATAATATACATTTTGATAAAAGTGTACTTTAGGTTCCCGTTCCATATAAGAATAGAGAATGAAAACACAATTTAAGTTTAATTATGTTCAATTCAAGAAGCATTTGCATTACCAATGACAACTGTTCCATATTGTGAATCGTTCCTATTGATTACTTTTTTTAATGTAATATAAGTAGGCTGTAGTAGTAATGATATGTAGCTGCTAAATGGATTGTTTGTATTTTTCAGTGATGGAGACCCATGCATGTATGAAGAATTCTACCGTGGCTTACAGAACCTTATTGAAGCATCACTGGACTCCAGTAAGGTAAGGACATTTGTAGCAGTCTTACAATATTTTGGACTGTACCACCGCAAGTACCTCCCCGGTGGAGACAGTGAGAGAGGCCTGATATCAAAGGACACTGGTGCACCGCTGGTGCCATGCGTCCGTCAGAGCTGGAAAAAAAATGATGGGAGTGGGATTTAAACCCGCGATGTGTGGCTTCAGACTAGCACCTCTTGGACAAAAGACGTTGACAAATAAAAGAATTCCAACATTGGGTTGGATAACTTAGTGGTTCGAGCACTAGTATGGTGGTTTATCTGTCGCTGGTTCAAATCCTGCAAGGGGGAATTCTTTGTTCAACCTTGTATTGTGTTTGATTTTTCTTGTGTTTCTTGCAGAGTGAGCTGTCGCAGGTCTTGTATCCAGTCTTCGTCCATATGTACCTGGAGCTTGTCTACAATGGCCACGAGAACCAAGGTACTGCATGAATGAATTAAATAAAGTAAATATGAATATTAGTGTTAGTGTAAGAAAAATACAAAATTGATGCAATAAAATGATTTCAGGTGTTGTGATGTTCCTATAGACTCTGTGCATATGTACCCCCCTCAACGGTTACAAAGGGAGAGTTGGGGGAGGCTACTGGGAGGGACATTCAAACGCATTGCCGATGTCGTCTGATGCTCACGCAAAGACGCTATGGGCTTGTGCACATTCAAAATCAAATTAGTTGTGCATACTACGCGCCGTACGTGCACAAACCAGTACAGGAACGGCCTGTATCCCGTCCACTGAGCTCTTGTGGTAAAAAAAGTGCCATCAAACTGTTCGTGTATGGAGTCCATAGAATGCACACTACAATCCTTTCAGTTTCATATTCTCCTTTTCTGGTGTACATACTTTTTTTTTAACTCTAATTTCGACTCAAACCCCGTAGCCAAGAACTTCTTTGCATCATTCAGTGAGGATCAGGAGGAGCACCATCAGGAAGACTTGATACGACTGGCCACGTTCACCAAGAAAGAACACATGATACACAATGAACTCATGATGAACTACAGGTAATGGCTGAGAGTGAAATAACGATCTGATATTGGACATTAAAAAAACACTGACCACTTTTTTAAAAATAAAATGTTAATTCTAAGTGAGAATTATTGTGTGTTGTCATAGACTTATTGTGACTTGTGATTTGCTTGTGATGACTTGTAAAGGACTTGTGATGCCTTTTGATTGACTTGTAACAACTTGTGATGACTTTGGATGATTTGTGATAACTTATGACGACGTGTGATGACTTGTGAGGACTTCTGATAACTTGTGATGACTTGTGATAAACTTGTGAGGACTTTTTCATAACACTTGTTGACTTGTGATTGACTTGTGATGACATGCGACTTATTTGTGATGACTTTGATTAACTTGCGATGACTTGTGATTACTTGTTATGACCTTGGGATGACATATTGTCACTTGAGATGATTTTTAGGTAGCATTTGTTGACTTGTGATTTACCTGTGATGTACTAATGATGACTTGTGATGCCTTGTGATGCCTGGCTTACAACTCTGGCTGACTCTTTTTCTCAGGACCAGTAAGTATGTGATCCGGATGTGTCGCAACTCCTACCAGGCCCTCAAGAGACAACTGCATGATCGGCAGAACACTATGGTGCTGAATATCGTGGAGGAACACCTGTTCATTGATGGTAATTGAAAACCTAGCCTGACTGCATTTGGCCAACCACAGGAGGCTAGTAGCTGCCATAGTCTACGTGCATGACCTACAGATTGCACTGCTTGGCATACTTGATTGCAATGGCTATTATCCATAATCGTATTCGTGTAATTAGGGTTGTGGATAACTGGTGGGTTCATATATTAACCTTAAATCCCTGAAGATTTTTGCTAGAAACTTTCCATACTCCTCTAAACTCAGTAAATATGTTGGGAATAAATGTCACATTCTTTGTGCTTCAAGTTTGAAGGCGCATCAACCCCACTGTTAAATAGTTGCTGGGCTCGACCTCCCTAAGTCTTGCACAACCCTCCAAAAACTTCTAAAGGATATTGAGGGAAATCAGGGGTTTGGATTCTAAACAAGTGTTATTTTGTTCTTTGTTTATCTTGCTAGTGTTTGATGGAGTACCGCGGAGCAAGCAGCAGATAGAAGCCACGGCAGGAGGCATGGTAGGCCAGGCAAGGAGAGATGGTAAGCTTATAAGATTGCACTCTAGACGTCTTGGTAGGAAAGAGGTGTGTTTTGTGTTTCTGTAAGTAACTTCAGTGATTTTGGCATTTTGTGACCATGCTCGAAAGCCCCAGTGGTCAGGACTCACTGTGTATACACATATTGGTTCACACACTCTTGTTTTACTATACTCCTGAGGACAATGCTTTGTGTTTTCCTTTGTCCCTGTAATATAACATTCTCCCATAGACTAAGCACACAAACCTACCACAGAGGACCGTTTTGAACAAAAGACCCAACGCCCGAGGACTGAAAGGATCTGTTGTTCTCCCTTTGTGTGTCTGTCATTGGGGGTATATAGAACAAGTACACGTATGGCGCAAAGTACGCGTGAAAAATTTTATCTTGAATGTGCACAATCCTGTAGCATCCTGAGCAATGCATTTGAATGTCCCTCCAAGTGGTCTTCTCCGACTCTCTCTTTAAAACTGTTGAAGGAATCTGTGCACAGAGCCCATACCACTAAGTTAAACAATTGTTAAATTTGGATGTGCAAATGTCAAGATGAAATACTAAACTGACCTCATGGTTTGCTCTTCTCAGCTAATAAAAGTCGGGTGTATTACGGCTTACTGAAGGAACCGGAAATCTCCCTTCCCATTGAAGAGGAAGATGAAGGAGGAGAGGATGGAGACAAACCCAAGGTAGGAAAACAACCGGAAAAACATATCGGAAAACCAGACTGTTTTCACTTTTTTTAAATGGATAATCACATTTTGGAAATATGTCTTAGAAGCTAGGAGGAATTGTGTAGAATTTTAACATACTTATGTGCCGAGATAATTTTTGTTTTGTGTTTCTATGGCAATCAGAGGAAACGCCCCAAGAAAGACTCCTCAGCTGGTAAGAAGAACAAACCTGATCCCAACGCACCGCCAGTAACCAGGATACCACTCCTAGAGATGTAAGTTGAAGCCCCAGTCAATATTCATCATTGCATTGAACATTGTAAGGAACGCTTTTGTCTGTTCATTTGAAAAGCTTGTCACAGGACTCGAGACTGAATGGTGTGTGATTGAATTGTGATATTTTGTAATTGCAGTATTTTTAGAAAAGAATGGCATAACCAATAATTGTTAATTAAATTATTTGCATTTTGCTAAGGTAATTTATATGTGAGCTGTATACTCAGTGCTGTCTGAGCGCTTGTAAAAGGAAAAAAATCACAAGCTTGCTCAGGTGGGACTCGAACCCACGACCTCCTGCATACTAGTGCAGATGTCTTCCCACTCGACCACTGAGCTTGCCGGAGGCAGCTGCCTGGTTCAAATATGATATAGCAATAGAAGTGAAATATTTTCTTTGATTTATTTAAATATTATTAGGAAAGACTCTGACAAAATTGACAAGGCCATCGCTTTGCGAGAGCTGTCCAAGAGAATCCGTCTGGGACCCGACTGCTTACCGTCTATCTGTTTCTACACTTTCCTGAATGCATTCCAAGGGTAAGCATGAATAGGATCACGAATACTGCTCATAAGTACTTGGTGTGTTCACATAGGCCACGATAAATTTCTAGCTACCGGATTTTTTTCCTAGGTTTTCATACTTATCTTTCAACCTGTTGTTGATTGCCCAACCCCCCTTCAAATTCCAATATCCATGACAGCCTAACTCGGATCAAATTTATGCAACAATCCACATGAATTTTGACATTCGTCACGCATGCATATTTGTACATGAAACTGAAGTGAGCAGGATTTAAACGACACAGAGGTTGCAGATTCGAATCTCACTGTTTGTTGATTCTCTCCTGTGCCACGAGGGATTTTCTTCGGGTTGTCCAGTTTTCCTCCCTCCACAAAACCAACAGTTTCGATCTGGCTGTTCGTGGTAAGACATGAGTCGTACTATGGCGGCTGCCTAAGGCACCTCTATATACCCTTGGCCCTGTTTGGAGCTCAGCCCTTCGCAATTCAGCTTCTGTTGTGAGTAAGATGGATTAGCCTCCCAAATTTATTTTGAAAATATATTTTATGCTATATTGCACTACAGGTTGATTTCTGTTGACATCAGCGATGACTCTAGTCTGATGGTGGCAGGCTTTGCCGATTCCTGCATCAGGGTCTGGGCCCTGACTCAGCGGAAGCTACGCAGCATGAAGCTAGGCAGTGACCTGACTCATATTGACAAGGAGGCCGATGATGTCATGGAGAGAATCATGGACGACAGGTAAAGACAACACATTCATCAAAAAAACCAACTAATTTTGAAATTAATTTCATGATTTAAAGGCCATTTGCTTCTTTTGTTTGTTTGTTGGTTTCTTCAAGTTTTTGATCATCACTAAGTATTGTTCACAAAGACAACAGGATGCAAGGTAATGCAAATTTTGAAAAATAAATAAATACATATCCCAGGTGAAGCTGAGGATAAAGTCACTGGAAGCCTTTGAGTAGGGTAGATATGGTAGCACATGTCTTTATTCCGTGATTTTGTGTGGCGTTGTAACGAAACTACTGACTTACGAGAATGTAAGAATAGTGGATTAGACGAATCCAGGCACTTGACCACAGTACACTCAAGAGGCCCCCTTCAATGATGGAGAAACCATTGTGCATGCTATTGTATAAAGCCACTGCCCCTTGATAGATTATCTGAACAATAGCTAGCACAATGCTTTTGCCATTGAAGGGGGCCTTCATGAAAGAAGTGATAGCGAGTTGGGATTGGTCTAAACCAGGGATTTAATGGGATCCTGGCTGGTTATTTCAGTGTGTAAGGTAAGGATGCATTATGGGCATGCTGAATCTAGCATTTTCGGAAGATGAGTTCTAGTTCCTTTCAGAATCTCACAAACGAGATACACAGACAACTTGCTAACATGCAAATCCTTTACTCATTAATTGTCCTCCTTGCAAATTTCTTAATTAAATTTCACCATAGTTTTTCAATGTGTGAAAATGTTGTGGATTTGCACTTTGCAGGACGGCATCTGACTGCCGGACGTTACTCGGTCACAGCGGCTCGGTCTACTCAGTCAGCATCAGCCCAGACAGGACCTACATCCTATCAGGCTCTGAGGATGGTACAGTCAGGCTATGGAGTATGTTCACATTCTCCAATCTGGTCTGCTACAAGGGACACAACTATCCTGTCTGGGACGTCCAGTTTGCGTGAGTTCCAGTGACAAAGTTGTATTAGAATTCACCATCATTTAGACCATCATTGAGAATTCACTCCGGTACCATTTCATTTAAAGATTAGGCTTTAATCAGGGTTTGTTGCCATTTCGGAAACCAGGGAAAACCTTGAAAATATCAAAAATCAAGGAAAACTCAGGGATTTTGACAGTGATCCAAAAGGGATACACTTCTCGAGACCGTAACAATTGCCTGTGCTACACCACCCCTTTACTTCCCAGCAACCTCATTAAAGTAAAAATATTTCTCATGGAAGTTTGGAGATTTCTCAGGGAACTATCAGGAAAAACTCAGGGAATTTTGTTCTCATAAAGTGCTGGGAACCTTGTTGATATATAAAGTGCTTATTTTGGAAGATCTCTAGCAAAAATAAACCAGGGATCCAGACTGAATGGTAGCGAAAGTGATAAGCACGTTGTCTACAAATGTTTCTTTGCAGTCCCTACGGCCATTACTTTGTCTCTGGCGGTAACGACAGGACAGCCAGACTGTGGACCACTGAAAACTACCAGCCCATCAGACTGTTTGCTGGACATTTCTCTGATATAGATGTGAGTTTCAAAGTATTTCATTTGTTTGGCTTCTTTAACTGTATTTACCCTTCAGTCACCGTAGCGCCCGAATCCGCCCCACCTATTACTCACTGTAGCAACCGAAACTGGCTGATTTTTCAGTGAATAAACACAAAGTAATACAATGTTGTACAAGTGCTAGATCAATTATTGCTCATAATTTCTTTAGCTGTCACTAATTTTCAAGAGTCGTTTTTCGATTAAAAGCTATTTTAATTTCGGCACAGTTCTTGACCAACAAATTGTTGGAAATAAACTTACAAGCAAACATCGTCAAACTTATTTTAATTTAATGACATTTAGGGCCCGTCTCAATTCATATCCAGGATGAGTTCTGGACAAGTTGCAAATAGAATCCTTAACTGTGTCCAGAAGAAGCTCTGCATTTGTCCCAGACATGTTCCAGGAAAATTTTAACTGCAGGACTATTTACTATTAACATCATTATGGGAAGATTGTGGGAAAGTTGTTCGGAATCCTGCAACTTATACCCGATACAATATCCTGAAATTGTCCGGAACTCGTCTTGGATATGAGTGGAGACGGTACCTTGCGAAACAAAATCATTGCCTTCTAAGATAGCTGCTGTGCGTAAGGTCTTCAGGTCTTGTGGGCAAATGAAATCACTTACTGGATAACTCTCAATATATTGATAGTGGTTTTTTTTAATTTTCCCATCTCATGCAGTGTATAAGATTCCACCCCAACTCCAACTACGTTGCGACAGGCTCCAGTGACCGAACCATTCGTCTGTGGGATTTGCAGAACGGCAAGTGCGTGCGAATCATGACAGGTCACAAGGTATGCCACGGTAGAAGGACCTAATTTTTTGATGCTGTAATTACGTTGGTCTAGAATACTGAATGGCCACGTCTCAAGTTTGTAAAACAAATTGGACATCACTTGTCCTGTGGCAAATATGTAGGTGACAACGATGTAGTGTGTTGTGTAGAGCAGCATCAGATGTGTAGGCATGTCCCTGTGAGTACTGGAAGAAGTATTGTAGTCGAGGTAAATATCGTTGGTTGTACCTCGAAGTGACGAATGTGATTGTTTTGCTGCACCACTAAGTGATGGATTGTCTATGGACTTTGTGCACACGATACTTCACTTTGTGGTGCAGCAACTATCGACAATACGTCACTTTGTGATGCGACCGACTATATGATGGATCAACAAGTCATCACAAGTCACCCAGGCCCACGTCAACTCACAAGCTACTTACATGAACTGTAACAGAGGCATTCTGTACTTATTCATCCCCTGTTGCTTGTCGCTGGACTTGTAAATTAACTTGTGATAAGCTTATGACCAGACTTGCAAGTTTCATCCAACAGCAGTACCTCAACTGAAATATTGAAGGAAAGTCAGAATTGTATCTTTAAGACTTATCTGTATGTACCCGCAGCTTCACCTGATGTTCCCTCTAGTGTAAAAAACAAATTCCCGCAAAGAGCTTGACAGACAAGGTTTACAAGTCAAGATTCATGGCAATATTATTTTTTTGGCAGGGTCCTATTCAGGTCCTATGCTTCTCTCCCAATGGTCACTACCTTGCCTCTGGAAGCACCGACGGTCGCGTCTTGATTTGGGAGCTGAGACACGGTCATCTGGTCGCTGAACTGGCCAACCACACGGACACGGTCTATGCCTTAGCTTTCTGCAGGGATGGCAGTGTCTTGGCGTCAGGTAAAGTTGGATTCCAAACACTCCTAGAAAGAATTACTTTAAACCATTCTACACCCTTATCAAAACCTACCAGCAGTTTTGGAGAATTTTGCAGGATTTAGCTGATGTATAATCTGCTGTGGAAAGCTTTTTGTCGCTTTTTACAGCAATTTAGAAATATTTTGATAATGGAACACAACGCGGGAGTTGAAAACTAGAAAATTGAACTGATCCCAGAAGTTGCATGCCTAATTTTGGAAAGTTCATGCCAGGCATCAAACCCCGATACTCCAAAGTTTAAAGCTAAAAGTATAAAGAATATGCCTCTGGATTCTTGCTGATGTGGTTAATTTGGCAGGATTCTGGAAAGTTTATCACAAAAATGAGAGGTTATGTTAATTGTTTAACAGTGTGTGGCATATTGATGAACAGAAAATTAATGTCACAGTGAACACTGGTTTGACTTATTTCTGAACGCCACTTGTTGGATCGTAAGCAGAAGTTTTCTGGGATCCTGCTCCTAAAGTCCGAGTGATATTTGAAAGATCGGTTTTTTTTACAGGCTTTACAGCTGATCCAAAGTCAAACATTGTTTGCGTTCTTTTTGCAGGTGGCATGGATAACTGTGTCAAGTTGTGGGACGTGAAAAAGGTCTTTTCAGAAGTTGAAGCTGAGGACATGACGACGACCCCCAACATTGTACAGTAAGTCAAGTCTGGACAGATTCACTGTCTTAAACTTCTTGACTTTTGTCAAAATTGGGTTCAAAGAAGCACTTTGCCCTAATTTTGAAAATAAACGGGTTCGTGCAATATCAATTTGAGACTGTTGAAGTGTTGCACCGAACCAAAAATATTAGGAGTAATTCGGGTTGACCAAAATACATTTGGTTTCAGAAGGGCCAACTTTTTGTAGAGGTTTTACATGGACTGGACTCTGGCGTGATTTTGATTTACTGCACCATAGATATTTCAAAAATTGTGGATGTTATCATTTCTCACTGTCACAAAAGTAGACCTTAATTTAAAACTGGAATATTCAACAATTAATTTTAGTTTTTTATATAAAAAAAATTCCTGGAAACTTTATAAATTATGCAGTATATGAAAAAAGAAACTCCTTTTTGATTTTGTTTCAGATCCGTGAAGAGCAAGCTCTTGTTGGGCTCCTACCCCAGCAAAGATACCCCGGTCTATTACCTGCACTTCACTCGACGGAACTTACTACTAGCTGCAGGGTCCTATGCCAACACGTCAAGCTGAACAGTTCTGCATGACCAGGACCAGAGCTGGAGTACTATGTTACAGTCTCTCTGGGGTGGAGTGGTCTTTGAATGTGTAAAACCAAGAACTGGACTGCTTGCTGGATGCATAGACTGTTCACGGAATTTGTCAACTGTTTTGCATTTGTTGCCTTTTGACGTGAGCAAAGTGTGCGAATGTTCATTTTGCTGACAGTGCATTAAGATGGTGGTGTGGCTAGAGGAGTATATGGGGATGTGACCACCTCTCCCCCACCCTCCCCCTCCCTCACCTACCTCCCCCTCCCCCGCTCAACGTTTGCATGAGAAAAATCGTCAGTCTTGTTGACAAAATTATGTTAACTCTCCACAAAGAGGCTACAGTGAACAGCGCCGTCTAGTGTCAAGCAATGTCCAGTTACACAATTTTGTCTAGTGACTTTGTTACCCGTTGCCATCTATTGGCAATTGATGCACCGTTAGACCATACGAATAGACTGCTGTTTGTAGTCCCGCCCCATGACGTTTCAGACCAAATCCAGAGTGGTCCATATTCTAGCACCAACTGTGCATGCAGAACCAACAAGCATGCTTTTAGTCCAGGGTGGGAAGCTTAGGACACAAGACAAAAACATTGATTTCTCAGCATTTAGCACAAAAGATTTGCAGACATTGTTCAACTTTTGATGACATTTGTGCGAGGCATAGCACAATTTGGTCGCAATCTGCCTAAGTGAAAACATTAGTAACAGCAGAATTGCTTTACCCATTTTTCCAGAAGACCAAAATGTTAATGAATTTCGGAACTGGCTTTATAAGTGTATGGGTGCACTATGGGAACGTACGTTTCAATTGTGTTTACTTAGTTTTCACTATATAAAGTTAGCATTTTTTCAAGCAGATACTATTGCTTTATTTGGTCTCATAGTTGCACATGCAACCTAAGTCAAATTTAGTGTTCTAATAAAAGCAAAATGGAGCAAGAAACCTGTTTATGGAAGAGTGAATGGAGTTCCCCGGCTTGCTAATAAACGTGTTCATTACGTTTGACTGTTGTTGACCATTAATACAATTTCCCCAAGAATGTTAAAATTTCTACTGAAAAAAAAAATTGAAAAAAAAAAATCTTTGTTTGCTTTTAAACCCCTTCCCCATTTTTAACTAAACATTTTCAATAGTTGAACTGGAACGTTTCAACAGCAAGAGTTTTTTCTTTTACAAAAGCTGATTTTCGTATAATTTACTCAATATTAGCCAAACCTTTGGCAAAATATTTTCGAAATTTTTTTTTAAAGAATAAACTGCCTTCACAAATAATAGCAATGCCAAATACATTTCCAGAAAATTATGACAGTGATATATTAAGTAGTTTCCTTTTTCATACATATAATGCAGAAACACAAACACAGAAAAACATAAAAATCATGCGGAACACTTAAAAATACAAACAAATGGGGTAAATGCATCTCAAAAATGCCTCGCAATTCTCGCTTTGGCGTACCATTTTGTCTAAAATGAATTAGAACGCCAGTTTTGCAAAAAGACGAAAACAAAATATAGGATATAGCTGGCTTACTCCTTCCTCCTTACTTATATTAGTCCTAATCCTCACACCCACATACCTACATTATCTTTAGAGTTAAATGATTAATCTAACTTAAAATGCAATTTAAACAGAGCATTTCGAAATTAGTTGACAATCTTCTTGCGCTTTTCCAAACTACACCATCATTACCGGTACTTAAATAAAAAAAAATTTAAATTAAGAAGTAATTTGTTCCAACTTTTTTTGTAAAAAACCAATATTGTGAAGAACCTATAGTTGAATGTGGGCATATCGTTGTGCATTTTTTTTGGGGGGGGCACCCTGTATACATGGGGGAGAGACAGGCCCCCCCCCCATTTTTTTGAAGGATGGGGGACACAATGTCCCCCCCCCCCCCCGCTGTTTTAAAGTATGTGTGTGTGTGTGTGGGGGGGGGGGGGGTATTGTACCGTTTGTTCCCCCATACTTTTTTTCGTATCCGAATGAAAATTGTAGCCTGTATTTGATTATAGAGCTATGATTCTAACAGCTGATTCAATTACTCCAACCTCGAAACTGATGTTTAAATGATGATCTTTTGCACCACAGATCAGAGCATCTAGAGTCCAAAATGTTTAGTGGCTCTAGCGGTCCCTAAACCCCACGCTACTCCTTTAGAATAGCTGGTTCAATGATTCCAACCTCGAAAATTATGTTTCGTTGGTTAACTTTTGCTAAGAAATATTGGTTAAGGTAATCAGAAATACTGCATCAGATCGCACCACAGAGCATCTAGAATCCATTTTTTTCGGGGCCCTTATTAAGAGAACCCCACGCCGTAGGGCTTCGCGCTCGCGTTATTTCTGATCAAGGTATCCCCCCCCCCCCCCCCCCCCACACACACACCTTTTCAGAAGCGATTGACGCCCTGCCTTTATAAATACTGTAAACGTGCAACACAAAGTTAACAAACTTGCATAGACTACATTTGTACATAACGCCCATGATATGAACTTGCACGTACTTGACCTGCGCCCCGAATGTACCTCGTACCATAAAAACAAATTCTCATAATTCCACTACTACATGTACATATGCGGTTGTGATACTGCCGAGCTGTACGCCGCGACAAAAAGATGGCTGGCCACTCTGAACTTGCACTCATCTTATTTGCATAACAACTATGAATAATTCAACAAAATCAAGTTGGGAAAGGCCTCGTGGCTTTGCCACTCGTGCGTGCTGACTTAATCTTTGCTCCAGTCGCTTCGGGTCTTCGCAACTCCGCCGCTCTTAAGCCACGATGGCCTGGGCGAAAGGCTATGGATGACTCCGCTAGCAATAACGGCAACTTTCGTGTCAGCGTCACGTTTTGTCAGGAAATGTGTTCCTAAGGGCATCCCAAAGTCGTAAGTTTTCTAAATCTGCATGTTTTAATATGATTGTAAGGAATTTAAAGAACAAGCTCATTTAGTTATTTTGTGGAATAATTGCTTTATTTTTGTGTGAATTTATTGCGGAAATGTGTGTCAAAGTGACATGAAAACATGTGCATACAAGGGAGGATCCAGAACACAATTTTTTTTGGGGGGGGGCCAAAAAAAAATTTGGTCCCCCAAAAAAGTGGGTCAAAAAATTACGGCGTGGGGTTCGGGGCCCGCTTAAGGGCCCCGAAAAATGTTTGGATTCTAGATGCTCTGTGGTGCGATCTGAGGCAATTTCTGACCACTTTAACCAATGTTTTTTTGAGGAAAAGATGGTGGTGTACTCATTGCCTGCCTTTATTGCGATGTCACATAAAAAAATATTTAAAAATAGGGTTTTTTGGGGGGGGGGGCATGGCCCCCTTTGCCCCCCCCCCCTGGATCCGCCCTTGTGTGCATATATAGGCTTATACATGAACATTTAGATATGGAAGCCACACAGGTAATATATTTTATGCAGTACATTGGATGTACAGTCGGGACTCGCACATGTGCTTATTTGCTACTGACTGAATTGATACACGTACGTTATATTGTTTAATTTATCACTCTTAATTGAAGTTGTATTTGTCATTGTTTGTTTCATTTTATGTAGATTAAACTGTGGCTGCGTGATTAAAGTTACTGCTATGTGTTACGTGGTATGGATACGTGATACACTTAACGTCATTCGTCATCAGTAATGTTGAAGTCAACTGGAACTTTGAAGTATCATTATATCCTACAAACATAGCTGGGCCATTAGGCTAGAAATATATTTCAGACCAAGGCTACATACAGCAGTTAGTTGCAAACTGGAATAGTTAAGTTCACCATGGCGCAACGGGAAAACTTGAACGTTTCACTGTGCCCCCTTCACACCCGCCAAGACCTGATCGAGTCATGTGCCGAGCTTATAAAAATCACGTGGCCGTGCAGCAAACCAGAGAGACTGCACCGAATGGCGGCAGAGGAGACCAGCGGCTTGCCATGCTGTCTAGTCCTCATCGAGCACAGGGAGGACGCCCCGGATGTCGTCGTTGGACATGTACGGTTAGTTACTGTGACGAGTCCTGAAACGCCGCGAAGTGCATACTTGGAGGCCATCTGTATACATCCATCCAAGCGAGGTCTAGGGCTTGGGTACAAAATGATGAAGCTTGCCGAGCGTTATGCATACGACAACTTGGGATGTAAGCAAATGTTCTTACTGTGTCTAGCAACCACACTGGGTTTCTACGAACGGCTTTCGTATCAGCTGTATCCAGTTTTGAAACTTGAAACAGAGGGCATCAACTTGCTGTCGCATTCCCCCAAATTTGCTACTTGGTACGGAAACAAGCCCCTGAAAGGCTGGGAGTTCGTGTACAGTGACGGCCCGTGTGCCTCTAAAGAAGTCATGAAACGGAGAGCATTCGGCCAACTGACGCTGAGGAAATACTTGACTGACTCATAGTGAACTTTTGAACTTGATATAGCGGATACGCATGTTTGGATAAAAAAAAAATGATAGTGCATGGTGTACGATGTCCTTCATATATGAAAAGGATTATGGTTAAAGAATGTTAATGGGGTCATGATAAATTGTACGGTCACTACAGTCTCCTGGCTAGTACTAGGTCGAACGTTTCTCTTAAACTCTTTTATTTCAAGTTTTGTTTTGTGAATAGACAAAGAAACTTTCCTTGATTTCGTATTTGGACTGTGTTTGGAGTTTTAAACTATATTTATTAGTAACAAACAGTAGTTTCACGAATGGACTTTAAGGCAGGTTCACTTTTTATGTAGCCTAGCAGTCTATAGTTTTCTTCATGTCTCGATTTCAAGCCAAAAAAAAGACTTCAAACTGATATAGTTCGGAAATAATTTGCTAAGTTTCAAAAACGGTTGCCTTTTTGGATTTGTTTAAACATAAGTTCGATCCCATTTGATATCTTTTCAACAGCATGATACAAGACAATAATTTCACATGTAAAATAATGTGCTTTCAAACATTTTATCACTAAGGGGCCATTCAGAATTTTCAATGTTTTAAAATTTCGACTTTTTTTCCAAATTAATTTGACCCACCCACCCACCCCTAATTTCGATTAATAAAAAACTGAACATGTACATGCACTTGCATGTACCCCCCCCCCCCATGAAACCTTGCGACAGCCCCCCCCCCCCCCATGAAAACTTGTCCCCCCCCCCCAGTCGCGCCCCCCCCCCACTGAGATTTTGAGTTTCTAAAAAACTTATCATTGATCTATATGACGCCCCCCATGTAATATTCCAGCCCCCCCCCCCCAAATAAATAAACCAGTAAAGTCACTGTGTGAAAGCTCTGTTCCCCACCAAATTCGTTATCATAGATAATAATGTTGATTCTAATATAAAGTTAATGAACTAATAGGGAATGCAACAATAATTTCAGGAATGAATTGCAGGGCAGCTCCGTCGCACAGCCTTTAACGTTTCACCACTTGAAACTTAGAACTGATAGACACATGGATTACAAGATAAGAGAACTGTTCAATTGCCTCATTGATGTTCTCCGAAGTCACCGTGTTCAAATTAGAAAAAGTTTTAACTATGGAAGGTTGTGAATCTTTTCTTTCAAAACTGAGGGAGGAATTATTGCATTCATATTTATTTTATCGTCAATGTAAAATTGTGTCTTATTTCATTTTGTTCCCGGGTATTTTCTTGTTGTTTCTTTAGTGTGTGTATTTAATGCGAGTGAAGACCTATGTATGCCAACTAGGTTGTTTGTTTTTATGGTTTGCATTTTTCTCTCTGGGGAATGGGATTGCTTTTGTTTCTCGGTTTTGTTTTGTTTTGTTTGTAATAATCTTTTTAGCCCGTTTGTCATTCATTCCCGTTATTGAGTCTGGTTGTTTGTTTTGTTTGTTAGTTTGTTTGTTGGGTTGTAAGAGTATTTATTTATTAGTTCGTTTTTATATTTGTGTATCTGTCTGGCTTGTCCAATGTTTCACTCTATGATTTTTTTGCTGAGTCTTGTCTCATCTCCCCCCGTCTTGTCTCGTCTCGTCATGTCTCGTCATGTCTCGTCTCGTATGATTTGTACAATTTACTTTTCAATAGTACTTTAATTTTTATGAATGGAATTTTAAATCTGTTTTATTGGCATGGGTTTGGATAAATGTCTGATGACAGTTGTTTTTTTTTTTACTTTTACATATCAGTGGCAGCCTGTCCAACTTTTAGCTTTTATTTTATATTTTAAGATTTAAAATAAATTAATTGAATCAAATAAATCAAATAAAGTTTCTTCAAGTCTTTATTACGCTGGAGATTTCCCGATCGCAGTACATATGAGAGGCAGCACGAATAGGCGCGACCTAATCCGGCCAAATTACGATTTGTATACTAGTTTATCTGTAATAATAAAGAATTTTGGCCCCTGCACTTGAGGGTCTGTATTTGTAGAAGTGAAGGGTCCATGTTCCTGAATTTGGATTTCTGAACAAAACATTTGAATGGAATCTATATTGATATGGAGTGGAAGGAATCTGTTTGTTTTTTTTCAAAATGGCGATGGGGTGATCATCGTTGGAGGGAAAAATCACCTAAAAGTCATAGGTCAACCCCCCCCCCCCCAAAAAAAAGATTTCCAAAAAGGTAAAGAGGATTAATTCAGCTTTCATTTGATGTATATTTTGATCACCTGTGAGGGTTCAGAGTATGTTCCCCGATTTGTTTAAATTGGGGTATTTATCTTTTGAAAATTGTCGGTTTGTGTATTATGAATATGATCAAGTGAAATTATTTATGCAGTATTTTGCCCATTTCCCTCAAAATTGCATATTGTAATATTGTACATTTTTATCAATTTGCTAGAATATGTGATACCTCACCAACAAGTATCTTTTAACGAAATTCAATCAGAATATTTATCAATTTTTAAAAAAAAATTAGTTGTTGTGTTACTTGTTGGTGTCCCTGCCACTGTACGATGGTGTAGCCGTGCGTTATGCACGTGGGACTTTACTGAATAGAGTCTGGTGACTGTACATAGAAATTTCCTTGAATAAAAGTCGAATCGTTCATTCATGTGCACTTGTTATGCAAAGCAGGGGCAGTGGTTCAAGGATATCTATGTCGACTTGCAGAAAGTGTGCAGGAACGCGACTTGAATGCTTTTATGTGTTCACAATACAACGACGCTGTTTAGCTATTTCACTGTGTGACACAGTGAGAAATGTTGGAATCATAATGGCGTCATCGATACTTGCTGGGGAGTTCTTGCGTACGACTTTCTGTACTTTGGTACTGTTGTTTCCAGGACAATTGTGTGTACGGTAACCCGACGTACCCAGATTTTTAAAGACGAAATTGCCGACCTCAAACTTGTTAGTGCCATATTTGGCAACTATATGTGCGTTATTAGTTTAATTAAACAAATGAACAGGTTAATTAAAGGGAATATACATCATTTGCTTTTGCTGTAATTTTCAGAAATGGATGGAATTGGGGGGTTGGAAATTATAAAGCAAATATAGTTACACTGACTTTTTGGAGGTTTTGGGTTCGAAAATGCTATAAAAACCAAGAAAAACGATCATTTTCCTGTAGTCTGGTTCCCTGACTCCATATAAGAAGAAACAGAGCAGTTTACATACATTGGGGAATTGTAAGGTCAGGGAACCAGTCTAGCTGGCTCGTACCCGTTCATAGATTTGTAATCGATTGCAAACAAGTGCAATGGTCAATTGGGGCCAGTATTTGAAAAAAAGCCAGTTGTTTCCAACGCTGATCGGCCGATCAGCGTTGGAAATTGATACAAAAATACCACTTTTCTTGAAAATGACAGTATACCAGGTGCCATAATTTTACAGGATGCTTTAGACTGTCATTTACCAACATCCTATTAAGGTATTTCGTAAAAACTTGGTAATTTTATTTTTCAATGTTTGCAAATGTTGTATATTCCCTTTAAACATAGTACCATTGAAGGTACCTAAAAGTAAACCTAACAGCATATATAAAAGACCGACAGACGAGCCTAAAATGTCTGGATAATTTTTTAGGGCGTTAGGCCGGCAAGTTAACACAAACTTGGTGTCAAATAGATCATGGGAGTTACTTTTCTTCGACTTTTCGTACAACTTTACATAAACTTTAACTGTATGACCTGCAGTGGCGTAGCCACGGGGGGGGGGGGGGGGGGGGGGGGGGGTGACAACCCCCCCCCATGAAACCTTGTCGCCCCCCCCAGTCGCCTCCCCCACTGAGATTTTGAGTTTCTAAAAAAATTATCATTGATCTACATGACGCCCCCCCCCCCATGAAATGTTCCAGCCCCCCCCCCCCCCCCCCCCCCTGAAAAATGTCTGGCTACGCCACTGACAGTACATACAGGGGACGAAGTTGGAAAAGAAACACGCATCGCAATATCAGAACGCTTGCGCGTAGTTCAGGCAAGTCAAAAGATCTATCTTTCTTTGTTTTTTTATCTTTTTCCATGGAAATGAATTTCGATTTTCAATTATTTAGCTTGACCCACCCACCCACAATTTGGAAAAAAGATCGAAATTTTAAAACTGTAACGTAGAACGAATCTGGGGTTCTCACACGCCAGACGAAGGAAACCACAGACTCTATTCTTCAGGGCTTCGGGGCTCTCCGGCCATTTATTCTTGCCACTTTCTTTACACGAGGCTCTCTCTTTATACAACTCCGACAAAAAGGACGCTATACAAAAGTCACACTACTGAGTCGGCGCAGTCTGGCAACGGGTCTCCCTGGCCCAGCAGCAGGGGTCTCAACGCTACGGTTGCACCGTGGGTCCGTGCTGGCGCCCTCTGCCGGCGGCCCGGCACCGCCGTTACAAAACATTGAAAATTCTGAATGGCCCTTAATGCACTCAACCCCGCTCATGAGGTATTCCTACTGATTCAAAAATCCTGCGAATAAGGATTCACTTCAGTGCACTACTTTCGCTGCTGTTATGTTTTACTATTTAATTTTTCAATTCAATTCCCTGCTTCAAATGGTTTAATTTGCACTCTAAATAAGTATAATGTTGCAATGTAAGTGCACCGTATAAATACATTGTATGGCCTATATCGGCCCTACACGTTTTAATGTAAATTGCCTGGATTGCAGTTACTGCAGGTCCTTGCTTGTGTTTGTGATTTTATTTCCAGTCTTGGTAAGTCATTAAATGTACGGCAACCCAGATAAGAGCAACTACAAGAAAATTCACCTCACTCCAATAGTCTTTCAAATAATATATGTATATTGTCTTTCAAATGTATCGAATGAAGCGGAACTGCGTAGCACTGAAGACAAATACATGTAGGCCTATAGGCTAAGTGATGAAGGCCCAGTAGGGCCGAAAATTCAGCCAGAAATTTCCCGGTGAGCACTGCTTTAACTTTTGTTTTCGTCTTTCAAATGTATATATAAGACTAATATAATAGGATTGAGGTATTCCCCCCCCCCCCCCCCCACACACACACACACACTTTTCAGAAGCGATTGACGCCCTGCCTTTATAAATACTGTAAACGTGCAACAAAGTTAACAAACTTGCATAGACTACATTTGTACATAACGCCCATGATATGAACTTGCACGTACATGACCTGCGCCCCGAACCAGTGTACCTCGTACCATAAAAACATAAATTATCATAATTCCACTACTACATGTACATATGCGGTTGTGATACTGCTGAGCTGTACGCCGCGACAAAAAGATGGCTGGCCACTCTGAACTTGCACTCTTCTTATTTGCATAAAAACTATGAATAATTCAACAAAATCAAGTTGGGAAAGGCCTCGTGGCTTTGCCACTCGTGCGTGCTGACTTAATCTTTGCTCCAGTCACTTCGGGTCTTCGCAACTCCGCCGCTCTTAAGCCACGATGGCCTGGGCGAAAGGCTATGGATGACTCCGCTAGCAATAACGGCAACTTTCGTGTCAGCGTCACGTTTTGTCAGGAAATGTGTTCCTAAGGGCATCCCAAAGTCGTAAGTTTCCTAAATCTGCATGTTTTAATATGATTGTAAGGAATTTAAAGAACAAGCTCATTCAGTTATTTTGTGGAATAATTGCTTTATTTTTGTGTGAATTTATTGCGGAAATGTGTGTCAAAGTGACATGAAAACATGTGCATACAAGGGCGGATCCAGAACACAATTTTTTTTGGGGGGGGGGGCCAAAAAATTACGGCGTGGGGTTCGGGGCCCGCTTAAGGGCCCCGAAAAATGTTTGGATTCTAGATGCTCTGTGGTGCGATCTGAGGCAATTTCTGACCACTATAACCAATGTTTTTTTTTTGAGGAAAAGATGGTGGTGTACTCATTGCCTGCCTTTATTGCGATGTCACATAAAAAAAAAAATAATAAAAATGGGTGTTTTTTTTTTGGGGGGGGGGGGGGAATGGCCCCCTTTGGCCGTCCCCCTGGATCCGCCCTTGTGTGCATATATAGGCTTATACATGAACATTTAGATATGGAAGCCACACAGGTAATATATTTTATGCAGTACATTGGATGTACACTCGGCACTCGCACATGTGCTTATTTGCTACTGACTTAATTGATACACGTACGTTATATTGTTTAATTTATCACTCTTAATTGAAGTTGTATTTGTCATTGTTTGTTTCATTTTATGTAGATTAAACTGTGGCTGCGTGATTAAAGTTACTGCTATGTGTTACGTGATATGGATACGTGATACACTTAACGTCATTCGTCATCAGTAATGTTGAAGTCAACTGGAACTTTGAAGTATCATTATATCCTACAAACATAGCTGGGCCATTAGGCTAGAAATATATTTCAGACCAAGGCTACATACAGCAGTTAGTTGCAAACTGGAATAGTTAAGTTCACCATGGCGCAACGGGAAAACTTGAACGTTTCACTGTGCCCCCTTAGCACCCGCCAAGACCTGATCGAGTCATGTGCCGAGCTTATAAAGATCACGTGGCCGTGCAGCAAACCCGAGAGACTGCACCGAATGGCGGCAGAGGAGACCAGCGGCCTACCATGCTGTCTAGTCCTCATCGAGCACAGGGAGGACGCCCCGGATGCAGTGATCGGGCATACACGGTTTGTTAAGGTGATGAGTCCTGAAACGCCTCCAAGTGCATACGTCGAGGCCTTCTGCATACATCCATCCAAGCGAGGTTTAGGTCTCGGGTCCAGGATGCTGGACCTGGCTGAGCGCCATACATTCAAGAACTTTGGATGTAAGCAAAGCTTTCTAATATGCCACGAATCCCTGATGGATTTCTACAAACGGATTTCATATCAGCTATACCCGGTGTTGAAGCTTGAAACAGTGGGCGCCAATTTGCTGTCACATTTTGATGGAGCTGCCACGTGGTACGGAAACAAGCCCCGGAAGGGCTGGGAATTCGTGTACAGTGACGGCCCACACGCCTCTAAAGAAGACATGGAAATGAGAATATTCGGCCATCTGACAATGAGGAAATATTTGAAAGATTATTATTAAATATTGACTTTCCCAAAGAAGTGCTCATTTGAAAACGAAAAGTAACTCAGTCCTAGTTTGATTACTATCGCACATACCACCGGTAATTGCAAACTGGAATAGTTAAGTTCACCATGGCGCAACGGGAAAACTTGAACGTTTCACTGTGCCCCCTTCACACCCGCCAAGACCTGATCGAGTCATGTGCCGATCTTATAAAAATCACGTGGCCGTGGAGCAAACCAGAGAGACTGCACCGAATGGCGGCAGAGGAGACCAGCGGCCATGGGCGTCGCCAGGATTTTTTCTAGAGGGGGTCAAAATAGTTTTTTTGCCAAAAAATGCTTGTATTTCTCAACACATTCTCGTTTTATCAGTTTTAGAGGGGGGCAGGGACATTTTGCCCCCCCCCCCAACTCATTAAATTTACACTACTTTGTCTTCGCGCCTCTTTTTCTTTTCTTTTTTTTTTTCTTTTTTCTTCCTTTTTTTTTTTTTTTTTTTGGGCTTTCCGGGGGGGGGGGGGGGGGGGGGGGGGCAAGTGCCCCCCTTGCCCCCCCTCGCGACGCCCATGCCAGCGGCCTACCATGCTGTCTAGTCCTCATCGAGCACAGGGAGGACATACTTCGAGGCCTTCTGCATACATCCATCCAAGCGAGGTTTAGGTCTCGGGTCCAGGATGCTGGACCTGGCTGAGCGCCATGCATTCAAGAACTTTAGATGTAAGCAAAGCTTTCTATTATGCCACGAATCCCTGATGGATTTCTACAAACGGTTTTCATATCAGCTATACCTGGTGTTGAAGTTTGAAACAGTGGGCGCCAATTTGCTGTCACATTTTGATGGAGCTGCCACGTGGTACGGAAACAAGCCCCGGAAGGGCTGGGAATTCGTGTACAGTGACGGCCCACACGCCTCTAAAGAAGACATGGAAATGAGAATATTCGGCCATCTGACAATGAGGAAATATTTGAAAGATTATTATTAAATATTGACTTTCCCAGAGAAGTGCTCATTTGAAAACGAAAAGTAACCCAGTCCTAGTTTGATTACTATCGCACATAATGGACGTAGGCAGTGGCACATTCATCAACGAGGGACAAGGGGTAATTTGCCCCAGGCCTCCCCCCCCCCCTTCCCGGCGGCACTTGGTGGCATCATGTGACAAAAAAAAACAAAGACGGTTGAGATGTCGATACAGTAAAGTCTTAATTCTGCCGCCCCCGCATGAAAAAGCTGGAGACGCTGCTTGACGTAGGCCTGCGCTGCCTATGCGTACGTCATGGAGCGCGCCACTCCGATAGGTATGCTGACGTCATACTCTAAGGACCAAAGCGAGGCTAGAGTTCATCGATTCCGTAAAGAAGGGGTGTTCATCGACTGAACTTTTCAAGGAGTGTAAACTGAAGATCAGCCGATATAATAATATCTGATAGGACCTGTTTTTCAGGGTGCAAAAACCGATAAAAATATGCATTTATTGGTTGCTCACATCCTGATCCACAAAGCCGATATACGTGTATATATAGGCCAGTGACTGTGCGTTTGTATAGTGCTCTGTAGTGCATGACTGTATCGTTATCCACGGAATGAAGAGGTGATTTTGTTTTTATAAAGTCTTGATTTAGCTCTATTTTATAGAAACTGTTGCGTTTTAGTATAAGATGTTGATTCTGCCACTAGCTATTTCAGAAGAATGACGGCTTCCAGACCCATCATCCAGACCCAGCGGATTCATTGTATTTAATATTTATTAAATCTTACAATCCTATTATATTAGTCTTATATATACATTTGAAAGACGAAAACAAAAGTTAAAGCAGTGCTCACCGGGAAATTTCTGGCTGAATTTTCGGCCCTACTGGGCCTTCATCATTTAGCCTATAGGCCTACATGTACTTGTCTTCAGTGCTACGCAGTTCCGCTTCATACGATACATTTGAAAGACAATATACATATATTATTTGAAAGACTATTGGAGTGAGGTGAATTTTCTTGTAGTTGCTCTTATCTGGGTTGCCGTACATTATACTAAGACTGGAAATAAAATCACAAACACAAGCAAGGGCCTGCAGTAACTGTAAATCCGGGCAATTTACATTAAAACGTGCAGGGCCGATATAGGCCATACAATGTGTTTATACGGTGCACTTACATTGCAACATTATACTAATTTAGAGTGCAAAATTAAACCATTTGAAGCAGGGAATTGAATTGAAAAATTAAATAGTAAAACATAACAGCAGCGAAAGTAGTGCGAGTGAATCCTTATTCGCAGGATTTTTGAATCAGTAGGAATACCTCATGAGCGGGGTTGAATGTATAATGATTAAAAGTTTGAAAGCACATTATTTTACACGTGAAATTATTGTCTTGTATCATGTCATTGAGAAGATATCAAATGGGATCGAACTTATGTTTAAACAAATCCAAAAAGGCAACCGTTTTTAAAACTTAGCAAATTATTTCCGAACTATATGAAGTCTTTTTTGGCTTGAAATCGAGACATGAAGAAAACTATAAACTGGTAGGCTACATAAAAAGTGAAGCTGCCTTAAAGTCCATTCGTGAAAGTACTGTTTGTTACTAATAAATATAGTTTAAACTCCAAACACGGCCAAATACGAAATCAAGGAAAGTTTCTTTGTCTATTCACAAACCAAAACTTGAAATTCAAGAGTTTAAGAGAAACGCTCGATCTAGTACTAGCCAGGATTCTGTAGTGACCGTACAATTTATCATGACCCCATTAACATTCTTCAACCGTAATCCTTTTCATATATGAAGGACATCGTACACTATGCTACGAAAGCCCTGTAGTGCCATCAAGTATATATTTTGTCCAAGTTCGTTTTTATGAGATATATTTTTCCCAAAGTTCGTTTTTACGAGATACATTTTGTCGAAGTTCGTTTTTATGAGATATATTTTACCCAAAGTTCGTTTTTACGAGATACATTTTGTCGAAGTTCGTTTTTATGAGATACATTTTACCCAAAGTTCGTTTTTACGAGATACATTTTGTCGAAGTTCGTTTTTATGAGATATATTTTTCCCAAAGTTCGTTTTTACGAGATACATTTTGTTGAAGTTCGTTTTTATGAGATACATTTTACCCAAAGTTCGTTTTTACGAGATACATTTTGTCGAAGTTCGTTTTTATGAGATATATTTTTTCGAAGTTCGTTTTTACGAGATACATTTTGTCGAAGTTCGTTTTTATGAGATACATTTTTCCCAAAGTTCGTTTTTACGAGATACATTTTGTCGAAGTTCGTTTTTATGAGATTTTCTTGTGTGCAAAGTGTCACGTGCGCGTTGGCGTTCTTCACTTGTAATTATGTGAGGACATGCGAGTTCTGGATCGATCCTAGGCCTAGCCCACAGTACAGGCCCCTGAGGCACGCGGGAACGAAGCAAAGTTCAATTTGCTGTATATTCAGTACGGAGTCCTTAAAGGGACATCCAAAATTATGTTTTTATCTCGTGCGCACGACATAATATCTCGTGCAAACGAGATATATGTCGTGCGCACGAGATAAAAAAAAATGTGGATGTCCCTTTAGGGGCTCGTAAGATATCTTGTGTCGCCCGAAAAAAAAATATATCTCTTAAAAACGAACTTCGACAAAATGTATCTCGTAAAAACGAACTTTGGGTAAAATGTATCTCATAAAAACGAACTTCGACAAAATGTATCTCGTAAAAACGAACTTCGACAAAATATATCTCATAAAAACGAACTTCGACAAAATGTATCTCGTAAAAACGAACTTTGGGAAAAATATATCTCATAAAAACGATCTTGGACAAAATATATACTTGATGGCACTACAGGGCTTTCGTACTATGCACTATCATTATTTTTTTTATCCAAACATGCGTATCCGCTATATCTTCAAAAGTTCACTATGAGTCAGTCAAGTATTTCCTCAGCGTCAGTTGGCCGAATGCTCTCCGTTTCATGACTTCTTTAGAGGCGCACGGGCCGTCACTGTACACGAACTCCCAGCCTTTCAGGGGCTTGTTTCCGTACCAAGTAACAAATTGGAGAAATTCGACAGCAAGTTGATGCCCTCTGTTTCAAGTTTCAAAACTGGATACAGCTGATACGAAAGCCGTTCGTAGAAACCCAGTGTGGTTGCTAGACACAGTAAGAACATTTGCTTACATCCCAAGTTGTCGTATGCATAACGCTCGGCAAGCTTCATCATTTTGTACCCAAGCCCTAGACCTCGCTTGGATGGATGTATACAGATGGCCTCCAAGTATGCACTTCGCGGCGTTTCAGGACTCGTCACAGTAACTAACCGTACATGTCCAACGACGACATCCGGGGCGTCCTCCCTGTGCTCGATGAGGACTAGACAGCATGGCAAGCCGCTGGTCTCCTCTGCCGCCATTCGGTGCAGTCTCTCTGGTTTGCTGCACGGCCACGTGATTTTTATAAGCTCTGCACATGACTCGATCAGGTCTTGGCGGGCGTGAAGGGGGCTCAGTGAAACGTTCGAGCTTTCCTGTTGCGCCATGATGAATTCGCCGCTCCAGATTACAATTAAATGCTATAAATATTAATTGTCCTGGGTTGCACTGTACATGTATAAAGGTAAACGCATGGCAAGTAGAATAAATCATGACACTCACTCAATCCCACGTACTATTGTTGCCTCACCAAAGGCTGTAACACACCCGGAACGCAGTTGACCTAGGCTATACATGGTGCATGTGTACTTATATAGTTCCGGCAAAACCTCGAATGTTTTGGATGGAGGTCAACTGAGGTACAATAGCACCAATAGGCCCAATGAAAGGCATACCATCCCCCCCCCTCCAGGATGGCCTTGGAAAATCGTTCACCCGTCATTTCCAAGGGCCTATTATGTTTCAGATAAAGATATATTTGTAATATCAAGCACTGTCTATGACAAGTTAACTTCCATACATTTCCACATTTTACTGCAATTAAAGAGTCCTTTAATGTAATAAACTCGTATTCTATCAAGCTAAAGCAAAAAGCGCATTAAAAAAAAAAAATTGATAATAAATTGCTCATTCTATAGGTGCCATAAACAAGCGTTAAGAAAATTTGCATTGAAAAGAAGACCACTCTTGAACTAATGAATAACTGTTCCAAGTGTTTTTTTTTCACTTGTTAATTATAATCAGCCAGTATCATCCAAACAATATAACAAACTATTGTTACACATTTTAACTATTGTTACACCAAAATGAATAGGAATAGCGACAGCACGAATTAACGAAATTCAATGAAGTTAGATTAAAAAGTCAAATAAGTCGCAACTATAAAGCATAATTTTACAGCCTCTGCCAACTTTCGACCACATTATGTACAATATTATGTACAATTATCTTTCTCTGCAAATTGATACGACAAACGGTTAAGGCAGAATAGTTCGTTAAATTTGCAGCTATCCAAAATGTAACTGACGAAAGATATTGTTGAAAAGCTTTGCTTTAAAGATGGGGATGCCAAATAACTCCCGCTGTGAAATTATTCATTCTGGCATGCTGTCCGAGTTGAAGAAAACAATAAAAGAACACAGTAGGCCATTTCCAAAAGGTGCGTCAAGTGACACATTTTTGAAATTTTCGTTAGTAGTTGGTTTGTAATTCGGCATATCCGTGAATGGGTGCGCGCATTCCGCGCAAGCGTTAACACGACGCACACGCGTGCGCGGTTGATATCATTCGTCGGATCATTGCGGAATGAGAACGTGTCCCAGATGGTCCCAGACGCTGATTTCGGGCGCAATTCAAAACATGACTCAGCCAACTTTTGGATGGAAATCGAGATCCTAGAATGTTGTTTTCTTGGAATATACATTATTCACTGAGCTAAAACGTCCGATCAGGTTCAGCTGTTATAAGCATCCATCTTTAGATTTTGAGAACTTTTGTTGCTTCAAAACGAAATAAAACGCACAAAATTAATGACAAAATGATCTACCAGATCTTTTAAAGCTGCATGCCCCTAGCTCTTCTAAACATGGAGTTTTCTCCAAACGAACTTTCAGTTTATATGTTTAAAGGGTCCACGGAATGATTTTACCACTGGAGCATATTTGTTGCACAAATTCCTCTAAATGTATTAAATCTATATCAGACATACTTTTTTGTTAGAATTCTTGCACTGCACTCTATTTTAACATAATAGTTCATGCATTTCCTGACAACTGAGGGCACTGTTGATATGATGTCACTTTAGAGGCACACACTGCCTCAAATGACATCACAGTACTGCTCATGAATATGGAAATTAGTATTAGCATAGCAAAAAAAAATGCACCCAAACACCTTTGAAATGATGGCAATATGAATATTTCAAATTAAGTTTAAATGGTACAACAAGGTTCATTTCATTAAAAAAATCAATTACGTGGGCTCTTTAACGAAAACAATATTTTAATACAATTTTCGCCGCGTGCAGTCCACTAAAAAGGGTCTTTCTTTTTGCGCTAAAGTGAACCTGCAACCTGCGACAGCCGAATTATTGTCGGGATGATAATAATGCGAAATTTATAAAGAAATAAGTCAAACGTCGGTGGCTTTTTCTTGCGTTCGACATCTCATTCAAAATTGAACAGCTTTTTAAATTGCTAGGAAAAGGGAAATGCAGCAAGGGGAATGCAGCTTTAAATTAAAAGAACAACTAACTAGTGCAAGCAAAGTTAAATTTAATGCAAACACAGGTTTGCGTGCATGAAATCACGGGGGGGGGGGGGGGCTAAGACATCCGCTGGTGGGAATCTCCCCCCCCCCCCCCCCCGTGCGTGCCCACCGAGGCTCCCCGAGCGACCCCTTCCCCCCAGTTCCAAGTTATACGCCACTGGTTTGAAAGGGAGTTCCAATAGCTTGTTTCTGCCAAATCTACAAATCAAAGTAGATGCAAGCTGGGTGCTCGATAAAGTCATAGACGCTCACCTCGTTAAGCATGTTGTCGTTGAGTTGGCAGGTCTTGGCCGGACTATCCTGCCAGAGATTGAAGGATCGGCATCGGGGCTCAGCCCAGCAGGCCTGGCCACACTCGCTGATTCCCCGGACCGTCAGGTTCTTGATCTCATGACTGTGCAGACACCGCCGTGCCACGCGGCCGTCAGCTCCCAGCGACGCGCAGTAAGACGGGACAACGCGAGGCATTTCGCAAATGGCGAACTTGTGTTCGTTGCAGTCAGTTGTCAGAAACAACATTCCGAGGTAGTGTGGACCCTTGTAGACGCATTTCCAGCCAGGCCTCTCAAGAAGGTAAAGCGAATACAAGCCACCGATGACGCTAGCTACAGGGGTTTCTCCGGAACATCTGGTGAGGGTTTTATTAAAAACCTCACAGCCAAGCCACAGCGGTCTCCTCTGTTCACTCTGATACGCTTTGCCACGCAATTTCATGATAAACTCATGTTCCTCGTGAGAGTTTTGCACCAGCAGCCCACCCCCTGGGCGCGCACAGGCCTCCACAGCTTCTGAGTAGCTCAGAGATTTGGTCAGCGGGATGTAACACGAGTCACGCCAACCGTACCAGCCTTGAGGACACCAAGTAACGATAACTGGAAACAAGGCTACAAAGATCGGCAGTACGAAAGCCAACAGCTCCTGCATTTTTCACTTCAGATTTTTCACTTCAGAATCAACTCCAAATGGACTGTTGATCAATCTAACGTTTGTCGGACAAACGTCCCCTTGTTTTAAACTTATTTTTTCTTTAAAAAGAACCCTGTTCTATAACAGCAGTCTATTCGAGTAAAAACCAAACCAACCCCGCGTGCTGGATCTTCTCTTATCGGTTTTCTTGCGCCAAAACGGCTGTTTTCGTGCAATTTGATGGTGAGAGATGTTTTCAATTTTGCTTGCTGAACGCCAATGGTGTCAATCCGGCTGACACTAATTCATATCAACTTGACTGACTCTCGACAGCAGCTCAATTAAGAGTGATTTCGACGCCTATCGATTGGTTGTCATGACAACGAATTGGCCTCGTCAGTCTTTTTTTTTATCCTTTTATCGCTCCAGTGTGAAAAAACCTGTCACGCGCATGAGGTGGTTTCGAAATGGATCGCAGTTGTCATCGACTTATAAAAGCTATAATAAAAAGATATTTGGTTTTTTACACAGCGGCACCACTTGGAAATAGATCAAGGGCACGAAATTCTAATTACACTAATGCCAAAGCGGTAGTCGGATGACGTCAGTTCGTTCTAGAAATTAAATGAGGCATTTTATAGAGTGTGTGCCACAGCCTCGTCCCCAGGGTGTTGAGCAGTACGCGCCCACCACTACCTGCTCTCTCACCCTGATATTTGATCATTCGCATGTGCAAGATTTTTGAACGCGTATGCAAATGAGGAATAGTCTGGTGCCTGCATGTGCGTTACATTAGCGTTTGTTTTTGTATGCGGTGTCTGGGATAAAAACAGCATCAATTCGTCACGCCGTGAGTTATAAAAACTCGATTTTTTTGGAAGTTGAAATGTTACAATCTGGCCCGCCAATATGCAGTATCACATTTCGTATTTATATGAGCAAACTGGAAAGAAAAGGAGTATTTAGGCAGTGGACGTTATAATTACAATAATCGTGAAAACACGTAATGCACGTTGGAAATAACAACACCAACTACACGATATAAATCCATTATTAGCAAATTGCGATATCGAATCAGGATACAGGAAGAAAGTTTCCTATCCAGGGCTTACTATTGGAAACGAGGTTGGAAATAAAGTAAGCACTGGGGACGAGGAAGAAGAAGATAATTAGTCAAAATGGCCGTACGGGAGATTATCTCCGACGTAGCTGCACGCGTCCGCATTACTTGGGCGATAGTACCAATGGAAAGTGGATTCAGCCGTTTCCATCATGGGCGTCGCCAGGATTTTTTCTAGAGGGGGCAAAGCACATTTCCCCCCCCCCCCCCGAAAAATCTATATAGTTTCCACCATTATCCCGATTGATACTTGTTTTCGAGGGTGGGCAGGGACATTTTGGGCGATAGTACCAATGGAAAGTGGATTCAGCCGTTTCCATGGGAACATGTGTTATTACTACAGAACGAGGGCGAATCAATATTCCGATGCAGATCTATCAAAATCTTTCAAGAATCACAAGCAAAGGCGTAACTAGGAAACAATTTACAGGGAGCATTTGATGAGTTTTGAGGAAACTGAATGGATTACAAACAACAAAATCATTTGTGTCTAAATTCTAGTGAAATGGGGGTGGGAAGTGATATAGGCCTTGAACGGCGGGGGGGGGGTCACTTCCATTAAATTAATAAGACAAATTAATTGGGCTCTATGAATTATTGGTTTACAGTCCAGATTTGCGGAAATATGGACTACACTTTTGAAATCTCACTTTTGAAAAATACTCTTTTTTTAATTTACGTCACATTAAAACGTGTATGCACAGTGACTTTTCGGCACACAACTAGCTAAAGTGGCCGGTCTAGCAACAAACAAGTTAAATTATACGTGACTTTCTTCAATTACTTATCTAGTGGGAACAAAATATTTATATATACATGTATTTATAATGAACACAGAGGATTTGATAATTTTACAAACAAATGGTAATCAGGTCCTGAAAAATGTGCTGAGGACGCAAGTTACAAAATGTTTCCTATAAAAAAAGATGTGTGAGCAAAAAACAAATACTTCGCGGTGCAATGAATGATAAGCGTAGTGGCATCATGTCGGACCAATGTGCTTGAGGTGTCCAGTGCATGATAATCATGATTGTACAATATACATGTCGGTCTAGTTTAGCTGTTAGCAACACTTTAAAAATTGCTTGATCAATAAATATCAAATTTTCTTGGCCGTTATCTCTGACATGACTTTAAAATATCCGATAAAAGTGCAATTCTTGAGGTGAGTTTCATACTGTGAAAATCCTTAAAATGCGTAATTTGAAATTTATTATAAATGTTGAATTCGAATTTAACTATCAATTAAAAATGTTGTATAGGCCTACAGTAACTGTCCACTGTTAGGTTATCACTATAATAGCGTTACATCTGGAAGTGTTGCTTGAAATGTTTGACTTGCGCTGGCCGGTATATACAGTTTCACCACGATGAAGAATCTTCCAATCTAGCTCATGCGCAGTTCGAGTGTGTTTAATTTGAGATGCGCGCGCATTTCGGTGAGCATGCGCGAACAACCTGCACGTGATCGTGATGCCATCTTTGACTTTAAGTTAGTAAAATGGCATGAATGAGCAAACACCTTGGTGGTAGACCATGGAGCCATGGGTAGACTATTCGTCGAGAGTGTTCATTTCGGTTTCGTCTGCCACTGCGTGTATGCCAGGCAGTGGTCTCTGTAGCAGTGATGGTCCTTTATTCTTCTTCTGCAGCTTACTGTCCTGAGGTGGAGACACCGGCATGGTGGCCACGACACTACGACGTCTGGACTTGTCCATCTTGTTGGTGCCGTCACCGAAGAATATCGGCCGTAGCAACATGGTGAGACTCTTCCTACGCCCCTTGGGAGCGTCTATTTCACTGACTTGGAGGTGATCACGATCTGGGGAGGGCGGCATGGGCATCATGGCCGAGGTTGACGCGGAGAGATCGGAGAAAACTCCCCCTGGTTGGGTTTTGATGATGGGGCTGGTAGGTGGAGTGTCAATAGTGATGACCCGACCGCGTCGCGCTGATAAGGGTCGGTTCGGGAGGCCCATCGCCCCCGCACTGCCACTCCGCGGTATTGGTGTCCTGCTAGAACTTTCCTCGGACGATTGCCTCCTGAGGTAAGCCATGCTGTTGGTTTTCTTGGCGCTTTCTTGAATCAAAGCCGAGATGGTTTTGTCCTTAGAAGACGAGACCCTCTTGATTCCCGGTCTATCGTCTTCGTTTCCGCTCTCAGGGCTGTCAGTGCCCGGGGAGCCACCGCTGAGGGATTTGTTGTTGTTGTCCGGCGCGTCACTGTCGCTTAGCCGCTTTTGACGGCTTATACCAGCGGGCCTGGGCGCGGTGGGTATCCGATTCAGATCGATGATGTCTGGCCGGGGACTACGCAGCGGCTGTCCCCGTAACAACTGCGCCTGCTCCCGCCCTAGGATGGACTGCAACCGCGACACCTCCTGTTGCAACTTGATAATCGCGCTCATGTCTTCTTCGTGCTGGTCTTGAAGCTGCTTCTCGAAGTAGCTGATTTCTTCTTTCAGTTTCTCCTCGAAGTATCCGCGGATTTTCTCCTCGACTCTTCTCATCTTGGATTTGAACATCTTCATTTCGTCGATTTGTGACGAGGCACCCTGTGTTTTCAAAGGAAGCATGCAAAATCAGATTTTAATCTTGGGAGTCAGGTTGTACTTTCCTCGCATTGACCTGGGTTCAAACTTACCCGGGGTCAACTTGGGGATTGGGTTTTCAGTCCCTAAGCTCTTGATTCCGAGGTTTTCCTCCCACCTCTCAAGTTGAACAGATTCTTCAATCCTAATTTTTCATGTAGACTTCTTCAGGCTTACGAGCTACAGTGCCTGTGCACATTTGAAGAGTCCGCAGTTGTTTTCATTAACAAAAACCGTTTTAAAAATGAAAAAAAAAAATACATGTAGGCCTACGTATAAGAAATAAAATCAATAAGGAGGTAGGCGAAGAATCCCCGAAGAGAAAATAGTTATTACACTACCTTCGCCACGTGTTTCTTGAGAATCTCGATGCATTCCGTATTTTCTTGTTCGGCGGCAAACTCTGCTGCCGTCTTCCCTATCTGTTCAAACAGAAAACATGATATTTTCCTTTTAAAACTGAAGATATAAGCGGTTGACTTCATTGTTCCCCCTTCTCACTGGGCACATGCACAGGAAGCATCGTAGGGGAGTTTACAGCTTGATCCCGACATTTTCGGCACAACGGTTAATACAACGGTTATTATCCTCTATGTCGTCACTCTTACATCATTTTACTCCTGTGAGGAGAGAAGCTATATGACGATAGAATAAGCCTTCTTGCCCAGTGACACTACCTCAACCCCATGATGTGGACCAGAACACTGAATCTGCAGAATTACCAAAAAGATCTTGAGATTGACCCACCAGACCATAAGCCACACACGCACTCAACACCTCATACCAATTGAAGTTTGGTAAAGAGTTGCGCAAAGTGATACGAACATCTCTGAATAATTAACATGTGGTATACAGTTTGCATACCTTACTCTTTTCGTCTGCTCTGGCTCCTAACTGTAGAAGAGTATCCAACACGTCGGCCTGCCCTGTCCATGTAGCTATGTGTACAGCGTTCACTCCGATTGGCTAAAATGTGAAAAAGAAATAAATTGTTTCCCCCGTAGGCCTGGTAAAAAAAGTGTAGCAAGTGTCGTGTCTGGAATAGGAAAAATTAACCTGATCATAGCACAGTGCTCCATACATTGGAGGTTTAGTCAAAGGGGAACGAAATTGAAACACCCATGATTACCAAAACCAAGGCCGGTTAAACAGCAATGGGCATAATATTAAAGCCGACTTTATCATTTTAGGATAGGTAATCCAAACAGATGGTTATTTGTTGACACGATGTTTATGTACTTACCGGGATAAGTTTGTTTGGGTCGCATCCTGCTCCCACCAGTAGCTTGGCTACCTCGACGTGACCGTTACCAGCCGCACACAGCAATGGTGTGTATCCCTCCTAATTGCAATAACACCATTAACAATTAATTATTAAGTAAAACGCCGCTACAACGAACACCGCTATAACAAACATTTGGCAATAAGGAATATCACATTTGGCTACCAAAATATTAAATTATACTATAATGCATAGTCGTACCGCTACAACGAACTTTGGCTATAACGTTTATCACATTTGGTTACCAAAATATTAAATTATACTATAATGCACAGTCGTACCGCTACAACGAACTTTGGCTATAACGAATACGCCCTTGGCTCCTGATATAGTAAATTCTACTAATGCACAATCACTGTAACGAACGACCACTATAAGGAACGTTTTTTTATGGACCCCTTCGTGTTCGTTATAGTGACGTTCTACTGATCAGTAAAAATACGGTGTGAATAAAAATAACAATTAGGCCTACAATGCACAATAAAATGTGTTCAATATATAACGATGGCTAGATTGAGCACTCAACACAACTGCACAAGACAGTCTTCTACAACTATACATTGAGAAATGGGCAAAAAGAAAGAAATATTAACAAACTTGAACATTATGACTTACCTTGGTTTGAGCTGTGACGTCAGCACCCAATGCCAGAAGCAGATTGGTTGCTTTGACGTGGCCAGCTAGGCAGGCATCGTGCAGCGGTGTCAAACCACGCTGAAAAATGAAAAGAAATAACAAATTACATTTTAGATTAATTTTAATAACATAACATTAACGGTAAAAAATAGCGTCTGATCAACAGCTATGATGAATTTGGTCTTTGCACGGTATTGCTACATTAACAGGCGAGCTATAACCCAATACTGCAAAGCAAAGACTATTTTGGCGTCGTTACATATGTGGGTTTCTGTGAAGTATGAAGTACTAGAATCCATTCCGAATCGAAATTGTGAAACAGTCCCCGAAGAAGGCCATTGGTATCATCCAGCCAGCAAGCAAACACAGCTTTCGAACGAGCGTGAGAAATATAATAGACTAGAGTCATGGATGAATACACAGACAAGAAATCAAATCAAAATTCTTGAGTCCATCTTAAGATTGTATAAATTACAGGAACGAACCTTGCTCGTTGCATTGATGTGCCAGGTCAAGCCTTGTGATACCCCAGCACAAATGACCGGCACTTCGCCACTCCGTGCCGCCCAGTGCAACACTGTCTGGTCATTCTGCAAGCACGAAAATAAATAATTTAGACACGTTTAATTTTAGGGCATGCTTTTGTTTTGAAATTGGCGTGTACTGTTCAGTATTCTTTGACTGCGCGATGCAACTCTATAGGGAACTGGCAAACCATCATAATTATAATAAATTAATGAATACCATTTACAATGGTTTAACCTCAAAATCTTTGACAACGGACCTAAAAATAGGTAGACTAAAAGAAATAAACCATAAAATTTGCAAAACATTCTTTAGCTCGATTGCATAACCTGGCATAAAGTTTCTATAACTGCATATCCTTGTGTGTGCCTGCTACAGGTCAACACGTTAATGTTGATTAGGGGGCTGTATACCACTATCCAGCTATAATGTCTACAATAATTCCGAGAGGTTTCCGAGCGACGCTAGAGAGGGGTGAGATATGACACCAATTCATCGCTAGGCACTCAGTGGCTCTTCAAACATGACGGCCAAAGGGTCCCAGACATAGCGACGCATTCGGCGTCGTTTTCGCAGCACCATGAGGTGAACGTATAACGAATTGGCAGATTTCCCAGTCACTTATTTAAATGAATTTAAATGCGATCTTCTATTTCTACAGTACCCTAGCTTATGCTGACTAAATTACACTAACACCCACTACATAGTTGGACATCGTAAGCTGCTGAAGCACGCAGTTGATATCCTTATCTTCTCAAACACACAGCTTAACTTGTACATAAAACTGTAAAGGCCTACTTCTGTCAAGGAATGTTTTGAGCGATCACCTGACCGAGTTGCCCCACGACCCACCTTGTCTTTCTGCAGCACATCTTCGCCTGCTTTCAGCAATTGCTTGAAAGTTGCCACATCCCCGGTTTTGGCTGCGAGCAGTAGCCCTTCCAAACCATCAGATTCCTCGTCGTCAGACATTATTCATTCCAAAGTTTTAGTCCAGGTTGCGCTGAACGCGTGATGGGAGATGTCACATTACCGCTACCTTCCCACCGGTGCCAAGTTACAACTGGAGAGCTACACGTATACCCTCACGGCTCTCCTCTCTGAAGCACTTACCACTCGTCCATCTGTTTAACCACGGCCCAATTAAAGTCACGGGTATTATAATAATGGCCAACATGGTACTTTATTTTTAGGTGTGTTTATTTGCCTTGTGACTTGCGGCCGTGTTATCTGCGTGGTGATACGGGATTCAGGCGTAACTGAGCAGCGATTCAGTGTCGATATCATAACACATAACATGATACCTAAGTGATGCAGACAAAAAAATATGAGTGTCTTAGGAAGAAAAATTGAAGAAAATTTCTTACTGCTTGTACTGTTTGAGGTTGGCTTATCTTTTGCACTTCAACGGGGTTATTTGATAAGCATAATTATTAGATTACTAAATGCTCAAGAGGGACTCGAACCCACGACCCGGGAGTGCTCATTCGACCACCGAGCTTGTCGGGGTCGGCCGGCCATTTCGAATCTGATGTAAAGGAAGATATTGCAATAAATGATTTATAATCAAATTTTGCATCTGAGAGATAAGACTGCTCTCGTATACATCGACCACTTGAATAAATTCTAATGGTAATGAACGGTAAAAGCTTAACAAACTGCATAATAAAGACACAAAATGTCTCTCTGAATTTGTTTCAATATATTTGACGTCTATTAAGCCCCGCCCACTGAGCACGTGGGCAGAAGCACGCGCACCTCTGCGCCAATGCCACACTGCATGGCGTTGTACTGCGCGTCATATACGCAAATTATACGCGCGTCGAACTTTTGGCTGACGCGTAAATAACGGCTTTGATTGGACAAAGCAACACGGGGCGGGGCTTAATGTATAGGTCTGTTCCATAGGAAAGATGCACAACATTCAGACATTTTTTTTCCAATCCATTTCCGCGGCTCATTTTAATACCCTCCAGTCCGGAATTTCGCTTTGTTATTTTATACAACGTAAAAAGTTATCAACTTTCTAGCAACAGTCAACACCAAATAACGGGCTTATTTTTGTACACAAACGACATTATAACCACACAAAATGGAATACCGGTGGGAAAAAACTACCCGAAGAACAAAATTGTTGTTAACAGATAATAACATTTCATAACACATTCAAGTCATAATGTGGTTGCAACTATTGGAAGAGTTGATTTACATTGTGTAGACCAATCTGGGCACGGTATCAATTCTATCACGAAGGCCCCTTTCAATGGCGAAAGCATTGTGCTAGCTATTGTTCAGATAGTCCGTCACAAGGAAGTAGCTTTGTTTCAATAGCATGCACAATGGTTTCTCCATTGAAAGGGGCCCCATGAGTGTACACTAATCGCGTCCTCGGATTCGTCTATATATACCCACAACAAAAGTAGTAAAAGTTGCGACAGTAGATTTGCAAAAATGTTCAAAATCGTATAATGGATAATTGTGAACAAGTCTCGGCATGTAAGAAACTTGAAACTTGTCCAGACAGAAGATCTATTCTTCTCTTTTCTTTATCAACTGGAAGATCCTGAGTTTCGCTATGAAAAAGAAAATTATACTTTTTTCAGATAATACTGCCACGCGAAAAGAAAAGGTTTTCCCAAATTATACGGCCTATCATTGTTTGCCAGTACCGTTCAATAATAGCAAAATCGCCAATATATTTTGTATACAATCTATATGTATTGTATCTCTTTATACACACGGAGACAATACTAGTTAATATCAAAATAACTAACATATAACTTGTTCTTGAAATTAAACATACCGTTGGCAGTTTGTTCTGAACATAAATCTAAAACAATTGCACCAGGTAATTACTGTTATGTTAATTTTTGCCTAACAGAATATATATCACTAAAGCATACGATCAACATGGCGGCTGATGCCCGATGGAAGAGTTGCTCAGACTTGTAGAACACAAATAACAATCTTAAAAGGGAGTCAAGGGAGAGTGAATTCACTTGGTTCCAGCTGACTATTTTAGGACCAACCTAAAATCTTTTCAGATACAGTTTTTACAGGGATCTTTTACTCTAGTGATAAGAAAGTGTCGAGCTCAGTTTCTGGGGAGAAAATCGTCTTACGCTTCTCTATGTGCCTTTATATTTCCAAAATTAAAATAGATCCGAAAAGTCGAAAACAGATTCTTTGTAAGACAGTTGATGGTATAGTACGGTTGTTGATTTTATACATGTAGGCCTACACTGCAAAACTGTGATATTGAACGAACACCCAATAATAATGATAGAGCTACACGTCCAAGAAATATTAAGAGATGAACATATTGGAATACTGGTGTAACATCTACATGTACAACCCAATTTGTGCAGTGTTGGACATTACATGTACATTATCATGCACAATACAGTATCTCATTAATTAAGTATCCACGCGTAAGAATGTATCAAGCAGGTCGACTGCACACCGTGTTATGAACGTATTTCATCATTAGTTTCCGTGGTGTGGTATATCACACACACTCATTGAGGAACCATCCGAAATTAGTTAAGCTGCGACGTTTATAGCCGCCTTTGATTGGAGATCACCAAGCTGCGGTATGGAGGGGAATGAAATTGAGCCAATATATTTTGATCGAGACACTAGCTTAATGCTACATTCACTATTCCCTATTACTATTCACTATTTGATACATATCAGGACTATGGAAGCTAAAAAAAAAAGATTATTGCATGTTGTTCCACACAATGTGCCTTTTCAACGTTTGTTTTTGAATGAGAATGCTATAACTTGTATAAGTAAGCCCGTTTCTTAAAGAACAGAGGGATTTTGTTTACCACAAATACAAAGGTTTAATTCTTTATTACACAGGAATGCAGTTTCTATTTCTTAACAAGGGAAACTTTAATAAACGAATTGCTTAATTGGAAACACTTTCAATTTTTTTGTTACAAACAGCATCACTGCTTTAACTGCTTAATACCGTCATTCAACAATACTTGTAACATGAAACATGTAACACATAGATTACACAGTTTTTACAATTTTTTCCTAAGCTATACCGGGAAACAACAATGAAAATAAACTGGTCAACAGTTATAAAAACTTTGGGCTTTTTTTTGTACAAACTATGTTATAAAATACATATTTAGCAGAAGGTACATACGTTTGGAGTTACATACTTGCATATGGGATAAAACGAAACTACATGTACATGTTCAGCTGACATGAGGCATGAAAAAAAAATAGGAAAAAAAAATACCTTTGTTAATTTTTCTATTAGCTGCTACATGAAGTTTTAATTACGACAGCACACTTATGCTTTCCAACAGTAGTTAAAATGCTGTATAGCATTACTTGTGACACAACATTGTTCACTTTGTTTTGGGAGAATATCGAAGAGACACATGGTGAGATTCTACAAACTCAGTTAGTTAATTGGGCTTTACTTGCTGGCGACCTATTTGCCGTCTTAAAAAATGACTCACAATCTTTCAATCTTTGGTTAAGGAGAAAAAAATAATGAAAGTAGAAGACCAGTAGCTCTCATGGTATATTTAACAATTGTCGACTGCTGTGATGTGGGATATGACGTTTTGAACACCCGAGGGGCGCATAGCACCCAAGGCAAAGCCGAGGGTGCTATGCCCCCCTAGTTTCTCTAGTCACAGATGCTACAGTTATTGGCGTCAGACTTATTTTTACACAGTCTTGGGGTAAATTTAATAATGGTTTTTGCCCTTCACCGATGTATTTAACAAAAAATTATTATAAACACTGTGTTCACAGTGTTGTCCGAGGGCATGTGAGAAAAACATCACCAACTACTTGAATGGGACTCGAACCCACGACCCCCTGCTTATTAGTTCAGACGTCTTACCACTCGACCATCGAGCTTACCAGGGTCGGCTGGCTGGGTCGAATCCAACTACCGGTGTTTATAAGATGGAATTTGTGTCACGGTAGCAAAGAGTTCTTGTATCCAAGGTGGTGGTGGCAGGTCTATGCAAGGAGCTCGTACCATAGCAGCCAGTTTCTCGATGAGCCAATACATCTTGGCCCTGGGGCAGCCAAACATCTTGTGGGTCCAAGGGGCAGTCTGGTCAAGTTGGCAGGACTACCAGAGTTCCATGGTGCTTACGTTCTTGAAGCCAGGATCTCGCCGCAGGTCCCAGTAATCATTCTTGAAGACGCACACTTCTTTGCCATTTTCCTTAGAGAATCTGCTCAGAAAGAAAAAATCCAATTATGTGGTTATTACACCTGACCCGTCCTTAGCCTGAAAAAAACCCACCAGGTGGAGGTAGATTTTGTTGCTAGTCACAAGTAAAGAGACAAGCTAATCAAATGAGCTGTGATTCAGGGATGCCTTAGTCATTGCTCATCCCCCGTTACTTGTGAAGGTCTTTGTGATTGGCTTGGGACTGGACTTGTAATTGACTTGATGATTTGATTTGGGAACGATTTGTGACTGACTTGTGACTGACTTGTAAAGTTGTGACTAAATTGTGATGGACTTTGGACTCGATTTGTGATTGACCCGTGTTGTGACTTGTGACTGACTTGTGATTTGACTTGTGATGGACTTTTGATTGACCTGTGTTGTGACTTGTGATTGACTTGTGACTGACTTGTGATTGACTTGTGGTAGACTTGTGACTTGACTTGTGATGGACTTATAATTAGCCAATGATTGACCAGTGATTGACTTGTGTTCTGACTTGCGACTGACTGCATCAAGCATCCTTAGGCCTACCTGAAGAATTTGGGTTCATAAGTGGTGCCTTGCTCTTCCCTCCACTTCCGCCTCTCCCTCTGTAACGCTTCCAGCCTCTGCTTCTCTCGCTCAGCCCCGATGACATCACCATCTTCTAGTTTCCTGATTGGATGACATCAGAAAAAGGGAAAAGTGTAAATTGGAATGGTAACATCTACAGAACACTGCTGAGTGTGACGTTGTGTTAGTAGGCATGCAAAATGTGCAAGTTCAGTTTGTCAAAATATTTCATGAGTTTCCTTCAGTAGCGGGCCAAGTTCGTTGAAATTTGAAATCTTCCCCACAAAACAATTCCATTAAAATCACTTGAAACTGGGCTTGTTGACATATAATGCCTTTAAACAGGACTTGGCAACACAAAAGGATTGATTCAATAATCTTTATACATTGTAAAAGTTAGCAGGAGTAGCAAAACCATTTTAAAACCAGTCCATAACTGGCGCAACTGCGAATATAAATTTGCAATGTAATGGAAAGTATTTTCAGTGCCTACAAAGAGATAAAACACAGATCATCTTGAACAAAATTTGCCACAAATGTTTTATGATGTCACTTTCACTTTATCTTTGCATTCTCAACAAGTATGAACCAGCCTTTAATCTTAATATCGTTAAACACTTATTGAAAGTTTGATATTTTGAAACTGATTGTTTAAATCTGTCCAATATAAAGGTAAGGAGCAACGACACCTCACCTTTGATCAGGCCTAAGCCTTGAATCCGTGGGAGGTAGCAGGTGGCTTGTGTAAGGGTCTAACTCGTTGAGTTCAATGGCAAACCGTGTAAAGCCATAGTAGAGGTTGTGATTCTCTGGCATGGAACCTAACAAACAAAACAAAAACCGAGCGTTCGTGGAGATTCCAAGCAGAACTTGTGATTTTTTATTTCATGTGCTTAGGAGAAATCTGCTAAGATCTTGTCACAATTAACCAACATCGCATGAGATTTTCCCTTGTAAGCAACTTAGGAAACATGAAAGCATAATGCTAAGTAAGGCTGTGTGCGGATTACATGGCTACGGCTTGTAATTCCACATGCTACTATGGAAGCGGCTAAGGCCACTTCCCATAGACGTGTGTGAACTGCTAGCCGTAGCCATGTTATCTGGACGCAGCCTGACAAGGGATGAATACCTTTTACTAACAGTCAAAGTTCACAGCAGTTTATTAAAAACACAGTGCTGCCTGACTTTTTCCTGATATTTCCCTGAGAAATTTTCAAAATTCTATGAGAAATATTTTCACTTGAAAGATGTTGCTGGGAAGTCAAGAGGTGGTGTAGCGCGGCCAATTTTGTCTGGAGAGATGTGTAATACTCCCACGGCATAAACACTAAAAAGCCACCACAGCCAGTCAGTCAATGGACACAACTTAGGACACATGGCACAAGATGCACATACGCCAAACTGACTCGCACCTTTTCCTTCTGTGGTACTGTCAAATTCCCTGAATTTTGCCTGATTTTCGGTGTTTTCCCAAATTCCCAGAGTTTTCACCGACTTGAAAAATGGAAACTTAATTTCAAGGTTTTCCCTGATTTTCAGATTGGTTGAGAACCCTGAGTGTTTACAGCCTTAGCGTACTCACCCGTGCGCCATATGCATTTGGCTGAGGCTGATCTTCCACAGTAGATTCCTTCATTCCATTTGCCGAAGAGTTCATGGACTACCTGACCATCATCTGTGATAACACCGTGGACTTCATGCCGTCTGTTACTCCAGTAACTTGCCTGTTAGAAAAGGACCAAAAAATATAAATAAATAAATTGGCAAATGGGCTTGATAGATATTGGTGACTCCAACCTTTTTGGGATCTGTTCTATTTTTCTTCGTTAAGAATCAAGTCTAAGTTTATCTCACAAATACGCTTCAGAATAACTTTGTATTTATCACAAAAAAAGTGAATAACTTATGTAAGGTTGTGTCTCTTGTCTGACACCATTAGGTGATCATTAACAAACAGAAAGATTCCAAACATTGGTTTATAAGTCCACAATATAATATTGTCCTGGGGAGAAAATGTAGAGAAATATCAAGCCAAATCCAACATCAGGGATGAAACACTGGAAACAAAGTTGTGGATTTAAAAATAGCCAAAGTCTCATCACGCACCTCTATCCTTTGCCACCTTGAGATCTGACGTTAAAAATATACCGAACATCTATATTTAAATTTTCTGGGACTTGAAAATCATGTATATGTACATGTGAAGGACGTATTACAGACACAGCTTTCTTATACCTTCAGACCTACCTTTATAAAAAACACCAGAAGACGCTATAACTATTCGATTGTGCACGTTGGTTTGATTGCATTAGTCGGTGGACCACGTGACAGTTGCAATCTCCCACCCCAAAGCATTGGAGCCATCCACCCCATAACCAATGATGCCCTGGATTGGATGTCTACCCTTGACCTACAACTATAGGCTCTGCACGCCATATGAAAGAAGAAGACCTACCTTTGTGAAGGTGAGTTTGCAGATGATGCGACCGTTAGTGATGAGGCATTCCCCGTAGTGGTCTAACCATCGCTCACCGCTCAGGATGTTGTGCACACAGCTTGTCACCTTGTTGAACTTGTAGTGATCATTGTACCTGATGGTAAACACGAACAAACATTGCACATAATATTGTAATTTAAAGAACAAAACACATGGAGGTCATCTTCTAGATAGATTAGAATGAAATTTTATTTATGGAAATCCAGAATCGTTCCCCCTCCCAAGAATGGCATCTGAAGCAGAGACTTCAACTGTTGCAATTTAAGAGACTTCAGAAAACACTGTGTAGTTTGAGAACTTTATCTTCACGAAGTCTCAATCACAAGTCAAATCACAAATCAATTGCAAGTTCCATTACAAGTAAAATGACAAGTCAATCACAAGTCATAGTCATAAGGTCACAAGTGACAGTGAGGAATTGTCACAAATCACTGAAGTAGCTTGTTACTTGGCTTGAGACTTGATAACATGTGATTGACTTGTGATTGACTTGTAATTGATTTGTGATGACTTGTGATTGCCTTGTGATTGTTTTGTGATTGTTTTGTGATTGACTTGTGATTGCCTTGTGATTGCCTTGTGATTGCCTTGTGATTGACTTGTGATTGACTTGTGATCGCCTTGTGGTCGCCTTATGATTGACTTGTGATTGCCTTGTGATCTGATTTGTGATTGACTTGTGATTACCTTGTGATTGACTTGTAATAGACACTGAATGACAACTACAAATACTTAATTGAACAAACTCTACATACCTGGGGATTCTGATGTTGATGGTACCAGCTGGAATGATCTCCATGGACTTGCCCCAGAATTTGGTCTTAATGCGGACCTCCTGGGTGTAGATGAAGTTCTTGCTCTCACAGTGGCAGGCTGAGATGGGTGGATGATGCGACACCTGCAGTAGAGAACGAAATTGGTTAAGATTACATTAAGCTAAATGTCCTTTACCTCTAGGTTTATATCAAAGTGAGTGGTCCCGAGATGAACTACTGTCAAACAACATTAAATAACTTCACTGAAGTAGCTCCGATTTTTTTTTAAAAACAAAGAATTTATAACTAGATTAGATTAGTCTAACCATTGCAGAATAGTGTCATTTTAGGAGAGTTGGTGATTCTATGAATAACCCTATCCCTTGATGAATTATAACACCCCTAATGGTCAACAGCGCCCTCTTGAGTTGATGCTAGATTGGACATGGGACATTTTCATGGACATATTAGAAGTGCATAGTGCAGCATATAACCTTCACCATGTTCACTTTGTTCACTGCTCATTCTAAGTCAAACACAAATTGCGTAAAATGGTCTAGAGTTTCAGTAATTAGGCGTCCTTTCCTCATGTTCCCTGTTTGATTAATTTTTGTGTGTGAATTGTAAAATTGGGTTTTGTCCTTCACTGACATAATTCCATACAGTGCTTTCTGAGAGCTTGCAATAAATAATTCAGAAGCTTGCTTGGATGGGACTCGCACCCAAGACCTCCAGTTTACTAGTGACGACATCTTTCAATCATTGCGCTTGCTTGGGTCTCTTGGCCGTTCTGAATCTGATATAGCAACACGTACATCCCTAGCATTATCTTGTATCATTACCTGTTCTGCCACAAATCGGAATCCCTTGTCTTCCCGCACACACTCATAGGTTTCCCCTAGCAGCGGATTGAACGGCTTGGTGCCGGCCCGATAGTAGGTGGAGGCATAGCTGGAGGCAGCAAAGGATGCCACATAGACCATTCGCTTGTAGGGATCATCGGTTTCTGCTGCCTTGTCTAGTAGCTCACTGTACTCAAGCTCCTCGGTCAAGACCTGGTGCCATACAAACGAGAGGAGACGTACTCAGAAATTGTCAGAAATTTGGAGGAATCCTAGGACAGACAGATGTCCTGAAACCACTTCTGATTGCATTTTGTTCTTGCTTTGACACAAGTCAGCCTTAGTCAATTGAAAATTTCACATCATAATTTGGTTTCATTTTTTTTAAAGTATTCATTCAATGGAAGAGTGGATGTCAGCAGATAGAGAAATTAGAGTCAAAGTACATATAAAAGTTACATGAACATGTTGACTCAATACACGACTACCACAGCGGTAATAACCCAAAGACGGTTCGACAGTCATTTGTCCAGAGCTCATGCAAAGACACTGTGTGGTTGTGCCAATTCTGGAGAAGGTAAATTGTTGTGTGTACCGTGTGCCACATACCCGGTATTATGCACACATAGAGTGTCCTGCACATGGAGCACAAGTGAATGGTCACAAAGTGTCATTTACTGCTCATTATACGGAGTCCATAGCCACAGTTCTCGATCCTTCTAGCCCTAAGTACCTGCAGCATGCTGAGTGGCTCATTCAGCGCCACCGGCATAGCGATCTTGGACAGATCCTTGCCGATGTTCTTCTTGAGGATATTCCATAGACTCAGTCCGCTGGTGTCGGGCTGAGGGGCTGGGAGCTGTGTCCTGCGACCCGTCTGTGACTTGCCTAAACCTTCCGAGTCTTCTTCCTCCACTGTGGATAGAAGCAAAAATGTCAATTGACAATCAGAAGAATCAAGTGCATGACTAGAGGGAAGTGTGGCATCACCCCTCTCAATTTCTTTATCTACCTAAACAAACAGAAGTGAAGTTGAAAAGCACTAAAATTATTCTATACATTTAGTTGTATGTGCGACTTTGTAGTGCATAAACAGGGAAGACATACATGTACTGAATGCAATCGTAATGGACCGGCACATGTAATCACTGCAAGTCTCAGCATTGCTGGTACAGACCTGCTTGTCACATAAATCACTGCATCAGTGCACCCCCATGCATGTCCAAATCGTCTTCAGCTGCAATCTCAACATGATGGGAGGCGCTGGCGCATGATGTAAATTAATTCCCCAGCAGATAGGAGTAGTGCATGGTTCGCTCCCGTGGTTAAAGTGATGAGATCCATCACAGATGATCTTTCAGCTGACTTTTTTCAAAAACATCCGATCAAAGAGTAAAACAAGATCTGCGCACGCGGTGTGTCCCATCCAAGGTGCTCTCGAAAGTGGTAAAAAAGTGCTCTCCGTTGTTTGCGCACGGAGCCCACACGGGAAGTTGGGTTGGTGCAGTGGTTACTGTCCTCGCCTTCCACCTCTATGGCCCGGGTTCGATTCCCGCCCTGATCCACATAGGGATTGGGTTTTCAGTCCCTACCTGGTTGTTTGTGATCCAACATGAGTCTTGTACAACATTGGGGGCACATTGCTCGTCTAAGGGGTACAAAACGCCATGGCCCACATCACAGATAACCACAATCATGATAGTGTTTGTCACATTGTATGGTTGCAGTGGTCAGATGCTGTGTCTATTAAATGTACATGTACGTCAGCAGTGTTGGAATCAAATCTAAATCGTGGGAGACAACGACTCAATCTGTTCATCAGCGTGTGATTTTCATCGTTACCTTGGGTCCGCGCACACAGCCTTGGCGCGGAATGGGATAATTACGACTGAACGGCAAACACCGACTCGTATCAAACAAACCACCCGACAGGAAATTACTAGCTCTGGCCAGCGACAAGGGTTTGATTAAAAAAGGCTTTCGGAGTGGGGTAGATTGGGGGGGGGGGGGGGGGGGGATCACATCAAGGACTTATAGTCACATTTGCTCATCTAGGCTACATTAAGCTTCAACAGTAGTCGAGTCTACGATTCTACTAATTTTAAAACCATTTTAATCAATTGAGTTACAGTATTTTTCTGAGGGATGGGGTATTGTGTTTTCTATTAGACAGAGGAGTGAAGACAGATATGTCAGGTGTAATTCCTTCAAAGATATTAATATTGAAAAATTCAATGGGGATGTGTGGATGGTTTTGAGTTTAAATGAAATAAATAAAATTGCCTGTGGTGATATATAGGAAATTTGTGGTGAAATATCAACCCCTAGAGCATCCAGATATTGTGCAATAGTGTTTCACATGTATCTAAGATTGAAATTGAAAGGTTTGAAATATGAATGAAAGACACTTGTTAAGATTGTTAAACGTGCACATGTTCTCCCTAATTATATGTAGCTACAGTATTCTTTAAAAAAACCAAAAGTATTTGTAGAAGTACATTTGCACAACTGTGCATTCTCCTTTATGTAATGTACACATGTATTAACATGTACACACATGTTTACTGATGATACATGTACATGTGCATGTACAATTGACCACACTTTTTAAAAAATCCACATTTAGTTTATTTTTATGCTTTCAAGCTTACTTTTTTTAATTTGTAAAATTTCACTTTTAGTTTTGTTTTATGCTTTCAAGCTTATTTTTTTTAATTTGTAAAAGTTCACTTTTATTTATTTTTATGCTTTCACACTTATTTTTCCCACTTATTTAAAGAGTTTTTTCACATGAATGTAAATTTATCCATCTATTTTCAAGCCATACACTAACATGTGCATTCACATGTAGAAATTGTTTACACTCTACTGCCCTGTGTCCTGCCCTCCCTTGGCACAGTTGTTAACTATGCCATTATATGGCTAATGGCAAATCTTGACCTCCAATTGGTTGAATACTTCACCTCGTAATCAAATCAGCTCTCTGTAAATGAGTTAGCTTTGATTTCTGTAGGAACGGCTCTCTGCTCGCTCAGGTGATAAACAAAAACAAGATATGTCCAAGAAAGGGACATATACTTTGCATACATGTACCATCTTTCTTTATATTTCTGCAAAACATTTATGAATGATATAAATGTTCCCACTCCTTAGAAATTAATTTAAACGTGAGTGAGAGTAGATAATTTCCCTCGAATTTAGTCTTGGTAAGATTAATTAAAAAAAAACTTAACCAAAACATATTCCACATGTATACTGATTAATTAATGTGGAGGAATTTTATCTGCAGCTTTCTGAAATGTCATACGGGTGAAACTTCAACGTTTCCAAGCCTTTGTGAAGGCGTTTCTCATCATGCATCCAATGGATTTGTTGTTCATGTTTCTAATCTTCTCCACATCAGGTTTTCCAATCATGGATTGAGTCATTGCATGTGAACATGGTGAAAGGGAATATCAATTACAAAAGTACAGCCACGCTGGCATGTATCTGAATATTGCCAGGACAACAGATGCAGACGTCATAGCAACTATTGTATTATTTCCAAAGCCAATTTGTATTGAGGAGCAGATTTTACGTTGTGCGTTACTCGACAACATAAATAAATTCAAAATTAAGTAACTAGAAAGCATTTTGCATATTTTATCAAACAACTTGTCAATAAAAATGAGAATCATGTGTACACGTTTTGCAAAACAAAAGAAATATATTGCTCTGCAAAATTGTGAAAAATCATAAAACACTAAACATTTTGCAGTTCTCATCAAGATCAACTTGTCAATAAAAAGTATTTCCTCTATATCATGTATATAAAAGTTTTTTTGATTTCACTTTTTGTATACTACAGTGCAATCCTGTCTGAATTCACGTGAGTCTAAATCACCCTGTAATATATATACATGTAGTACCAATCCGCCTGCTCGGTACTACAAAAAAATAAAATCAAGTTGCATTCTAAACCACTATGTTAATAATCGTTATCCCACTTCCTGCGCTGCTCCGACACAATGTGAGCAGGGGTTCAATGTACGAGTGCCTCAGAGTCGGGTGGGTAAAAAATGCCACATTATTGATCACAATCGGCAAGGAATGTCGTCCGAGGAGACGACTCACACATACATGAATATTGTTAAATGCATGGCATGTGTGAGTGTTCACCGAGTGGAAATGCAGAGATTTTAAACAGAAAAGCCAGTGCAATGTGATTGCTCTCTTCATAAACTACATGTACATGTACAACCCAGAACAATATTGTCTCTGGCACAGAAAAAAGGAGATCTATAGTCTAACAGTTCTGAAAGATTCAGCTACATGTACATTTACATTGAGGGTTGAAATGAGATCTAAATTGATCTAAACTTTATAACAATCAAATTCATGAATTTTTTTCGGGCACAACTAAATAAAAATCACTTCTATAAAAATTACATTCTTAAAGAGTATATTTCTTTTTACTATATATTTCACAGTACTCCACTATGCAAGATCGTTTCTGGATAGAAAATGTACAGGAAAATATTTCTGACTATCTTCCCTCAAATCCTGCATAATGCACAACATGCATGCCAAAAAAAAGCAACCAAAAAAAGCGCGGAAAACAGAAATTGGAACTGAACATAAAAACCAATTGTTTCTGTCTTTTGAAGATTCAATTCCTTACAAAAGATAATTACACAATAATTTCTTATGCTGGTACACAAAAAACAAATTCACTTGTTTTAATGTCCACAAGCTGAAGAGATATAAAAACTATAAATACATGATTAACCTATCTATAATATTTAGTCCTCACTTCGTGCAGGAAGACATACCAGTACCTCCTAAAATGTTTACTTATGCATGTACCGGTATATTAGTCAAAGAAGAATACTCGCATAATACGTTGTATAAAAATTTACAATGACATCTTTTGTCAAGCCATAGGCCCTATATGTATGACTACGATAATTCTGTAATAGCCTGGGGCGGGAAGGAACAATTCAGTACGTGGAGAATAATCCACAGCTAGTGATGGATTGATTAAATCAGGTGTAGAGAGTGTACAGTACATGTATCTCCATCCGTGTTAAATATCAAGGGTCAGTGGGACTAGTATTGCATTGAGGGTGTAGCAAGAGCACACACGCACGGCAACTACTGCTTTTGGGTGGACACTGATGTCCGAAAATACCTACTCATAGGGAGATGGATATATTTTTTCCAATAAACTTTCTCTTTTTCCTGATGTGTTTTTTTGTAGAGAAAGTCATAAGAAACGTTTTAATTCAAATTTGGATTCTGCCACTTGAATTCTGTAAAGTAAAGAAGAATATTTTTAAGGTAGAATTATTGTGTCCCTGAAATACATGTATCATGCAGAGTAACGTGTGATAGCTTGCATACAAAATCGCAGTGCTAATTATGAATAAAATACTTTAAACTCGCATTTTCTCTAAAGCTTTGCTTTTCTTCATGCTTATTTCAATGAATAAATGGCAGACAGCATTCAAGGTGCCAAAAAAAAATTATATTTGAATTTATGGAATGAAAAAAATAAGCCGTAAAATGGATATTAAATAAAGTACTTAAAACTCGCGTTTTCTCCAAAGCTTTGTTTTTCTGCATACTTATTTCAATGAATAAATGGCAGACAGCAATCAAGGTTTCAAAAAAAATTATATTTGAATCGATGGAATGAAAAAATAAGCCGTAAAAAGCAAAATTTACATTGCTTAAAAAACTACTTGCAAGGCGTGATGAAAACTACGTCATTATTAAAAAAATAAGACATACATTTATCTTATCTGCAGAAAAACATTCAATGAACTCTTCTTAAACATGTCTTAAGAGTATTTAAGTTGAAAGCAACAACAAATTTTTCAAGCGCTACCTATAATAAAAACAAATCTATATTGGGTTTGCGCTGTCAAAACCACATAAAAAAAATTAACAGGCTTGCTCAATGAAGGGAAAATCACCATTTTTCAGCTAATTAGTAAATAAATGCATCTTTTTGGTAAAAACTGTATTCAGACCTACCATCGGAGCTCATCTCCATTTTGTGTCCCATTTTGCATTTGCTGACCGCTGAAGCTTTAAAACACATCCACTATCGGGAGCCTCCAAGACCACATGGCCCGCTAGGTCCCCCTTCCTGAGTGGACGTTGGTCAAGCAACGGCCACAGCACGACCATCCAGTCCACAGGCCCCAAACCTCACTCCAACCTCCTCACACACGACAACCTCCGACTGATGAAAACAGGACGCCCGAGCCTGTTTATCCTTCCCCCTTGGCCAATCCACACAGCTGATGCCATTAAGCCCATGAATTATTCATAACTGCGCGGCATATGTTTGATTCAACAAAATGAGTCTTTTAGGACTATTTTCTGTTATTCAATTTTGGCATGAATAGACAGTTTATTTACTACTAGCTGTTTCTACATTATTTGTGTAACATTTTGTGTGCATAAAAAACAGGCATGCAATTGGATAGTTACAGAAAAAGAGGACATTTACAAGACTTTACAGAGTGTTTTTAAATTTGTAATGATATAGTAAAAAAAAAATAATAATCAACCGATCTGAGGAAAATTTGCATGCCTGAAGATTTTTTTAAACTTAAATGTCAATTTTGTGTATTCTTTGTGAAGGGGCCAGATTTTGTACAAGCTTCAGCATATTCTCTCACCTCCTAATACAAGTTAAAAAAAACCTTTCTTCCTTTGTATTTTGTACAATGTACATCATTTATAATAGTAAGATAAAACCCGACTTGAAAGTCTGTACTCAGCGTTTCATATATTATGAACATTATGATGATTGAATATTGTTGTGGGTGAAAGCGTTGACATTTCTACTGTGCACAATGTATACGACGGCTTGTCAACTCAAAAACAGTCCTCGGGACTTAAGACTCATTTTGTCAGATTGAGGCATGTATCTGTTGTGGCTGGTTGCGGGGCTGTTTGTCCAATGATTTGTGGCGTGACCACGGCTCATTTGCATATCTTGATCCTGCGGGGGTGGGTCTTGACGCAGGTGGGCTTATACTGTTGCTATGGGATCGGGATCCGACATGATGCATTTTCTAAGCACATCTAAACCAGGCTGATTAGTAGTGGATTGTCATCCAGTGGCAATTTATATGAAAGAGTGTTTGATTAGGCCGGACTTTATCTAGCTTGTCAAGCATTTGCACAGTATTAATGCAGGATTTTTCGAAGCCAAACCACGTCAAAGGCAAATTTTAGTAATTTGTTTTATAATGAAGCATTTTAAGACTGAGTTTATCAATTGATTGGATTGTAAACGAGTGGCAATTGTTTAATTTCACAGACTGTTTGATTCGACCACAACTTACTCCGGTCAAGGTTTGCACAATATTATTGTAGAATTTAAAAAATGTTAACCACGTTGAATCAAGTTTTATGTTCATTTTTCTGAGACTAGTATATTAAGATGGAGTTTATTAAAAAAAACTTTTAAAGCATGAAATAGTTACATGTAAATAAACATGTAGACCAAAATGCAGTAGCATATATAGACATACATTATATGTACAATACATGTACATGTAACAGAATTTTTTATGCCTCAATGGACATGCACATCATTGGAATATTAGGGAAACTGTGTCGATCCGGTGCCTTAACATGTACATTTAGGAATATACATACATACATGTACATGTACAGTGTGAATACGTTCAAATCATCATTTGTCACGTTTGTACACATTGCATAGTGCACATTGTAATATTTCACCACCACATCGGCACATGTACATCATTGTGGCAGGATTTTCAGAATGTTTAATTGAAACAACCAACAAAATGCCAATGTTGTCCAGAATACAGCTCTGCCAATCGATAAAGGAGCTTATTTGTAATTAAATCACACACATACAGCAATCAATTAACTGAAAGCAACCTGTCTTAACTAAACAGGTGTATATTGTACTAAGTGCATAAACCTGACGTAACTGTCATGTCTATGTTTAAATAGACGAACAAAAAGGAACATAATCAATACGTTAAAGATTGAAAGAAAGTGGATAGTTTTACATTATGAAATATAATTCACTGCACAAGGAGTAAAGGGGACAGTTGCCCGGTAGTTGTCATCATGACTATACGTGTGCAGAACGAGGAGACAAGTTTCATGTTTTTACATGATGAGAAGAAACTGAATTGAATTGATTGAATTGTTAGCAGTGTCTCCCAATGGTTATTTTTGTCATTACCGGTACTAAGATGCTCTAAAACCGGTTCTACATATTATAGGAGTCAGCTACAATGTAGTTGGAGTGAAGTAATTTTTTCTTTCATCAATAAAAATAATTTCTGAGCTCAATCAAAAACATTTTGTAAGTCAGCAGTACCGTTTGAAACAACCTCATTCCCAATGGGTACAATCTTGCAGCGCTATGGTGGTTCCAATCATGCTTTGGAACTGTGTAATTTAAATATCTCACTATTTTGAGAGATTTAAATTTCGACTGTATTCAATGTGTTCAACACACGATGCAGTGCTTTAAATATGTGAAAGTTTTTTCCCTAGAATCAATCCTTTCAAACGTGAGATTTCGATGTTGCGTAATAGAGCAAATATTTATATTTAATGTATGTACTGCTGTCGTCCCTTTACAACAAAAGATACATTTTTGGGGGGGGGGGGAGGGCACAAAAACGAGGCTTCCAGAATCCATATCATACAGGAATCGTGCAGTCTTGAAAAAAATATTCGTACGTGACGTGACGTGCAGGAGATGTATCTTAAACTTGCAGCCTTGAATAGTCAATTGGTGTCGTTTCCGTATTCTACTTAGCCAGAGGTTAGTGAAGGAACGCGCATGCAGCCCATGGAGTCAAGGCTGCATTTGAAATGGCCAGTTGACCCCACTGGGTAGTCGGGTGCATGACACGTCAACACTACATAGTACAGTAAGTAAGCAGTTGGTTGTGGGTTCCAGTCCCACCAGAACAGGCATGTGAATTTGTCTAACTCTGAGATGGCTATATTGTACGTACGGGTTCCTGGAGTGCTTGTCATATGACGTCGATAAGGGCAAGACTTGATATTCACATTTAGTCTATATTTACATAAAACTCTATATTCAGTAAGTCTGCAAGTTTGTCAGTCGGTCAATCAGTAAGATCAGAGGACAATAGCCTGGCACTTCTGATCAACACGGAGTTAACAGAAATCAACACAGAATTTGGACGTGGCATACTTCTGGATGATTTCTCGACCAGAGGGTAATAGGGATCTATTCAGACAAATAGACGAGGGGTTAAAATGATAAAAAAAATATGTGACTTACAGTCTAGGAAATCCTCTTCCATCATTTCTGCCTCCTCCTCACTGGCAAGAGAAGAGCTCTCGATCTCTTCCTGGAATCAGCAAAAAGAAATAAAGACTTTCACTGGCATAATATTTGACCCTCGTGCAAAAATGGGAAGTGTCCTGCAGACCCACAAAAGTGTAATGTCTACAGCATAGAATGCTGAAAATGGAGGAAATAATCGAAAATGAAGAGAAAAAAAATGGGAAATACTACTAATAGGAAAACTATCGTGCCTGCTTTCAGTAGACGCTGTGCGACATGTGTCAAGTTGCAAACATAAAAGAACTCATAGCTTACGGTACATGACAAAGGTTTTCTATTTTAATGAAAAGCTGGTTCAGTGAGTCTTAAATTACTTTTCCTCCCACGTCATGAAAGACTTTGAAATCTTTCGTTCACTAAGAAACCTACAAGGCCTCACGTCAGTAATTTGTCTCTCCCATCACTGCATGTAATCTTTCTGTTGTAAGTTTTCTGTTTTGATGAAACAGTTGTTTCAGTGAGTCGTACGTTACTTTTCGTCTAACGCCATTAAAGACTGAAATCTTTGCTTCACAAAGAAATCTACAAGGCCTCATGTCAATAAATGGTCTCTCTTATCACTAAAATCTTTCTTTCGTAGGTTTTCTATTTTGATGAAACATATGTTTCAGTGAGTCCTAAGTTACTTTTCGTCTGACGCCATGAAAGCCTGAAATCTTTGCTTTACTAAGAAATCTACAAGGCCTCACGTCAATAAGTTGTCTCTCTTATCACTGTAATCTTTCTTTCGTAGGTTTTCTATTTTGATGAAACAGTTGATTCAGTGAGTCGTAAGTTACTTTTCGTCTAACGACATGAAAGACTGAAATCTTTGCTTTACTAAGAAATCTAAAAGGCCTAATGTCAACAATTTGTCCCTCTCATCACTGCATGTAATGTTTCTTTCGTCGAATATACTAGAAACATCACATGAATGAACTGGTAACAACTGACCTACGGGTAATTTCTTTGAGTTTACACGGGACAAATTTTATTGCAGAATAATTCCCACAAATTCCGGTCATAATACTTAGAACTGTCAGATTGAACGATACCACAGATTTCAACTGTCGACCCTTTCCCCCTATACTAGATCGGACGCCTGATGAGCAGGGGTAATAATTGTACTGTTGCTATAATAATATCAAGATTTTTTTTTTTTTAGAAGAAACTTAGGGCAAAGAAGATTTACCTCATCTTCCGAGGATGATGCGGTGGACGAGGCGGGATACTCCAGTGCATCGTAGAACTCTAGCAAGGACTCTGAGCGGGACATCTCTCTCTCATCAGACAGCTGAGGGGACAGGGCGTATGGCTAGAGGAGGGGGGGGGCGGGGACAAACGTCACAGGACTGTTATTACTAGATGAACAATAACAAAACCGTTACATCCACAAATCATCCAAACATTACCTGTCTAACTTGACTTTTACTTGTAACAACCCAAATCTAGATTCCAACTGTGAATGTGCATGAATGTGCAAAATCCTCGCTGTCCAAACATTATGAAATTCTGTGCTTACTTCAGAACCTATGGAGGCAATTTCTTTAATTCTGCTGGTACCCACTATGAACTTGCTGGCATATGGTGAATTATTTATCCCGAAAGGAAGATCATCATGTGCACATGTACAGTTGGAGAACCGACCTGGTTTATTGACTTGTGACGGACTGATTACAACTCTTGGGTGAGGCAGTGGTTTGGCTGGAATGTGGGTGGGATCAAGACTAGGAACAGTTTTTCAACACTGCTTGGATAAATGTTTATGCATTTGGGTCTTTCCACATTAAAGGGGTACAAAAGTGTGACGACAATTGGGTAAATTCATGCACATGATCACTAGTGCCCTGTCAATTTATAGCAACATTTTGTCCATGTTACTTACGTATTTTTTTTAAGATGACCCCTGTAATTTCTTAAGTACATACAATTAAAGTCCTCTATATTTTTGTACATGTGATCATTAAGGCCTCAGAAATGTACAGGACTGAAAAAAAATCTTGCTTTTGCTGTATCCTCCAGTTCCCTTTCAAATCCCAAAATTCTAGTCAATTGTACCCCATTAGAGTGGAAATGCCCATTTACAAATGTGAAAAACCTGTAAAAACCAAATCCTAACCTTGGCTATCTGCCTTGCAACATGTGCAATCGAAAGGTACTGCCACATGAAAAATGAATCAATGAATCACTTGAACAGTTTCTGCTGTAATTCTAAATGCTTTGCAAGCCATGAAAGAGAATACATGCGCAAGAGAAGCATACAACAGACTTGCTTGAAATGTACATCAATCGGAAATATGAGGCTTCTGTTACGATTGAGGGAATCAAATTTTAACATGCAAAAGAAAACCAAGGAATTTTTTTGTTTGGATTGGGTAGGGTAAAGAGTGAATACATGAGGTTAAAATTTGGTTAGCTGTACCAAAAACAAAACAAATAAAATGACAAATGAACTTAAAATGTTACAGATGTAAGAAACACTTCTTATCTACACAAATACATGTTAAATATATTCAAGATTCTAATTCTACATTCTATAAATGAGAAGGATGCAGCACGAGCCATGCACTGTTATTACAAAAGTATTTTCAATTATATTTGTTTAATTATGCGGGAAAAAACAACTTTGCAATGACCACTATTTAAGTACTCCAATACACAGCAAAATAAAACATTGGAAAACTCACACAAAAAACACCCCCACAAAACCTGGCTTATCTTTGTAGAAGTTTAACAGGCATGACAGGTCCGAGTGGGACTTAACCGTGCCACAGACGTACCGGTACATTGTATAAGATGTGGACTGTGCCATCCTGACACCCCCTACATTCAACAGTGTACGCATACCTGCACATTCACTCCTGACAGTACAGGAGTTACAAAAGCCTGCTAAAACTGTAAAAGAATGGCAGTGAAATCCCCTGACATACATGTACATGTAACAATTAACATGATTAAATGCGCATTTCCACATCGGGATCCCATTACGTCAAAAACAGAAAACCGTAAAGGCAAAGGAGAATAGGAGGGAAAAATTACAATGACTGCACACCAGGTTCATACTCCCACAGTATGGGCTCCGTGCACTTGTAAGTACCCCATCAACGGCCAGAAAAGGAGAGTTGGGGGTGACATAGACTGGTTTCCGATCCATCCACTGCGTATTATGAATGTTTTAAAGTTATTGGAGGCGGGGATTAGTCTCAGAGATCATCACAAGTTGATTTCAAACGTATTCGCGCGCCGACGACGCCTGATGCTCACGCGAAGACGCGGTGGCTATAGCATTTGCACATTCAGGAAGTCATGTGTACTTCGCATGCGAACCAGCACAGTACAGTATGCGCACACTGTGCGTCCTGTCCACGGAGCTCTCAAAAGACGTAAAAATGCGCCCTCTTTTGTTGGCGCACAGAGCCCATAGGCCTACCAACCAAACTGTAAAACAGAATCATACAGACACACCAAGCAAGCATGCTGGATATACATGAGGAACTATTACCCCACCTTAGCTGTGACCATACCATCCTCAAAGTCTCCACTAAGACTGCGGTTTAGCTTAATCAGTAGGGTGTCTAGTGCTCCACCACCCTTGGATAAACGGAAGCAGGCCAAGATAATATGGATGTATGCATGTTATCAAATACTGTTAGCCAAGAAGAATTGTTTTAGTAAATCTGCTTGCTAATTGGACTGTGTATGGCCCATGTGGTCTTAACAATGTTGAAGGTGAGAAAAACAGGTCACAACATACAAAATAAGAGCATAGATCCCACTCCTATCTGAATTATGTCCATCAGTATTGATGTTCGTGTACTGGTACCCGAGACGTGTATCTCTCTGCATTCAGGATATAATAAGAGCAAATTCCAGAAGGACCAACACTGTAGAATGTGAGTGCCTCCTTTGCTTAGAAATAGTTTTCTTCCATTATTCATTAAAAAGGGGCAAAACCATAAGTTCATATTTTGCAGATTAACACAGATAAATACCATGCAGCAATTTTTGAAAAGAGCGGAGAAATAGCATTATAATGAGGAAAGCAATGTAACATGTACATATTTTAGTACTTGACTGCCCCTACCGGTATATATGTATGTAGATAAATGGATAGCGAGTACGTGCCATATCTTAAGACAACGATTTAGCAAAGGTTACTAGTTTTTCCTTCAGTTAAAATTAAGCTACAGTTTTCTTTCATTATTCATTAGCAATGAGGAAGCAGTAAGTTTGCATCTTGCATTTCACACAGACACTGTACATGTTCCAACTAAAGAAATAAATTATCATAACGAGCAGAGATTTTACATGTACCTGTAGGAGCATACAGGATGCATCAGGGAAGAAAGTTGTAATCAATTACATGTACCTTCTCGATGAACCAATTCTGATTAAGTGCAATATTATGTTTTAGTTCATGGTTGAGCAGAAGTGAAGAACTATATTTTAAAATGTGTAATTTTTAAAAAAAGTGTAAGTCAACGGGTTTCAACATAAAATTAAACAAATGATTACAACATGAAATCAATATCGTACACCATGGGAATACAGTGTTTTTGCAATGTTCAAGCCCAAATTCAAGCAAAGATGATGGAAAGATTATAGTGCATATGACTTGCAATGGCGAATTCCCATGAGCTTGATCTTCTCCCTGCATTTACCAAGTTTCGCCCAAGAAGTGTTAAAAAAATTAATGTCTTGTTGATGATGCAGGATGAAGCAGAATTAACCTAAGTATCACTGTTTTGTTAATGAAATAAAAATGATGGCTTTAGATTATGAGGGCCAATTTCAGATGTTTGTTCTTATCGCAAAAATATATTACATCTCTTTGTGTGAAGCAAGAAGAAATTTTTGTGTAGCCTTAAATTTTTTGGATAAATTAATTGTCGAATGATGACTACCAACATTGATAGAAGAGAAACTCAGACTGAAATTGGCCCTTTGCGCATGATTTTACGCTTGTGGGGTTAAGAAATGATATTTTGCAAGAACACTAGTTTTTCGTTTTACCTTCAGGTCACAATTTTCAAAGCTGAAATTCAGCTTGAGTGGAGTGGGCAAAGTGAAGGACTTATGACGCCGCTGTAAAAATGTCAAATATTCATGGCAAAGAGACAAAAAGTACGATATTGTGATGAACACATTTTTTTTTATATTGGCTTTTTCTCTGAAATCTCAGTTACTACCATGTTTAAAGTCGTAAAGCCAAAACAGGAACTGCAGCACTGCCATTTGTGTTTCTAAAGATTGCTAGAAGCAATTTTGAGGTGTCCATGTGAGTGTACCTTTAAACCCCTGAATGACACCTGGGTGCATGTATTTTCTTGAATCCCCGTAATTTGCTTTGTGACTACATTCTTGTACAACTCAAAGCAAGTTCAATATAACCACGGTTTGACAAACTTTCATATAACCTTTACTAGTGAAAAATTACTAGAATAGTCTGACCAACTACCGTTTAAGTAAAAAAGAAATAAATGGTTCAATGAGAGTAGACATGAGGCGTGAGGGGTCTACTCACCATGAGTTCAGTGTCTGATTTGATGGGCGGTGAGAGATCTTCAATGTTTGATTCAGCATAGATCCGAGACAGTCTCCCCCTCATGTCTTCATTCTGACCCCTTGCCTATTCAGGAAAATAAGCAAAACAACCTGGTCAAAGCAATGTTAAAGCAAGTGTGTCAAAAAGCCTCTCTGGGAATTCAGGTGATACAAGTACGTACGAGCCTTTTCCAACATCATTCTCTGGTAAATAGTTTAGTTGCGGTACCAGCTGATACATCAGATTCGAACCGGCCAGTCATCCCCGGTAAGCTCAGTGGTTGAGTGGTAAGACCTCTGCACTAGTAAGCAGGAGGTCGTGTGCCCAAGTCCCACCGAGTAGCTTTTGAATTCTTTGTTTCGCAAGTCCTCGGACCACGCTGAGTATATGGTATTTAAAAAAATATGTTGGCGAAGGGCAAAACTCAATATAAATTTTCTTAAAAGACGCAAATTAAATCTTATAGACTAATCCGGTGGCAGCCATTTTCTGCGGTGGCAGCAGGCTCGTGTGAGTCACACTCAGGTAGTAAACAGGCACTCCAGGCTCCTTTAACCAATATGGCTACCACAATGCACATGCACCTCATCTTTAAGAACGTGTGCAGCATGCACATGAGCGTGAAGCCAACGCAGTAAAGGCTTCTAATTCTGGTCGCTGGATTCCCATATAAGAAGCTCTGATTTTGTGTCTTATACTCATTGCTTGAGAGCAGTTTCTAGAGTCTAACCTTCGCCAATGCTTCCTGTAGTATTGTGATCTGTCTAGACTGCGAGGCTGCTCCCCCTGCGCTGTTCTGGGATTCTATCACGTTGCGCAATCTGTCATGTTGGACCGATAGTAGATGCAGCACACCTTTCAGTATCCTATGAACTAAATAAAATAATTAAAATTAAATGTTGTTAAAAATATGTTATTGTTTATAATTAGCATCAAAGCCTAGGCTCTCACTTGAATTCAAGTACAGTGTGGGACATTAAAGACCTTTTTTCAGTCATCACTACAAAAGGGAACTACATGTATGAGGCCGTTAGTTGTTATGCTTATTTTGAAATCGCCTGTTGGGAATGGAAAAAGGAGAAATTCTGATAAAATTTCAAAAATAAACATGAGTCCACACAAAAGCTGTGATTGTGAGGGCTGAGGGTGTGAATTCACTGAGGGCGCTGTTTAAATAACACAGATGGAACTCTTTTGAAATACAAAATGTACTTTTACGCCTTTGTGCCAAGTCCGAACAGCAACTATCGTTATATTTTCCTGTGACGGAGTTTACAATTATACAACAATTTCTAAATCTCCATGTTTCTATATATGTTTTAAGATGGGGGGGTCAAAATATGGTCGTGTCCGTGCAACAAATTCGTATCTCCTAAAACGGTATGTGATGTCATGTACGTGAAACGCGAGTTTTCAATGTCAACATGTCTTGTGGAAAGTGCTGCTGATGCTTGTCATTTTTGACTGCCTACCTTGATTAGCCATATCCATGAAGTCATCTCTAGGGTTGGACTCTTCTTGGAGTTGCTTGGCGGATGCGGTGGAATGCATGGTGTCATTACCTGATGAGTTGCCTGGAATGAGCGTTGCAGAGCCGCTGGAACGCTGCAAAGATAAATGAGTTACTATCGCACTTGAGTTGTTGGTCAGAAGTGCATGGTGCTATGAGAATGACACAATTATTATGATGTTCATGGTGTTATCAAAGTTGATTCTGGTCAGGGGTGTAGTCGCGTCCATCACAAGTCCCTGCAAGTCCGTCACAAGTTTTCTAGTCCAAATTCAAATCACAAGCATTCCAAATGAGCTTTGACAAAGACATTCCACTGTTTCTTGTGACTGGACTTGTGAATGGACTAGTGAATAGTTGTGACTAGACTTGTGATGGACTTGTAATGGATTCATGTACAACCCTGGGTTCTGGTAGTCTGAGTATCATCCGTTGTCCAACGGAGCCGTCTCCGTAACCAACGTCTAATATATGTGAACAATGCAAGTGTTATACGCCCCCGCACACCAACCAATCAGAGTCAACATTCAAAATTGTCACATCATTTCAATCAGAAATGTAGACTAAGCTGTTGATTGGTCAATTTGGCCAACCTGATAGAAGGTGTCCACTAAATGGTCAGAATATCGAGGTTAAGACACAGTCTTGTTTTCCGTAATTGATTTGCCGAATCTGCTCGCATATTATAGACCCTTGCTGTGCAAGGGGATATTCCACAGACGAGGGTTCTGGCACACAAGAACACTGAAATGCTCCACACATTTAAACCAGAGGGGAATGTCTACGTGCCAGTATATCAGACTTTGCTAGTTAGGTTGGCGAAGTGGTAGTTTCCTTGCCTCTGCGTGCAGGGTTCGAATCCCGCCAAGTCAATTTATAGATTGGTTTTTCAGATCCTTAGATATTTATGGTTTCCCTAGAATATTGGGATTTTTATCCGATCTAGACAACTAACATTTCTGTTTTGTCTTCTCTCCATAAAAATAATACAGTGGAAAACTAGCACAAAATATTAGCTGAATATTTTCACCAGTTACCCAACTCACCCTTACATCCCCCAAAGAGGGATCACTGGCAGTTTTCTTGTTTTTCCCCTTGCGCAGCGACAGCTTTCCTTTAGATCGACTCTTCTGACCAACGATATCATCAACCTGATAACAAAAAGAATGACAGAAAAAGTAAACTTTTGAAGTAGTATCTGCAAATAAGCTCATCTGGATTGTTGGTACAACAAGAATAAGGAGATTTGTTTTTTCCCATCCAAAAACGTGTACAAGTGTACGTGTACAAGCTCTATAACATCTATGACCAACTAGTCCAAACCACGCCAACAACACCCTCAATGACGACCAAGAAAGGGTATAAAAGGCACTTGAGCATTGGACATGGTTGCCGGTCTGATGAAGCTCCTACGGTAGCTTAGGAGTGAAGCGTAACTAAAAATACGTGAGCAACATCTCCTAATTCTAGAAAGTCCTACAGTAGTCTTTTTACAGTGTGTAATAATCTCGGTACTTTAAAATTTTCTGAACGCATGCATTTCAGGCTGGAGTTGTCGGGGTCTGTTACCTCTGGTTCCTGAGCACCGTATGGGAATGGTAACTCCTGGTTCAAGAGATCCTGGATAATGTTGGACAACATCACGATGCTATTCTCAGCCTCAGTCAACTCTGCCAACCACAAAAAAACCCAAAAGACAACAAATTATATTGGATATTCGTGCTTGATGTCGTATCATTCATTACTTTCTGGAGTATTTGATTCAATTGTTTAACTTTTTAATTTTTTTGTAACTCTAAGTCTTAGATTTACCAGTGTTTTGTAAACATTATTAATTGAAACTGTCCAGTTCCTAATAATTTGCTGCATCCGAAGTACCTGGCTATGGCTAGTTATTACACATGCGGCTACGGAAGCGGCTGATTTACTTCCCAAAGACATGTGTGCTACTATCAGCTGCAGCCACGTTAAACGGACACAGCCATTGTTAAATTTTGTATTGGCTAGGCAAGACTAACCTTTGGAACACTTGTCCAACTCAGAGATTTCCGTCTTCCAGCTGCCGGAGTTCTGTGAGTTCACCGGTCCCGGCAGCCGATACTTAGACATCTGCTTGCGTAGGCTGAGCCGACGTCGCTCTAAGGTCATAGCCTTGAGGGTGATCTCACTGGTAGGGCTAGCCGCTGGGTGGGTGGGGCCACGGGCCGTACCTAAGGACTCCTCGGCCATCTGGACCTGCTTGCGGTAGCCCTGGTGGAGGAGGAGGTGGTTGTGCCAGGCTAGGAACTCCTCGTGGGAGGTGGCCTGAAAAGGGCGAAATTATCGGGAGTATTATGTCTCGCAGTGAAGATATTTGAGAAAATCAAAGCAATGTAGAGATGTAGTGAAAGTAACAAGTTAATCATGAATCAATCACAACTCAAATCACAAGTCAATCACAAGTTAGGTCACAATCAATCACAAATCAGGTCACGGGACAATCATAAATCACAAGTGGATCTCAAATTCAAACATTTTTCACTATTTGCCAATCCCAAGGCAATCACAAATCAAATTAAAAAATTTACAAGTCAATCACAAGTCTATTGGCAAGTAAGATCTCAAGTACTTTGAGACTGGATGACTTGTTATAGGCTTTTGACTTTTGATGACTTGGCTTTATCTTGTGCATTAATTAACATGAAATTGAAGCAACTATTTATGATGCATGCTTACCTTGACATGATAGAGAAACTCTTCCGTATCGATGTCAATCCTCCTAGCTTTACGATCTTCCTCTTTCTCAGTTGAGATGACCGCTGACAGGACATCAATAGTGCCATGAATCTTGCCTTTCATCAGCTAAAATGTGATCAAGCAGAAACTGATTTTGCACAGTCTTCATGTATCGTCAATGCATACAGAAACCATTGTATTATAACCTTCATGTAGTTACGTAAGAACAAAATTTTGTTATCGTTTTTTTTTTTTTTTTTTTAAATATCTCACCTCTCCACAGTTTTTGCCATATGTCAGCATTCCTTTCTCCAAGACAAAATACCTCTGCAAATAATTTTATCAGAAGAAAAAAAATGAAGTTAATATACATGTCTGAATATGGCATTTTGTAAGAGGCATTAACCCTAACAGCCCTGAATTCTCACATATTCATACGATTTTCACACACCAAAGGTAATTAAGGTAAATCAATTGATCTAGTGCACTCATTTGCATTTTATTCTTCCAAAAGTTACAATATTAGTACTGTTAAATTATTATTTATTTTAATGGGGGAGGGGGGAGGGAGGTGTAGTTTTGGTGGGTGGGGCTGGGGGGAGGGAGGGCATGTACAATGTAGTACCTTGTGCCATCCTTTCATGGGCCGTTTCCTCCGTTTCAGCAGGTACCCTTCAATCTTCCCTGGTTCCTTCTCCACACTCTGGCCTATCTTCTGAAGATCCAACGGCAGTAGCTTGGGGGATTTCTTGTCTGCTTCGTCTGGTGCCCCCGTGCCTATGGACGAGGCCAGGCTGCCCGTCAGTACTACAGCTTCTGATATTGCCTCCTGAATAACATGGAAACAAAAAGTACAAATAATATGTAACGTCTTTTAAGAGGTTCAAACAGTTAAATGTGTACATTCACCTAAAATCATGCGAACACAGATTGTGAAAACTGTAAGGAAATATGCATTAAACAAACCATTTAAATATCCAAGATTATAGACCAAGATACTGTACTGTTGCTTTGTCAAATGAAATGGGATAATCCAAATACCATTACACCTCCTACTCTAGTTGGAATGGTCTGTAATATTATCGATGTGCCATTATCTTGCCTATCATAAACACTGATAACACGTACATGTACTGTACGGTACATCATGTTTCTCTCTGTATCATGTGATAAAGCAATATACATGTGGTGTTTGCAGTCCACAGATAAATTTGCAAAGTTCAATGTGTCAAGAATCTGAACAAAGTAAGCCATGTGTAGGTAAAATGAAAATGGCTTTTTGTACACAGTCCTTATAGTGCAGACAGAGGAAGTTGTAGATTATGTAACATGTACAACTGTACCCTGCACACCCAGCATAAATACATCAATGTATACATTGTGTACATGTACTTTTCACTGTACTGTGTATGCGTACACACGTACTGTACATGAACACATGTATTTACATTCACTTTACTCCTCCAGGGCATGCACTATGCATGCACAGTGCAACACTATGACCATGATGATGAAGAAGATGATAGCCACATGTTAAATTCATATTTGGGGAGTCTTGTATTAGACAGAAAATGGCATACACACCTTGCATGGATAGATATTGCATGGAGGTCCTGCCTCCACGGATATTGCGATTTTCAATGTACATGTACATTGCCTACTTTCTGCTCCAGGTCAAGCTCATGGCTCAGTGGACCATGGTACATGAATGTGCTATCGTACAAGTAACCCAATGTACAGTGCATGATTAAATCTGATTTACCTCTAATTTAGAGAAATCTTGGGGGAATGAGAAGTGGTACATGGGACTGACAATGAAGATAGCTCGTAATTCATTTATTTTATACCTGTACACTCTGCATGTTCTACATGCACATGGCTTCAATCAGCAGATCATGACATGCACATTACATCAAACGTATACTCACAAGCTCATTTTTAAGATTCTACAAAGTCAAGTCCAGGCATGCTAGGGTTAATAAAACAAACTCACCATCATGTTGGAAATACTCTGCAGTTACTCTCTCAACTTGCTGATGTACATGTATATGTACATTTACTACAGTATGATGACACGCTATATGCTCCAGCTTCAAGCTCTAAATATGCAATGCCTGATCCATTTACATTGCAGTAAGATGTGATAATCCTAAGCAAATAGTCCTAGCACACATCACACTACTCTATCTACTGGTACCCATCTACCCAGTACTGGCGTGCGTGTGTGTTTACAAGATAAGGCCAACAGCAGCATCATAATGACCATCAGCAAAAACTTGATCAATGCACTAGTGTTGGGCAGAAGGTTGGGCAGCGGCGCAAACGGAGGTAACTGCCCCTGGATTTATTGGGGATCAATCCCACAGCTGGTCAATATTCCAGCTACATTATGAGCAGGAACCAGGGAAGGATAATTGAAATGATATGGACTGCACTTTTACCAAACTGAATTTAAGTATCCTCCACACACATACATGGACCTACTAGCTGTGATTAAATTCTTTGTTTACATTTCGACTTCCAGCTGTTTGCAATAACATTTCAAGTAATGCACAATGTGTGTATCCATTACCAGTGACACATCACATCTGTCGGAGCCTGATATTCCCCATTCTAAACTCTCAATGACACTGCGAAAATTGCTAGATCAATTTCAAATACAACTGACTAAAATTATGCACAAACCATTGATCATCCAAACTGAAAAGGCAAAGGATCAAGAAATGTCGACAGCATCAGTACAAGACATCTGCAGTGAATGACTGTATGGTATTATTCCACATTGAGGCCACATGCATAAAATCTGCAAGATTATGTTCCTGTTCGTGTGCGTACATAAATGTGAGTGATAGTGCACCCATACTCCCTAGAAAGCATCAACCCCACGGCATTTTAAAAGCATTCAAATGTCACTGTTGCACTGGGGCCGTGGCAGGGTATATAATGTACAATGTCTATGATCTACCCAATAGAAAAAAAACATTTTTGTGTATTGTCAGGTTTCTCTAAGGCAAAAAAAAAACGGATTTACAATAACCCGACCTGCATTTTTTGTTGCCAAATTGACATTCTCAAAACATTTTATTTTGCCACATTTGGGCACAAATTGTGAAAAATAAGTACCGGTAATCCGGTATTCCCTATGCGAGTTTGTGTGTGTCATTGGCGACATGTAATAACCTTACGTAAACAACTGATAGACAAACATAACAAAAAATGACAAACTAAAGTTATATTCCTATGTTGTACCTACCAGGATAATTTTTAGGGTGTTACAGTAAACACACAATTTTTTTTTTTCTGCCTTAATTTAATTACTTAACAAACACGCACTCGGGCTGAAATTTTAGGTGAAATTGACAGTATATTTTCAAGCTGCAGTACATACATATTATTAATATTAGTTATCCCGCAAGTACGAGTGGAACATTAATGTAGTGCGTCTGCATCTCACATGCATACTTCGTATATGTGCCACAAGGCCGAAGGCAAGCAAACTTGCAGCAAACTTGACGCACAGTAAAGATGGAACACACACACCCTGTACACGTACTTTTCAGCGCCTGTCCTATTACACATACGTGCAGCGGGAATGGCACGCGCATCTCAGAAAAGTGTAATACGCAGAGTGCAGTAAGGGACAAGGTAGCATGGTTTGTTGCTATGGATTGACCAATCAGAATTGAGAATTCAAGTTTACTTGAAGATAATAGTACAGTGTACAATGTAGCTCAATTGAAACTGGGAGTATGTTAAAAGACCAGTGTCATTACAAGAAAAGTGCCTGGTTCCAGTTGATCTGAATTTAATGTCTATTTGAAGTTTATATATTCAAATTCAAATTCAACTTCAAATGGAGCATTTGACATTGTTAACAATAGTAAATGGTGCTAAAAAAAACAAGGCAAACAAGTAAACAACCAGACCACTCTAGCAAGCAGTCCGATAAATCTCTGGACTTGGCCCAGGATAAGAGAGGCTATTGCATTAAACCCTCTCTGCGCTACAACTCACCATTCCCTCTGGCTGCGAATGTCTCTTCTGAAGCTGAAGACGTTGTCTTCTCTCTTTGGTATCGGCGTCCTCCATGAGTGATCCAGAGATATTCCTGCCTGCAGGAAACTCAGTAGTTAATGATTGCCCATACTGACAAGCAGCATGTACCCCCGATGTTTGTACAAGTCCACGTAGGCCTACAACCACAACAAATGTCACAGTGACAGCTTTGGGGCGATTGGGAGATGGTGATAAGTGGCTGACAGAAATCTCATCCAGAGAGCAGGCAAACCAGCCAGGCAACTACGTGCGACTTTTACCACCAAAATCCTGCTGTCAACACTACATCAGCAGGTCTGTCACTCCGAAAATGAAGTGTGTGTTATCAGCATTCAGTTTCACAGTTGAGCTGATCAGGTTTGGTTTCGTAAAGTGGCAGAACCATTTGTGCTTTCACCTGCAAGGGTAGAAAAAAAATGACATTCAACACTTTTAATTGAATTACCAACTTTTACCTAGTAAATGTGTGTTCATGCTTGACCATAAAATACATGTAACTGGGCCATGTCGAATATCAAGGGCAAGAGTGCAATACTCTTGTGGTGCCATGAGGCAATTCCATGCAAAAAAAGTGGACATGCCTCATTTCGTTACCAACCATGTCAACCTTAATTATTTGTAATTCATAGTGCCAAGGCACTATCTTTTATTTCCCCTTTCATTTTTCGAAAAACGTCTTTTCTTTCAGGAATTACAAATAATAATGAGGTCGGTAATGGAATAACGCATGTCCACCTTTGCCTGGAATTGCCCCATGGCTAAAGTTACATTTACATGTATCTAAGTTCAGAGAATTAATCACCGCACACGATTATCAACAAATGGACAGGATTTCCCCTTGAAACACAAGTCAGGTTTTGACGAGGAATTCACACTTTCATTAATGCACATCATACAGTTTGTGTATATTTAAAGGGGAGACTGGTAGAGTGTATCTTTTTGCTTTTGCGCTGAACCGACGAATTACATACATAGCAACCATGCGCACTTGTGCCCCGTGTCAATGCTTGCGCACACCCATTCACAGCTTCGCTGAAATTAAAAACGAACTACGAACGGAAATACTTTACAAACAAACGAATTATTTCCAAAAATGCGTCTCTAGAAATGACCTTCTTTATTGTTTTTTTTCATAATGACAGCATGCCAGAAAGAATAATTTCACAGGGAGTTTAGTGCCATTACTATCTTTAAACCAAGTATGCTTTTCAAGAATAATTTTGTCAGTTACTTTTTGGATAGCTGCAAACGATAAACTCTACCTTAAAAAAAAACCTAAATAAATTTATCTCAGTAAATTGTTGTAACATACATGCACTTGGAATTTACGTTTACGGTCACGGTACAACAAGTGTACCGGTACATTGTACATTATCATTCAAGAGGAAAGTTGAAAAAAGAAAAGAAAAAAATGTGTACACGTACTGGGCTAGCAATTAAAAGAGTCTCTAGATTTACCACATATCAAAACCAAAGGTTGAAGTTTCTCTTGATTGCACATTTTATTATTTTTAATAACAAAATGCATACTGAAAGTAAACACCGGTACTTCATGCCACAGTTAACTGTAGTACCCTACTGGAGTAGTTTTGAAACCTCTCAGCGGAACAAATTACACAAATCGATATCTTGCGCACTGTCTGTCCTATATAGGCAAATGTTGCCACACTATAATGCTGGTATGTAAACCGTTGTGTAAGGTAGTTACACAGTACAGTATAATCAGGGTAAAAAAGAAACAGCTCTACATACACAAGAACATGCACACTACACAGGTCACACATTTTTGACACTTTAACCAAAGCAGGAAGTCAAAGTAATCCTCAAAGATTAGATCATTAAGTGCAGGATTAGACAGGGATTAGGTTGGATTTCATCAGGAGCAGATACCCTATCCCTGGGGATACGCAGCAGTTATCACAGCCTATCATATTCTTGTCTTGATCTTTCGGTTAATATCTGTTCAGTGCATACACAAATATATCTGATAGCTGGCTAAGATGACTAAAAGGGATTAATAAGATTAACACTAAGGACTCCTTTCACCAAGACTATTATGCATACCCATGCGATCGCCATTGAGTAAAAAGTTAGTGGAAGAATAAAGTCATGCAAAGGCTTTGAATCATGAGCGCTGAAGGCCTGAGTGATTAGATAGAGGAAATTATTTCAAGAGAAAGCTCTTGCAGAGAAACCTCTCTCTGGGAACACCATCCCTTTTTATCTGTTTGTTTGCATCAGTATTCTATTCTATTCTATTGACTTATTGCCGTTTGCGAGTTGGCCACGCCCCTTAGACAACCCTATGGCATTCTTGTACTCTAAGTTTTGTTTTTCTCAGACTTTGCGCTTTCCGCGTCCATGCCTGTATCATGTACCATTGGACAATATTTCACAAGCTGCGTTTCTAATGTGATTCTACCGCGATAGGTCAATGCTACATACCGGTGCTTTTCTTAAAAATCACTTCACCATGTTCACATAGGCCCTACGTGATATTCAAAAATATTTAGAGTTTTGGACATTTGTGAGACAGTCAGTGAAGAAATGTGTGAACATGAATTAGGTTCACACATCAATTGAAGAAAGGTTTGTTTAATTTCAGAGGCAAATAATAAAAAATAAAAGCCAACTTACAAATGTGTATGTGTACATGAGAAACCTTTACATATATATACTTTCACCAGGGGTAAAATTAAATTTAAAGTTTAACAACCAAATAGACCTAATTTCGAAGCGCTGTTTAACAGTTAGCAGAAATATTGTGCCTACTACACTACAGCAGAAAATCATGCTGCTGCTTTAAAAGCACAATTTCATGGCTTGGATGTGCTAATGGTTACTCATGCATAGAGATTTCTATTGTTATGTCACTGATTTATGTAACTTTTTCCTCTGGGGTTAAGCGTGCATTTGCTGTGCTTACTGCTTACAGTTTCTATGAAATAGGCTCGGTAAGCAAAATCAGTTGTCAAGCAGCGCTATGAAATTAGGCCCTTGCCAATGATAGCATCAACTGATTTACGCATGCACAATACACATAATGCACATAAAATGGTAAAGCCATTTGTGGACGAATCTATAAACCATTAACTCTAGAAAGAGGTAAAAGGTCAGTTATACCACACGTCGTAAATGTGTGCTCTAAATGTACATCACATGCATCAACTGATGGAGCGAGCGATCAGTGGCAATCAATGGAAATGAAATCAGTGGTACTGGTTGTACTATACACATACATGTAGAGTGATGTACATAATTAGCAAAGTGCATTATAGCATGTATAGTGCGTGGGGGAAAAGGCCGCAAGCAATTAGCCCCATACTGTCTAGTCTCACTTACTAGAATTTAGGACGTTCTCACTCTGTGGTAACATTCACCCTAAATTTAATTACTCTCCCAGATCTTATGAGTTCGAAATGTACTGTACGAAATTTACTAGGCAGTTTTGGAGCATTTTGGAGGATAGACCTCTCTTTCCCTAAAATTGTCACTTAAATTCAGTGAAAATGCCAGTGAAAGGGTTCACTCGTGGGTATCATAGAGGAATAAAGACCTGTCCGGCCGTTTTCATGCAATTTCATTTTCAGCATGCATGGACTTCTGTCATGTCTGTGTTTTCGAAACTTTCTGCTGAAAACTCAACTGTAGGCCCAACAGTGTAAAATCTGAACAAAGCAAAACATTCATCTTTGCTTATCTTTGTGCAAACGTTCGAAAACTTTGGAACAGTTCAGTCAATATACAGAGAATAACATCTCTATATTGATAAAAAAAATTATATAACAAAGAACGAATTATCCTATGGTGCCATTTTTGTAACATCAAGTTATGTGTGTAATACTAAAAAAAAGCCAACGTAGTGGCTATCGTTACAGCAGCTACATGTACATGTATAACATGATTTTCAACCAAAAACACCATTGCGAATCTATCACGTTTATACATTGTAACTACGCTTCCAACCAGAGTGCTTTGGTAGCTCGATTGGTTAAACGCTCGACCACCAAGCCGAAGGTCAGAAGGTCCCGAGATCAAAACTGCGCTGAGCAATTTTTTTCTTTTTTTTCTTTTAACAGTTTCATTTCCTTTTATGTTTGTGATCAAATGCTACTTTTTATTGAAGATTACATTTTCTTCTTTGAAATCTATGGCTACGGAGGATTTTTTTTTAAAGAGGAAAAGAATGTCTGGGAACCATTCAGTGGATAGTCTGGTTAACAGCCAAAGATCCTGACAATGAATACATGTACGTCAGGATCTTACGTCAGAGGGTTGCTGTCAGCCTGTAACAATAGCCATTGTGAAAAAAAATGCAAGACTCTGCAATGGCATCAAAACGATTGTTGCTGCAATGGACCGATCCATTAATTAAGCCTGCCCCATGGTGTCCTGACCAATCACAGCCGTGATTGATGTCCAACATGCGTGCACAAAAGTCCAACATGCCTGCATGCGCATATGACGCCTGCAGCAGCTACATGTTGAATTTCAGTGTGACACTGGAGAGGAGCACGTATTAACTGCCTGCGTGCGCAGGGGGCCTGTGCTTACTGGATCAATCTATTGCAAAAATATCAAAATACAAAGAATTCTTGTCTGGAATCCTACTTTAACTTAACACATTCATGACTAGATATTGAAAAAAATTAAAGCACAAAACTAAAAGTCAAAACCAAATAAATGCCTAGGGCTAAAACAAAACTTAAAAAAATTAAAGCTTAAAAATTAAAAAAAAAATAAAGCACAAAACTGAAAGTCAAAACCAAGTCGATAACAGGCCTAAAATTAAAAATATAAATTAAAGCTTAAAAACAAAAAAAAATAAAGCACAAAAAACTAAAAGTCAAAATCAAAGATAAAAAACAACAACCAACAATGGCAACATAGGCCATGTAGGCTAAAAAATCTTTCACATATCATCAAAACATTACATTTAGAAACATTAATTTTAGACAAGAATGTGGGATCTAGGCTTATTTTGTTTAACTTGTGTACAAATTAAATGGGGAGCCATGCAAAAAAAGTGTAACTGTAAGTGTTTACAAAGAAAACAATTACAAAAGAAAATGTTGATAATATTTTTAATTTAAACAAATATTATAAAAATTATTATCTGATTATTTGATTTTCAGTCTAAAGTAAAGACAAAGTCCTCTTGTTTTCGACATATGTGCAATGACCAACCATCAAAGAGGGTATGGTAAAAAATAAACCAACATTCTACCCGATAAATTTCATTAAACAGCGTCAGTCAGCAGCAAGCTGTACTTTCCGGTGTAACTTTTTCGTCGTCGGGCGCGGGCCTAAAAAAATCACAGGCCATTCATTGAATGATGGATTTCAATGAAACTTTAGACAGAAGATTTAGTTTCGCAGTTTCCCAATTTTTAGGCCTATATCCCCTATTTTTCATTCAATCAAAGTGCCTTTGTCATGTTTGTGTGCTTTTCAACTTTGGTCACAATATAAACAACAAAACAGTTCACATTTCTTACCGCTTTCCTTGCCAACAATGATTTTTTGAGGTGAATTTTTCAGCAGACGATCGCCACCCGCTGATAAAATTTAGGAAACGCATTGCATGCTGGGTGATTCGCCGTCCAGCTAGAAGTAGACTTGATACCAGTCTAAACAAGAGTACTGCTTATAACTTATCTTTAGATGAGTATCATGTAGTTCGAGGTTGAACAATGAAAACAAAGTGAAATTATATAGGTTCCTTTAGTAATTTCTTTTCTTTTTGAAATCATTCTGCATTTCGTGAAATATCGACACAATACTGAAAATTACAACTATAAAGTCCTAAAATAAGTCTATGTAGGGGCTATATTCTCCAGCGGCCGCGGCCAAGTGCCCCGCCCCCCACCTTCCCCGTTATGAAAAAAACAAACTTCAGGGGTTATGAATTACATGAACATAATTATTCCAAATTATCTTCCGTTGTGGAAACAAAAACCAAAAATTGTGGAAACTTGAGTCTTCAACTAAGTCGACATACCTTCTCCCCTTTGGCTTTATTTGAAGACATTTCTTAACAAACTCTGGCTTAAGTTAACAGCATTATCATGGCAGATATAACCACACGGGAAGAGGTGTATATTCATTACAGGATGGTAATCCACAAAAAGAAACACACATCTAAGACAGTCCTGTTTCAGAGAATTCTAGAGGGAATTTATGGGTATTGCTTTTATTATGCAAACACTGCAAACATTTACAAAATTATTTTAATCACTGTCAGAAAATATTTGGATCAAAAACATTGACTTAAAATATTCATCAAACAGCTCAATATTTATGAATATTATAAATTAATTTTATTAAGAAGCTACGTATTCCCCTAATTTATTTCTGAGTTTACTTTGGGTCTGAACAATTAACTGACGTGAAGCCTAGAAATATAAACAATGATCTCAGTAAAAACAATGCCACTTTCAAGTTAAGTCTTGACAACCCACAGAAATGTAAGACACCAAAATTCATCGGGATAGGTGAAAAATGTTGGGGTTGTCGAGTTAATTATTGGGCCTGAAAGGTAATTAAATTGATGAACCAATCACTGCATTTTAAATTCCATTAATCAATTATCCAGAGCTAAATAAATATTAATTGATAGATTAACCTTTTAATTGACACCAAAAGTCTACACTCACGTAACCTTAAAACTTCAAATTGTTGAAATAGTTTATAAAAAAAACAACTTAAATTTCATTAGTACCGGTAGTACTCAAGAACTTAGCATCCAACTTTGGTTGTCGGCCTCCTCAAATCGATCTTTGTTTTGAGGGGTACTCTGCCAAAACGCCATGACACCAATACATGCCTTGTTGGTGGAGGCAATGTCACAACGTGAAATAATTTTAACTCAAAATTGCAAAGAATAACACTGTTCAACCTTCATACACATCTGCAGAGCCAAGTTTAATACAAGGTCAACAGAATATGAAGGATCTCCACAAGCCTTGGACAGAAAATCACATCAGCATGTGATAGATTCTGCAGATGAATATGCCACGAATAATCTGCCACAGAGCAGGTTCAAGGCTAAAGTTTTCACTGGTTGAAGTCTGCAAAAGGCATGGTTTCAAGGTAGGTTAAAGGTAGAGTAGATCATTTGCAGCTATCCAAAAAGTAACTGACAAAATTATTGTTAAAAAGTCTACTTGGTTAAACTTGGTCTACTTGATTAAAATTTAACTCCCTGTGAATTTATTCCTTCTGGCATGCTGTCATTTTGAGGAAAACAATAAAAGGAAATTTCCAAAGATGAGTCAAGTGACACACTTTTGGAAATTTTTGTTGTTAGCAGTAGGTTTGTAATTGGGCGAATTTAACAATGGGTGCGCCTAAACGTTGACATGATGCACACGTATGCGCGGTTGCTACTACTCGTCGGTTCAGTGTGTGACATCACGTAGCTGTAATCGGCTGAATGAGAGCATTATGTTCCATATGCTGATTTTGGGCACAATTCAAATTATGACTCAGCAACTTTTGAATTGAAATCAAGATCCCAGAATGTTGTTTTCTCAAAATATACAGCATTTACAGAGCTAAAAACTTCATCAGGGTATTTGTTAATATGCACCCATCTTTAGATTTTGAGCATTTTTGTTGCCTCAAACGAAACAAATGCAAAAATGACAAATGATCTACTCTACTTTTAATGACATTATTAAACCTACAGATGCATGGTTCATCCTGCAAAGTGCGTACAAAGCCCATTTGGTTAACAACCAGGATCAAGCTTAAATCAGGTGTATTTCTAGACCTCTCATACAAGAGATGTTACATTTTGCAAAATTTAAAAATTGATTTAAATTTTCAAAATTTCATAAACGTTATCAAAATAGACAATTGTTTACAATTAGGGGAACTTGGAAGATACAATGGATGCCACTTAAACTTAATTTTGATACATACATGCATCTCGTGACAGATCCTAACTCCCAAAGAACACTTGTATCTGAAGTCTTATCAAGAAACTTTACTTGACATTTGAAACAGAATTATCAATTACAAGTACCTTTCCATGGACCAGAATTCCATTTCTGGAGTACAATGAGTACAAAAAACTACTAACATTAATTATTAACGCCAGTACTACCATTTTTAAAGTCCTGTCTTAGGAAATGCATAATCTCAGAAAATACAAGACATCTTCACAGTGTCAATTTTCCTCAAAAACTTTTTTAACTCTCTGTAGTCTAGTAGAAAAGGAAAAACTATTTACATACATATAAATATACATATCGACAAGAATGAGATATTTTTTTATAATAGATTCTTTGGTACTTGCAGGATTTAATTTATGGTTAGAGTCGTCTCGGACTAAAGATTATAAGGCAAACCACGGTAGAAATGTTGAATACATAACTTACTTCTTTTTTAGCACAAATTCACAGATTGACTAGTTCTGACAAAAAAAGTTGACAAATACAATTTCAATGAATACTACAATCAGAGAATAAAGGCCTCAGTTTAAAATTGATTATACTTTAACTGTGACAAACTAGATACGATTTAGCGAAGTACAAGGGGTGCGAAGCCCCGTATTTAATGGGCTCAGCCTTTAAACCCAACCCTGCAAATCTATATGACTCCTGTTGGATTATGAAGGGATGGGGAGGGTAAGAGACAAAGATTTTTAGTGTCATGCTTGTCTGGTACCTCATGTTCATAAGTAATTACCATTCAAGTGCAGGGTAATGAGCAAACACAATTTGTGAGCAACAATACTTGATTATTAACATCAAAATGACTTTGATGCAATTACAATGTATGTTGTGGCTTCCACCTTAATATATTTGTGCTTTTGTTAATGTTTGTATTAATTATTACAATTTTGCAGTGCGTTAGCCAAGCTACTTCAGATGGATTACAACACATCACAAGTCAATCACAAGTCTATCACAAGTCATCCAGTCCCATATCCCCTGTTCTTTATTTCTACTGGACTTGTCATTTACTAGACTTGGGCTATTGGGCTAAGACGTTGTTGTGTATTGGATTTGTGATAACCCGTCGCCGCAAGAGGGCATTATTGAGATGAAGCGCTATGACCCACGAACCGAAAGCAAAAACAACGTTGCTGGCAGTTCACTGGTGATAGCGGTTCGTCGTGGTAACGCCCTCCCGCGGAGGCAGGTTACCTCGAATCCAATACGCAACAACGTCTTGGCGCAAAACTAGTCATTTACTTGTGACCAAATTTGTCATACCTTAAATCCATCACAAGTACCTCAACTACAACTTTGCCATTTTGCCACAGGGTTCTGGAATATAAAATACATATGTATTTGTCATCGTTTTTTTGTGTGTGGCCATTTTATGAAGTTCTACATTACATGTACCATCACCATTACCATTGCCACTGAACATTAAATTTGTCAGTGAAGATTCAAATTCCAACAAAATTAACTAACTGTGAACAAATAATCACTGAAACTTGGAATACTAATTCTTACTTAATTCGTTACAGCTGCATATCATAACTGTACTGACACCATCACACACTAATTATCTAAGAGGAAAAAGGTTGGAAATCCAGGATGAAAATACAAAATGTTATCACTCAACTGGTCTTAATGCCTTTTGTGGGTACAAAATGTTTCGAGGTAGATTGACATGGAAATTAATTACAAATTCTGGATCTTATTGGTAAGATTTCGTGAGGTTATTGTTGGTATTAGTTCACCTAACACCTAGTGCTGTTGCATTAAATTTGGTGCCAAAAAAGTACAGTAATTGTACGAAAACTTTACATCAGTTTAGAAAAATATCTTTTGTGCCATCAGTATTATTCCAATGGAAAAAGCCTGAATATCAGGCTTGATATCAAATAATCTGAAATTTTGTTTAATTTCAATTTATGAATGAAGATGATGAATGCAAGAATAGGAACATCTAAAAACTGCCCACTCTTTTAAACCCATTCCATGCTTAGTTACAAAAGCATCGATTATTCCGTTTACAAAGAAGCGTTTGCCTTGAACTAGACAAATGTGAGGAAGAAATGCTAAAGAGCACCGTACTATTGAATCAAAATGGAAAATCTGGGAAAACGAAAACTGAAGACTGAAAGTGGCCACAGTGTTAACTTGAACGCAGGAAAAATATGAAGACATTTACATATTAATATCATTGTTATATTGCTTTTTTCATGTTTTTAGTTTCATTGTAATTACACCGGTAATGGAGTACCGAAGTGTGACGTCATTTAGAACCAGAAAGTGTAGTGCAAACGAATGGAGTACGCGCGTGTGTTGGTTCATGGGCTGAATCACGCGCTAATGTCTTTCACATTGTACATGTGACGTATTCACTTTGGTACTCCATAAGATTAGCTACAAAATAAACTGTATAGTGTACAGAGATATGCGCAACTAATTCTCATCTGAATGTACACAAATCCATAGTTGCCTAACTTGAAAGCCAGGCACATTGCAGAAATGGCAATCAAGTGCCTTTCATATCTCTTCTTTGTCAAGATTGAGGGGGTACTTGTGCATGGAGTAAATGAAGACAGGGCTTTAAAAAAAGTCAGCAAGAAGCTAACAGAGTTTTTGTCCCTAAGCAACTCAGTTTACAGAGATTGTTTCTAACTTGCATAGGAAGAGCTGATTAATTTGAGATGGTCCACGAGGATGCTGGCCAGATGATATTATGCCACTGATGTTGTGGGTCAAAAACTACTGGCTCCGTGAATGTGATAACCCGCTTGCATAACCCTTTTTCTGCTAAATGCAATAGAAAGCAACAAAGGTTAACAGTTGTTGCATACTGTTGCATTTTTTTTAGCAGCACACTCAAGTCCCGTGCTTTGTTGCATCTTGTTGCATGTAGCAGGGTAACTGCTCATAGATCCAAGGCAATTCAACAGAATCCACTGTTGCAGTCGGTTGCATTTTATAGCAGGGTAACTGCTTGGTGCCAAGGCTAGTATGCACTGGGTTCACTGCACATTGCAACAAAAACCACTGATGCAATTTGTTGCATTTAGCAGGGTTCTCATTTCAGCAGAGTTGCATTTTGTTGCATTTGGCAGGGTGGCCAGAGAAACCTCTTGAGGGTAAGGGTTAAACAAAAAATACAAGGAGGCATAACTGTCAATGCCAATCTTGAATGAAGGTGCACATGTACACTTAGGTTTGGAGTAAAGCCAGTCAAATGATCATACGTACACTGTGCACTAGCTGACATATGTGTGGCTTCAACTGGACCAAGTGGATTGTATGTACCCTCACTTCGAAACAATGCACCCTTGAACAACTACATACATGTGCAAGCTCATCATGCAGACATGTATATCAATAAGCCATTTGCGAGTAACCTATACCCTTTGGGATTTACATTTGAAAAACGTCTGGTACAATGACTGGCTCAGAATGCTTGGCACATTTTAACTTTGAATTCTCCAGACCAAATACACTGTTGCTAATCACATGATTCGGGGCAAGCTCTTGCATAGTTACGTAAGAGACGCTCAGCACCAATACATCGTTCACAATGGGTGAGAATGGCACAAAGACACCAGACCATGCCGGAGCTGGGGGTTGCTAGCATAAGGCTTGCCCCGAATCACGTGATATAGTAACAGTCTCTTTGGTCGGGAGAATGCTAGGTTAAAACGTGCAAAGCATTGTATTAAGTCAGCGTTCCAGATTTTATTCAAATTTAACTCGCAAATGGCTTATTTGCAACAATTAGCTTTCCAGTTGGTATCACTCTTACCACAAATCAAAACAACTTCCACGTCTTGTCTGTCACCTCCTATTCAGCAAACATACAATTCTTGGTCTTAACATTCGAGGGAAACTTTTTCCCATATCACCACTTTTGTTCTTTTAGGTTCCGAGGCCTCTATGCGCATTGCTCAAATACCTCCTTCGATGGTCCCTTGATGTCACTGTGCTTAAAGAGCATTGCTAGTTTTGAATGGGCCGGTGCTATGTCGCTGGACTGTCTAGAAGATTGTGGATGTATTCCAGTAGTCTCCCGTCCGTCTGGTCTTTGGGAAACTTCTTGGCCAGAGAAGCCTTAAGACAAAAATTGGAAATGGAAGATGTACTTATTGATGACAGCTAAAATGGGAACAATTCGCAAAACAGTGTGCCAGATTTTTACCTTGAAAAACCCACTTTTTTTTTTTACTACCTACAAATATTGTCTTTCATGTAGTCATCTGTTTGTCTGCTATTTACGTGTTGTACACAAACACAAATGCATCTGGAAGCCTTATAAACAAACAAAAATTTCATTTGCAGAACAAAATCAGGTTTAGATCACAAGCAAAGTATCATACATTTTGTTAATAACCGGACAGATTTGCTACACTTTTGCCATATGTTTTGACGTAGTTTCTCAGATTTACAGCACTTTTCAATATGATCTTAATGGTCTTTCATGCCACATTTGTATGTCTTTTCAAAGGTGGTCGAAGGAGATATTACCTTGAGTTTGTCTAGGAATGTATCAGATTTGAACCAGAGCTCAGAGAATTGCACCATATCAGGACTGTCCTTGTAAAAGTCTACCAGGTATTTCTGTAGGTGAGATATGAAAGAAAAAAATCCATGGAAATTAATACATAGATAAATGCACATCAAGTACAAAGATTTATTGCATTGTGCGTACTCATGTCCACCTTAGCAGAGTCACTTGACATATAATACGCTTCAAATCTATCAAAATGTTGAACTGGAGATGTACGCTATCTTGCCACTGTGTTCCCATGCTCAAACTTTTGCGGAGGCTATGAGTTCGTTAACATTCAGATAAAATTCATGTATCCACAAGTACCCCCTCATATATGAAGCAAGTGATTTTCTTTTCTTTTATTTTATTGGAAGTTAGGAAAATTAAAATGCTTTTAACCAGTTGGCGCCGAAGGCCGTGTATACACGCGAACGTTTTGGGGTATTCGGAATGGATGACAGATAAACACGCAGGGAGAGAGGCCGGAAATATCTGTCAGCGACCCGCTCGCAGCGAGCGAGGCCAGAAATATAAGCATGCTGCCCAAAGGTGATGGCTTCAACCCGCCTGACTTGAGGTCGACTGAAAAGTAACCCCGCGCCTCGTTCCTTTCTTGTCAAATAATCCCGGTGTGAACTGGTTAATGATAAAGCCGAATCTGAAACAAAACCGAACTTTGAGAAAGGGGCATCATGTTTTATTTCTAGCTGTGGCGGCTGCCTTACCTAAGATTCGTCAGAAATAATAATCAGAATCTTTTGGTCCGGGAACCAGACTATCGCGCAGGGAGCCCATGCAGCACTACCTACTGTTCCTGTAAGGGGTCCATACATATGATGTAGTTGGACATGCACACTTACCATTTCTAGTAATATCTCCTGGGTTAGGAATATATCAGACTGCCAGTTGAAATTCATTGTCATTGGCATTCCTCTACAGCTACGACCTCGGTCCTGAACAACAAAAAAGAAAATAAACCATTCATTTATTAACATTTCACATTAACTATGCCCCTGTAATCAAGTCAGTCACAAGTCCTCACAAGTCAATCACAAGTCATTCAGTCTGAAGTAGCAACCATTCTAATGAACCGTGACAAAGTCATTCCTTTGTTTGGAATGTTTTTGGTCATTTTTAACATTTGTTTATTAGTCATAAAATACTGAAGCAATTTCATGTGCAACTCACCTCTATTTGTGGCATAACCCAGAATGATTTGAGACTAGATTCTTTCTGTGGCTTGTTCAGGTTGAAGGGCGCTGCAAATAAAGAATTAAAGCTTTAATTTCTGTAATAGATCTCTCTCATAGGAAGCCATCTTTGAAGGAAAATTACAACTGCGTGTTCAACGCCATTAGGCGTGTGTGCCTGCAGTGTGCAAAATGTTCTAAATACGTGCGGTTGTTGCTCGAAATTCCTTCGCAATACAGCCCAGCCGATGCGCGTCCCAAAAATTTGACGCCCAAAATGCCAATGCATATGGCAATCTGTAGGAAGTGACGTCATTTGAGAGAGACCTAGAAAGACAGATACATCAACTGACAACTCACACAATGGTTACATACAAAACAATGAAGTAGAGAATCACAGGTGTCCATTATGAAAATAGCAAAGCTCAAATTCATGTCTATGCTTTCTGTAAGCGAAGAATCCCACCTGAACTCTAGCAGAAAATTCAGCACTAATATTTATAGAATTTCAATGACTGTTGGCAAGTGCACGTGTGCATACCCTCTAAATAAAGATTGTGTTCTTACAGGGTTAGTGCAACATCTCTATGTTGGTGCCTCTATGCACTGGTGATAATAAGCAGAGAATTTTCGTGGGCTGCAGAGCCATGCAACTGGGACTGGGGCATTCAGAATTTTGAGAGCGCAACTCACCACATATAAGAGCTAGGCAGGGTTGATAGACCGTACCCTCGCCTTTCATTTGTAGCTGGTAATCCATCTGGGTTTGAATGTCTTTCAAGGAGGGTTGTGCGGGGTAGCAGGGATGACTGTGGTACCAGCCGACCAATTGCAGACCTCGTAATGCTATTGCTTGGCGAATCTTTGAAAAGAAAGCAAAATGTGACAGACATGCAACACCTTTTTTTCGATTGGCATTCTGAAGTGGCATCAAACCAAAATGCATTATGAGCGACCCAAGCCGACTCAAAGAGAATTTGGATCCGGAGAGATAAATTTCATGTAAATGGACTGCGACAGAACATATTTGTCAATCGCTTATTAGAGGATCAGCTTGGCATATATTGAAGTATTTTGGGGGGTTTTGAGTGGAAAAACGCTTAATTTAATAGCTTAACCTAAACCCTGTTGATGCCATACCCCAGGCTGTAGGTTGAGGTATTAAATGGCTTAATACATTTTCAATAATCTATCTTGATAAAGGAAATAACTTGTCACAGAATAATGTTGCACTCACCTCTTCTTCAACAATGGAAGCCTTATTCTTGTCTGCTAGTCGACATCTGCAGGGATATGCTTGTAGCACTGACATATCTGTTGACAGAAGATGCAAACTCATGAACAGACTCGCATAATAATTATACGGCGCACGTATCCACTAGTATTGGTGCTCAAGCCGCTACATCATTAGTACCCCTGCTCCTTGGGCCAATGAAACATTCCAAAGACAATCTCAGCTCCCTGGTGAGTATACAGCTCGATGCTGCCATTTCAGCGCAAAGCAGCTTTATTCAACCACAATAATCATCTCTGCCCTCACAGGTACCCATTTACTCCTGGGTGGAGAGAAGCAATGAGTGACAAAGTGCCTTGCCCAAGGACACACGCACTGTAGCCGTAGGCTCGACTCAAACCCAGAACCTGCAGAATTACCCGCAGACCACAAATGCAATGCTCCGGACCACCACGAGGCCACGGCACTCCACATACTTCTTTATCATTAAACCCTAACAGCAAAACCATGCCACTTTTACGTTAGCTGCAGGCTAGTTTGTTGGTTTGGTTGTTACAATGACCATACTCACGTTGTGTATTTGGATCCCATTTCCCTGCTAGGTAGCCAACAACTTCACTGGTGGTCAGATGACAGTGGAAATCCTTGGAAGCAAAAAGAAAAAAAAATCATCAATTTCACTTTGAACACCGTACACTCAAAACTTTGACCTTTTGCAAGAACAGTATGTTGGATTTTAATCAATTTTATTTCAAAATGTGCACAAGAAACAAGCAGCAAATCTCACGAAGGAAAGGTAAAAGTATTGAAGTTAAGCAGACACATATTTGGGAGATAATGTTCAGACAGGGAATGATCTTACCATTACAAGAAGGCAATTTGTCGTGGTTGAGACAGTGAAAGGCTGCATTCTGCCCACAGAATTAAATGGAAGACACTCAACTAACGTATTGGGACTCCTAGGGGAAAGTGAAAATGAAATGCTGGGTTAACAATTGAAGATCACGTAACAATTCTTGTGTCGTCGGCACTGTGTACTGCAACCGATACAAGTTCAAAAAGTTTAGTAAGTTGCCTGTGAGGAAAGGCGTCTAGCGAGGGATATAATAAAGAATATACTTGACTTGCTGGGCTAATATTTTCAAGTCACAGTAAAGCTGTGTCTTAACCGCTTGGCGCCAGGTTTATTTTTGCCGAAAATTTTCAAAACTACACAGACTTTGTGTGTGTACAAAAGGCACGAGGGATTAGCGTGTTTAGACGTCACCCGGAGGCGAGTCAAGGCAATTTGACGTCTTAATCCATCAGCCTGTGCCTGTGCACAAAAACAGCCAGTGCGTGTAATCACGGCCTCCGGCGCGAACTGGTTAATAACTGGCTACGACTGGCAATACAAGGGGCTGAATTTGCTTCCCATAGCCACAGCAATTAACTAAGATAACTGCCCTCAACTAGGCTCAAGTCATATCACTCCAAAGCATGTTTCAAAGGAGTGAACCAGTGTGTAGTAGTATCACAATCATTTACCTTTCAAGATCCTCTTTTGTGATATCTGCATATTTGACCACTCTCCGCTCATTCAGGTCTGGATTCTTCAATGGGTGCACCATACCTGTCATTGATCAATTACAATATTTTATAGAATACCAAAAATTACAAGCTTATATTGTGTTGTCGTTACATTGTTCCACAACGGATATGGCTGTATTATATATTACGCACACTCACCTTCTTTATGTACATGAACACTGCTTTCAGTTGCACTGAATATTCTGAGGAAAAAAAACGAGGGAAAAACAAGCTGAGATTTACTTTTTGGGCAATTGTAATTTGTTGCTATTAGAAGTCATTTGTAACAAGATCCAATTATACAAAAATCCCAATGCCAATTTGCCTCAGAGTATGTGGTTGCCAACTGCAGTAGAATACAACTGTGGCACTGTTAAGTGGGACTAGCTCCCATGGTATCAGAATTGGCAGTTAACCCTAACCACCCTGAATCCTTCAAACTCCTCTTTGACAAAGTGGATGAATTTGGAGGATTGAGGTTACATGGCAAAATGCGTCACTGATTTTGTAGGATGCACTTTGTCAAGGTCTTGGGCTGGACTTTGTGTTGTTGTTGCTCAGCCATGCATAAATATAGGACTGGATTAATCTTGAAATCCTCCGTACTGCTCCAGGATGACACTGGCCAAGCCTTAACATATTGACAGTCACTGCCGCAGGATTTTGCAGGATTCAGGCAGTGGTCACCCCTCCACGGACCATATTCAAGAAATAATGGAGGAATTTGAAGGACTGAGGCTATATGCTATTTTTCCATGAGGCCAATTGGCGGATTTTGCAGGATTGAGGCTACATCCAAGCAAAAAGGCCTACAGAGTTAGGGTTAATGCACTGGTGTTGATGGCTCAATGCAGCAAGGTCCCACAGACTTTTACTGCTGACTGTGCTGTATCTGGCAGGGCAAGGGTCAAAGGCTTCTGAGTGATTCTGAAGCCTGATGTGGAGCAATAACTGGAGACAAAACCTAGGTTTCAAAACCATCATGATTGACCCAGGATTCCCACAGAAATCCTGAAAGGAAATTCAATGACTTTTCCATGACAAATTTAGGGCTATCCATGACCAATTCCTATGCAGTTTTGGCATCTGAGGAGCCACTTACTGCCTTCCAGTTTGCAACAACTTGCACAGCAAACTGAAATGCAAACTGGAAGACTGTCATAGCCAAATACAATGTGTAACACATTATCACGCATGGTTGTGCACGATTTCACGATTTTCCCATGACTTTTTTGTCTTGGAATATAAACTTTCCATGACTCCCTATAAAATAAAAATTTTCCTTGACTTTTCCCTTACTTTCCATGATAGCTTTAAATTCAAGAACTGTGAGAACCCTGTTAACTACCTCATGGTGATCTGCCTACCTTTTTTGGCCTTTGGTTACTTGGGATGTAGGAGGGTTGGGTTTATCTGCAGGACTTCTGTGGATTCCATCCTCATCATCTTTCTCATCCTCCATGTCTTCCCCAGTGTGGCCGTTCGTATATCCATTCTCACCGTCTGGAATATCGGCCTGTATGCATCAATGAAGTGAATGAGTCCAAACTGACCATTAATTCTTTGGTCATTTGAGACTGATTTGGGTTATCAATTAATTCCTCTCGGTGGCTTATAATCATGGAGCTGGTTAATACTTAGCAAAAGAAGATGTATCAATGAAAGAAAAAACAAGTGCCAACTTCAAGAATACCTTACAATGCTTGTATTTAGTTGTAAGAGCATGAAGATTGTGATTGTTGCATCACAATTTCTGGAGAGTTCTTGTTATAAGATTTAAGCATGCTTTTTGTTGCGCTGACTGCTTTTGGTCAAAGTGAACGCAGGTTTTTCTGTCAGCGCCAAATGTACCTTTAGCAGTGCCCTGAAATCGGGCTCCGTTTGCATTCACTGTAACGCTCAACGTAATGTACAAGGTGTCCAACCTACCACGTCTTCAAATCCAGGCATGCTGATCTTCATCTGGCTGAACCACGTCGACTTGAGAAGGTCCAACTTCTTGCCCTTATATTTCACCTTTAAACAAAAAACATGAAGACAATAGAAAATAAACCTAATTGTTACATTAAACCCTGGATACTGTAATTTCATAGTATCCAGTCTATAAAAATGACTGTTAACTTCATTATACACCACGTTACATATAAATTACCTCACGTACACCGTGTTGCACCCTTAAGGAGTGAAAAACCTGATCCCACATCACAGCAGTCAACATTTGTTAATGTTGAACTAAAAAGGGTAATGCAAGTTTGAAAATCATACGTAAACAATTCTGTGTTACACTAAGCACCGTGCAATTTGGTTGTTTGGAGTCAGGACATGTCTACCAGTAGCCTGTGCTGTAGTTGAGTCTATGACAAGTCCTCACAAGCCTGTCGCATGTCAATCACAAGTTATTCAGTACAAAGTCAAGTCACAAGTTATTCAAAGGAACAGTGACAAAGACATTCACTTGTTATTGCGCATCCCCTCTTTTTTGTGTGACCAGACTTGTTATATCAAATAAAAATTAAAATTGAGGTGACTCACAGAGGCCCAACCACAGCCTGATTTCTTGGCAGGATTGACCAGCTTTTTGATGTGTATTGCCCAGGCGCTGGGGGAGTTAAACTCCTGGCCTGACCATTTGATCTTGCCATTCTCCATCAGATCAGCTGTGAACTTCCTTCCCTGAAAGAAAACAAATTCATGCAAGAAAGTTACATTATGTATAACTCAGAGAGACCATCAATAGCGAACTGTTAGTAAAGACAGTTCTAGAAGAAAAATTCACAGAACTTTACAATAACTCAATGAATGCCCTGTGACATGATGGGCTTTGTGGAAAATTACCCCTCAAGGGTGACAGAAAGAGATATGACAGACCATTTAACGCTACAGCCCCTGTGTATCTTAACCCCACAGCTCATGCACAAGCACCAGCTCGTGCACATTGTGATTGGCTCAATTACAACTCTGGTTCAGAGTAATGTTTGGGCTTCCTGACAAACTTGCCAGTGAAGCCAAATTGTGTAGACTTTGTATCTCACCAGGTAGTCAATTGTGAGCAGGCCATCTCCAGACTCAACAATCCCATCAGCCATCAGCATGCCCAGGGTAATACCCCGCCCAGTCACCACGCCCGACCGGTTCTTGGCTGGGCTGGGACTGGAGGAATTGACGCTGTCACGGTCATCCTCGATGGAGGTGAAGGACTGAAGGGTGTCCACTGAATTGGTGTCATCGCACTCAAGGGCTGTTTTCATCATCATTGCCATGCAACTACATGTAACATGGGAACAAAATAAAATCAATTAAACTCTTGTAATGATCAAAGTGAATTTCGGGACCCCCTTCCTGTATGACAACTAAATTCACTTTTTAGTTATTGGACTCACCAAAAGAGCTGGCAATGTTGAAAAGCAACAGGAAGGTCATGGAAAGAGGGCAGCATAGTGAATTTACATGGATATTGGTTAAAAAATTATGATGATGATGACGACAAAACACAACACAAAATCATATTTCTTGGTCCAAAATCAGTTTAAATCTTGAAAACAGGGAGAAAGGAAAATTGCTTGAGGCTGCAGCAATCGTTTTGGTGTGATAAAGGCGAGTTTACAAAATGAAGAAAAAAACGAGGATCGTACAAAGCACTTTTACCCTTGTAATAACAGAATTACAAGAGATCCATTCAGTGTAACCTTATATGGAACAAAAACATGCACCTTTGCCTGCAAAGCCACGATTTAACAAAAAAAATATAGCTTTGAGCAGGTTGGTCACATGTAATTATGTGACAAAGCTAAGGTACTAAACGTTAATGAGGCATACCGTATGTTATGTAATCGCAAACCACTGCATACAAATGACAATGGAAACAATTGTGCAGGTACATAGCTATGTGTGCATAGAACGGTACATGTATTGAAATGTACATGTATGTACTTCTATTGTTGGTACATTGTAAATGTACTACTGACATGCAATTAATGTGTGCTTCAGTCTGGGGGCGGGGCTTAACCTTCTCAATGTTTTTAAACACATTCCCTAAATTACTATAATGTTACAGAATCATTGAATGCAACACCATTATTTTAACATATACAATCTGAAAATCTGAAGATGGTCAGACATTTAATTGAATCTTACGTTAAGTAAACTAAAATTTAGGAATGACAAACATTCAATATTTTTTTCATATTTAAGCAAAATACTTTGAACATTTTCTTTACTTCTCATACTCTTTATACTTGTTCACAATTACTACCACAGACAGTGGCAAATCATCAGCATTCTGCAATTACTCCTAAAACAGTATTTCTTCTCGAGGAGAAAAAGAGTAGGCCCTAGGACCATATGGCCTAACTCAACAAAATTCCAACAGAATTCCAAATTGTCAATGATTGTGACAATGAATGTATTGTTATAAATGTTATGGACTTTGTCAAGTTTGAACTCAGTGGATAATCTTCATGATCTTCGGCACAATTTTTTACAATAACATGTTTGAAGTCACCACAACATACGCATTTCACAACACATGTCGTCGGTACACGCTACACCATTCGTGATCAAATGACGAAAAATATTCACGAATGTATGACAGACAAGATCAACACAATGTCAATTACTTCCGCTATTTCTACGAAAATATACCGGTTCCCTTCACCCCTTCGACTCCACAGCATTGCTTGAGGGTGTAAAGAATCGCCTCCCGTCCAAAAAATCCTACCTTTTCGCCCGATTCCTCGCCGATTTTCATAAGGAAATGGCGTTGTTCAGAGAATCCATGCCAATTTGCTTGGTATTAACTTTTGTCATCGTGATCGTCGTAGGATACGTGTGTAGTAGAAGTTCGTTCGCGTAATAATCGTGCCGTCGATGCCCTCTTTGTTCGGGGTTTTGTGTTTTGTTGAAGATCCCCAAACACCTGGTGTCCTGTTCCATTCCCAGATGGGGGATGTCACTTTGTATCAATTTTTGGCTGCACACAGTGGATTTCTTGGAAATGAGTCAAAATAATGATTCAGTTTTTTACTCATTAAAAGTAATGATCAATGTGGATATACCGTGAGTTGAACATTACATCATTGTTTCCGACTTTTATCTCCCTGACGATTATAACTAAAATTGAATGTGAAAATCCATGGCAACTGAGTTTGCACTTGTTCCCCTGATGTTATTTTGCGTGTAAATTAATAAAATGTAGGCATTGTTAGCGCGCAGTCATTTCTATTTATTCATAGTTCGGAACCCATCAACCGACCAACCAACCGACCAACTAGCGATAGACGACTGATCACTGATGATCAATCAAGCAATCAACAAGTTACTGATGATTATTACTATTGATTTGAAAAAAAAATATAGGATCATCAAAATTGAAAAGCGGCAAATTGTAAACAAATAAAATAATAACCATAAATAAAAACAAAATAATATATTCCTTTGTCGCGATTTTATTCCCCTTATTCAGCCAGTCCATGTCGCGTGACAAGCGTACATACTAGGTCGCTATCAACAAGATGAGTTTTGGCAATATTGGTAGCGCTACCCAGGAACTGAAATTCCGAGCATACCTCACACGCGCTGTTTTTAAGTTAATTAATGCATTCGCGTGAGGTAAGTTCCAGGGTAGCACTGCCACCATTACCAAGATACATGATCATTGATTCATCTTGTTGATAGAGACCTCGGCCGCCGCCGCATTTGTCACGTGACTGGCTGCAAATAGGGGAATAAAATTCAAATCTAGTCTTGGACAGAGATGCCCAAACCACAACTCACCCGGTCCCGGCCCCCAACGTTCCTTTCACTGCCTCTTCTACACACTCACTGTAATTGATCCATTGCGGTTACCAAAAAAAAACACACGAAGTAGCGGCCCATCTCCCCGGCCCCCGGTCCCGCCCAAACCCGGACTCCACCACACCTCCTCAAACACATCTCCACCCCCCCCCCCAAAAGGAGTGCTTTAATTGAATTTGAGAGGATTCATTTGGGATCACTCATCGATCATTGTTCCCCTACTGTAAAATGGTCAGTCCCATTTTTTTCGCTGGTGCACTTTTTTTTCGAGCCGAATAATGTACCATTTTAATGAGTACCAGTAAAGAAACATGGCGGCCGCCTTGGACGCAGAAAAACTTCTCGTGCAGTGTGAATCACAAGAATTAGAGGTGAGTAATTAATTCGTAATTGTTTTCCAACCATTGTGACATGAATAAATCACGAGCCATGAGCTACGTTGTTAAAGTCCTAGGATGGATAAATCGGGCTCAAATCGGGATAAATCGAGGATAAATCGAGGTCCATATTTAAGTGTTTGAGTCATGAGGCGTTGACTGAGTCTGAAGCCGAGGTAATCATGGTAATGGGGCGAAGTGGTAATGTCGCGAATGGGAATTGGGCGAAGTGGTAATGGGGCGAAGTGGTAATGAGGCGAAGTGGTAATGGGGCGAAATGGTAATGGGGCGAAATGGTACTGGGGCGAAGTGGTAAAGCCAAATCGAACTAAATCGAGGTCCATATTTTAGTGTTTGAGTCATGAGGCGTTGACTGAGTCTGAAGCCGAGGGGCGAATGGTAATCATGGTAATGGCGAAGTGGTAATGTCGCGAATGGAAATTGGGCGAAGTGGTAATGGGGCGAAGTGGTAATGAGGCGAAGTGGTAATGGGGCGAAGTGGTAATGGGGCAAAGTGGTAATGAGGCGAAGTGGTAATGGGGCGAAATGGTAATGGGGCGAAGTGGTAATGAGGCGAAGTGGTAATGAGGCGAAATGGTACTGGGGCGAAATGGTAATGGGGCGAAATGGTACTGGGGCGAAGTGGTAAAGCCAAATCGAACTAGCAGCTGATTTCACCAAACAGTATGTATCATACATCATGCATAGGATTTTGCTTTAAGAGGATAAATCGAGGTCCATATTTAAGTGTTTGAGTCATGAGGCGTTGACTGAGTCTGAAGCCGATGGTAATCATGGTAATGGGGCGAAGTGGTAATGTCGCGAATGGGAATGGGGCGAAGTGGTAATGAGGCAAAGTGGTAATGGGGCGAAATGGTAATGGGGCGAAATGGTACTTTTTAAGATGGCGGATTTTCCAAGATGGATTCTTCCATCTTCTTGACTCTTTTGTTGATAGTTTTGTGTCTAAATGAGCTAATGCCTGAAAACAGATTGTAAACTTGTGTACATAGGCCTACATCATTCATGTAAATGTAGGCCTAGCTACAATTTTGCTGGAAGAACATAAAAACAAACTAAATTGCAAGTGATCGTGTTTTTTAAAAGGAGGCAGCCGTGAAAAAAGGGAAGCGGGTGGGGACGAGAAACTGGTTCATGTTTTTACTTGGCCTTGCAAATGGACAACTATCATGGCTTGATATTTCGTCATTAGCAAAGACCTCATCAGAGGCAAATGCTAAGGGTGACTGTAATTTTGTTTTCTTTGTATATTTCAGGTCAATCCAGTCAGTGAGCAGTTTGCACTCAGTTTAAGTCATTTCAATGTAACTTTTGTTAAATCCTCAGGCTCCAGGAGGTGTCGCTACTCCAGAAGTCTACTGTAAACTCCTCGCCCTGTACCTCTTGAATAATGACATGTGAGTCTGCATACAATTAATGAGGGCTGCGCATTTTTGAATAGTTTAGTATTGATTCGTCAGGTGCACCACAAAGTGCAGTATCGTCTATGGATTTCATGCACATGATACGTCACTGAGTGGTGCGACCGACAGATTATTCCAACTTGGACTTGATCAAATATTCGACTATGAAATGCACTGATCAAGTTAAGTGTGTGCAAGCCTAAAGTGGCTGCCAATCAGGCTTTACGGGCTCCTGTGCTTGTTGAAAATTGACAATGAGCTGTTTAAAATATTATAAACAAGAGGTAGCAGTTGCTGATATTTGACTGATTTTAAAGAAGAAGTTTGAGCTAATATTCCTCATGGAAGATCTCAGATCTTCTGTGGAAGTGGATTTCAACAAAAGTGTGGCATTTGACAAACAATAAAACCACAAACTTTCACATTTGTCATCATCTCCCTCAAGACCGCTCACATTTTAAAAAATATTTGAATGGACAAAATGCTTGAACCCTACAAAAAGTTCCTGCAGTATTCATTTGTACCTTTAAATAATTGTGTGTTCAGGAACAATGCCAAATTCCTATGGAAGAGGATACCTCAGCCTATCAAGACAGCCAACCCAGAGGTGGGGCTGGTCTGGGCCGTGGGCCAGAACATGTGGCAGAGGGACTTCCCTGCAACCTACGCTGCACTCAAGAAGGAGTGGTCTGAGGCAGTCAAGCCCATTATGGAGGCTATAACAGGTGGGTACAATGGATTCTCACACCATGCCTAGTGGTGTCCTCGGGCAATGATGTTATGGGGTACATGTTTCCTGGGAAGGGGGGGGGGGGGAAGGTGTTGGGAGGGGAGTAAGAGGGAGAGGGGGTTGGAGGATAGGGTGCTGGGCGGGTTCCACCTTCTGAGGCATTCAAGCCCATCATGAAGGCTATGGATTACTGGTGGATATTCTAATATCAAGTTGAGTGGTATGCACAGAAAATGACGTCATGGGGTATATATTTCCTGGGGGTGGGGGATGGGATGGGGTGCGGGGGGGGGGGGGGGGGGGGGGTCCACACTCCTAACATACACCACCCTTGACAAAGGAGTTGTCCGAGTCAATCATCAAGCTCACATGGAGGCTATTACAGGTGGGTATTCGCATCGACTTAACTTAATCCGAACCAGTGTTTATATCATGCATAATATTCTTTCATAATGAACTTGCACTTGCTTGAAATTTATGACACTGTCCCACTTTGTGCACTTTAAACACAGAAAATAGTATTTGTGTGTGTCTATAATCTGTGCAAGCACAGTAGATTCTGCTAAGGTACGATTCAAGAGAGCCCTAGTTTGACGACACATTGTGTACACAAACTTGTTCCCTTGCAGGCTGGCACCTATTGTTTGAGGTTCGTAAAAACAAAATTGACATTCGAATGTCCACAAACCAGGACCATCTTTCCATCGGCACCGGGCTGATGGCGTTAACGTGTCTGTCATATCTCTCTATCACCAGGGAGGGAACTGGAGCACGGAGTTGTATTACGATTATTCAAGTACAAAGAATATGCCACTGATTTCAGCAGAATGGCAGAGTGGAGGATTTGTAGGATTTGTCAAGATATCTTGCAAAAGTACACAGAGATTTAGAGTTAACCGAGCAGTGATTTTTGTGCAGCAGATTACTTTGTGTGTTGTCTACCAGCCTTTTACAAAAATTATTTGGTTGTAGTCTCCAGTGCTATTGTCACTCTCTGTTGCTTTTCACGTCTTTGCAGAAAATATCAGGCAAAGAATGTTTCATCTCATAAGTCAAGGCTACACAACGATAGAAGCGGAGGAGTTTGCAGCGTATGTTGGCCTTCCTGTGGATCAGGCTATCACAGGTTAGTATTGAAATTTTTTTTTTAGATTTTAGAAATGTTCCTGAATGGAGCCCCTAGCTTGGCTAGTAATAATATAAAGGTGGCGCTCTTGTCAAATATTGCATTTTAGTGTGCATTTTGATGATACCTATAATTCCACTTTACACATTAACATTTTCTAATCTATTTTTCATCCTGAACAGTCTATCATCGATTTTGAATTCAGGTTGATAGCGAACTTTTTTGGTCATGTGGCCATGAAGACTGACTTTTGGCAATGAAGAGTTGGCACTTATCCTCAAAATTATATCGCAAATCTGTTTCTCTTTTGACTCATTTCAGCGGTAACGGCAGAGGGGTGGCAGTATAATGCTGATAACAAGATGATCTCACCAAAAAAGCCTGGTACGTATATGTCACATTTCATATCCGCTTTGTTAAACAGTATACAAAAAAAACGTAGTGACAAAAAATGATGAAAGTGACTGATTGCCTAATTCTCGAAAGGTTGTTAAACAAAAGACACAAAACTGAGATGTAAATCAATCAATGTAAAACCTTTCTGGACCATTTTGCTTGCTTACAGTAACACTCACCTGTTATATATTACCGTCAATGGTACTAACAAATAATATTTTACGATTTAAATTTTTAAAAAATTTTCTACAGTTCCTCAACTGGACCAGGCCATTCCTAGTGAGCAGCACATCGCACAGCTGACGGACTTTGTGTCGTTTCTCGAAAACTAGTTTTTTTGTAAATATTTATACTGATTGTAAATACATTGTATTAAAAGTGTCTACGTGAAGCACAGCAAGATGTGGGCATTTAAAAATATTGCTAAAGTTTTATGTCATGTGTTGGATAACAAGGATAGCCCGCTTTCCTGCCTATTATTAATTTGTAAGGAAAAGCTGCTCTGTTTATTTGACTGCTGTAACACCTCCTACATATTAATGAGCAAACGCACTTCTCCCATTGGTCAATAATATATATGTACACCTCATACATATTAATGAGCAAATGCACTGCTCTCATTGGTCAATAGTTTATATATTTTAATGTGTAAGGAAGTTGAATGGGACTTCCAGGATTTTGGAGAGGGAAGGATTTTGATTTTTGGAACAAGCATCCGTGTGTGAAATGAATGCTTGAATCAGTATAAAGCAGTATATCATTAAAAAAGCTGATATAAATATGTAAACATTTATTTGAGAGCATAATATTGACGTACAATGTACTTGGTATCCCCAAGGAGGAATAAATCAGCCAGTCATGTGGATAAGTGCTTAAAATTAGTGGAGTTACATTGTATATTCAGTATTTGCAGTGTTAACTATAACTGGCCTGCTTGTCGCTTGATGTGATGTGATGGGGATGGGGCCAGAGTTTGAAGAAATTGTGGAGACTGTGCCAAAATGCTGGTTTTGATAAAAAATAATGGTACAAATTTCATCTGCAGTTGTATTCATACGGCAGATGATAACTGACAGGTGAAATGGATTTTTTTTTAAAAAGTTTTCTATGTCTTGGACCACTTTTACCTGCTCCATATTGCAGCTTAGTACTTTCCCATCATACTGTTAAGCCCTTAAAACAACAGACTCAAAATGAAACATGCTAACTGTCAATTTTGTTTTCTAATCCCGGATTCAAATGTCGGGTGAATATCTCAGCTAGCATGAGGTTACTGCTTATGCTCCACTTTGCCACCACTGAGCTGTATTCAGAATATGAGTCAGTGATATGAAGCATTCAGTTAAACATTCATTTAAAGGACTCGTACCGGAAAGTTGGAGACTCATTTACAGGTCTCGGAGAAATAGGAAACTTTCCAAGTTGGACAATGAATGAGCACATGGATGTTTGCAACATTCAGGTTCCCCGCTTCGCGATATCAAGGCCCGTTATATCAGAAGGGCGCCCTCTCTGTTTACAACCTTTGTTCCCATCCGATTCCGATCCCATTCACTATACATGTAATTACTAGCTGTATACTGCTGACAGGTGGTTCCGTCGTGTGTGGTTGATACATTTTCGGGTCACATTTTGGCTCTCGAAGTCGTCGATCGTAGTTCATCAAAGCCAAATTCTCAACAATTACCTGAAGCCTGCGTCAGATTCCAATCTCATGTTGTAAGTATACGTGTTTTTGTTAAGTTTTACGATGCATACTCGCCATTAAGCCGATTAGCATAGGCCAACCGCAGCTGTGCACGGTAACGGTCGTATAGCCTATTTGAGTATTTCCCAGTTCCCATTCAAAACATTGTTTTTATTTTGGGAGTGAACTCAAGTTGTGGGCAACATAATTTCGATCCAATGATCCAATTAAATATGGGGAGTCAAAGGTTATAAGGCTTTTACATTTTCAAGAAGGAGTTCCATTTTCAAAATGAAATAACATGAAATTATGATTAATAATGGATTCAGATGAGTGCAAATTTTGGGCAGAGTTGCTAAATCATTGTCTGGCCATCACTTGTCACCCTGTGCACAAACCCTATGAGTATGAGACTGGTCTGAAAATTTCCAAGTGTTTTCTTAGTAAATACTTCAATATTTTCCCTGCTAATTTTGACTTTTTAGGACATATTATTATCACTTTCTGATGGCTGATAGGTCACTGAAGGGAAAAATTAGTGATGGCCAGATATGGGAATCTTTCCCCACACTGGTCTGTGTTGCTGGTGGCTGTTTACAAGTTTTTGCCTATGGCCAGTTGTGGATTTTTTTTTTTTTTGGGGGGGGAGGGTTTCTTGGCCAATTCATTTCCCCTCACTAATCAATTACTGTGTAAAATACACATTGTTCTAGAATTAGAAGGCACCCCGAGCACAACGGGTGCCTTCTAATTTAGAAGTTTATTACAAGTTAACACTGGTATGGTAAAGTGTTATTTGAGGAAAGGAAATTCCACATTTTCCCCGGTGAATTTCTTAACAGTGGTCGGATATAAAGGGGGAGGATATGTGGTTAGCCACCCCATAACCACCCCCATCCACCCCAGCTTTCACTGTGCATACACATGGTATAGGTGGGTGCAGATTTTTTTTTTACATTGGCTTATCTAGCTTCCAGACCTATGTTCTTGAAACTCAATTGTTCTTGATTCTGGAGTGCTGTATAGTAACACATTGCAACCAATGAAAACTGGTATGCAAATGAATAGATGTTTTCATCGGATGACGTCACTCCGCCCTGATACATACAGCATGCAGTCTTGTGAGAAGGGCTGCGTGATACTGATAATGTCATTTGATGCTTAGAGAGCGAGAGATGAGATGCAGTGATGCGGGAATGGATCGCATTAGGAAGCCGCAAGGTCAAGACGTTCTTGTGTCGCACTTATCTCCTTACCTTAAATGTCACAGGTGTGATGATGTGCGAGACATTAATGGCTGTCATCCACATATAGCACATTATGAAGATCTGTGTGTAGTCTACCGGTACCTTACAGTAGTTACACAATACAAGGACACACTGGCACATAATTTATGTCCTAGTTTAGTGCGGATTGGGATATGTCGGAGGTGGTACCATAAATACATGTATGGGTTTGGTTTGTGAGATTTTTTGGTGAATGAGCAGATGAAAAAAAAAAATGTACAGTACCGTAGCACTAGTAGTGTCTTGTTGGGTCTTTGCACGATGATGGTTCAGCAGCTAAAGCAATTAGAAATTGTTTGATTCAACTGCATGTGGCCTATAGATCGACTGATTTTTCCGTGTCAAAATTTCTAATTCCGAATATTCATCCGATCATCCTAAATTGTTTCAGTGATTACATCAGTGTTGATTATTAACCAAGTTTTATTTGCCAAGTTTCATTTTACTCGAATAATGTAAAGGTAATTGATTGAATGATTGATTGATTTATTACATTTCTTTACCCAGGGTACGCCCAAACAGTTTAAAACTGGTTTCCACTGGGGCCCTACATACATTACAAATTATAAATATAGTTTAACAAAGTAAAAGTTACAAGCAAAAAGTGCATTGATAAAATAGATTACGAACATCAATACTTAAAAAGTACTAATAGTTACACAAATAAAGCCTCCTACCGGTATATGTAAAAAACATTCCAGTATAATTAGGCCTAAGAAATTTGACACCAAAAGAGACCTTTGCACATAATTAATAATAATAGTTTTCTGTTGATATTAGTTACAAGATGCTCAAAACTCATTGCATGGACAATGTACTTCCTCTTTTTAAGCATAAATAAACAAATAAGGTATCTCAAGTTGTAATTGTACCTTGCCTTTTGTTTGTTAATAAACATTGCATTCATGAACATAACTTTGCCTAATTCACCTGTTTTATTTACAATGAGATCCGAGGCAAACGTTTGTACTAGTATGCAGTTCACACGCCCGCCCCCTGAAATTCAACAAGTCCGAGCATCAGACCGTTGTTTACACAGAGGACATGCCACAGTTTCCCAGATCCTGCTATCTCCCCAATTCCCACCCATCCTACATGTATAGACCACCAGGGTATTGATTACTGCCCCCACTTGCCCGTGAATTTGTCTTGCGCTTTGTGGCAGGCAGACCACTCAGCCATTTGTCAATATTTAATCGCCCACAAATCATACAGAGCGGGACGCTGCATGCATGCGCACGGCCCACAAATAAATTCAGCGAATGCTGTAATATTCTAGTTCTGAAAGACCTCACTCATGTGAAGCGGTCTCGTGAGTTGCCAGGATTTTGGCATTCAGTGCGTTGAGGACATTTTTGCATGCATGCAGTGTACTATGTACAGTAAGTAGTTCATATTCTAGTTTGAAAGGGTTGGAATATGTTTAAGCTGCATGGATCTGCTGCATGGGAGCTACAGCTTGAGATTTGCAATGCACTATACATGCTATAGCCTAGTTGATGGACTATTTCTATTCAACATCAGTGACATGTATATATCCCGGTATGTATTTTGTCAATAAAAATTGATTACTTCATTTCGTCTGAGCAGCTTTTATGCCAAATGTCGCTCTCTTTACAGAATGCAAACTACATGCACAAATTTGACGAGAACACTAACTAAGTCTCTTTATTTCTAGGACATACTGGACAACTTACACGCATATTCTCATATATATATATATGCGTGCTTAAGTGTGTGTTGCCCATGGATGCGCACAGATGGCTCACATATTATCCACCATGCGTATCCTGTGTGAATAATGTCCCACGTTAGCCTCCTAACCGAAACTGCTGGGCAGATGGCCATTGGAGCTGAGAAAATAAATTTATTTTAATAACATAACAAGGATCGAGTCCTAAGGCAATCAAGCATCCTGTTTTATCTTTTAACAAAATCTCTGAATTCTTTTTTAATTTTCTTTTTAATTCACTCAGATTATGAAATTAAGATAAACTCCTTAAAAGTGCACAGGAACTGTATGTACCAGTAGCTCAGAGGCATAAAAACACTAAACAGAAAAGACCATGAAGAAATGTTCAGTCTGTACACTGTATATTACTGAAGGAATAATACCCAGGGTATACTGAATCAAGTAGGGACTGAAAAATGTCGGCCTGGGTGAGATGTATAAACCTAGGTCACTGGCAAGGGCAATAAAACGGTGACCGCGTTTGTTGCAGATTGCCACTCTGCACTGTCAATGTCCTATATGAATTTTTTCATCTGTCGGGAAATGTTTTGATGCTCAATAGTGAGAATTGGCCTTTTGCAAAAAAACTAAGAGTAAGTAAAGTCTGTCATGAACCAATGTGGCCCATCAGGCTGGCATTTATCTCTGGTTTCAGTAGCATGAATTCAGTGACTAAGAATATTTCTATTCCCCCTGGACAGGATGCTAGTCCATCGCAAGTTACTCCCCAGCTAATGCCAGTACCCATTTATACTCCTGGGTGGAGAGAGGCAAGTGGGGGTGAGGTGGTTTGCCCAAGGACACAACATATGACCAGCAGCTGGATTCGAACCCCAGACCCCCTCATCACGAGTCACAAACCCTAACCACTAGGCCATAATCCCCTTTGAAAAACTAAACAATTACAGTGTAATTAATTAATAAAAAAAAAGCAGTGCAAACTGTGTGTAACTGTAAACTTGTGGTACAATTATGAAAGTGGATTTCCTCTTTCTTGTTGCAATTACTTACCCACACTGAAGATGCATAATGCACACAGTGCCATCTCAAACAACAAGAAGCTGATAACTGAATTCTGTAAATGGAATTGGTCATGTAAGTATTGCCGTCGAACGTTGTCATTACTTACATTTTTAATACCCCAAACAAGTATGGTGTCTTATGTAGAAATTA